CTATTATTATTTTCTAATCGAATTACAATTAATATCCCAAAATCGAATATAATAAAAACCGTTTTGCGTTCCTACCTAATTGTCCGGTTTTTAAAACTATTAGAAAATCTACAAAGTAAACCAAAAAACGGACCATCTAATTAGACAACATTTTCTTTCAAAAAAGATGCACAATACTTGTAATTCTAAAAATTACCTCGAAATGCACAAACCCAACAAATGTCGCTACCAGAAACCACTCCTAAAGTTGACTATCGGAGTAAGATATCTCAAAGAAATGTTCAGTTCTATTATTAGTAAGTAATAAGTAATAACCTACCATCTGGATATTATACAATTTTAATCACATAACCTCGGTCCCAGCCACAATTAGCTGTCACCCTCCTGATAATTTATTATTACAAAAATATATTATGGAATTAGATATATTACTTGTATACCTATAATTATCGATACTTATCTAATAATCTTATAATACATTACACTATACAGTAATAAACTCGAACGATGGCTGATCATGGGCTCACGAGTAAAGAAATAGAGCGCGCCACCCGTTGTGAGCCTCTAGTGAAAATGGAAAATCACAGTCTCAATAGGTACTGGTCAGCCATCTGTAAAACCGCCCGCCACGACGGCACGAAAATAAATAAAAACCCATCGTGGGTGACACAAAACACGAATTGTTTATCGGTTTAATTAATATTATCGCTATAACGTAAATACTAAGTAATTCATTATCGTTATTTGTTATGGGTACTCACCGAAAACACCAACTCGATAACACCGCAACCACCGCTGTAAATTGCGATTATCGCAATTGTCCGCGACCGTAACCCCATGATATAATATATGATAAAATTCAATTCATACGTTTACCGTAAATGAGAAGATAAAGCGAACGCCGACACGGTAAAAAAAAGAAATTTTAAAAACAAAAGTTAAATTATGTCAGTATTATAAGCACACACGAAAAAATGTAACGGACAACTTGCGAATGAGAACGCGTCAAGTCGAAAACTAACTGTGGAACCGTGGGAGCGAGGAAAGTGGAGGAAGAGAGAGGGGGACCTGAACAACCGATTTGTCCTAACGAGATTCATCGTTGAATCCTGGCAGAAGAAACGAATACAGGTCACGGGCCCTGGGCCAAAAGTTCGAGTAGGCGCGCGAGTAGATAAGGCACGTCGTCCGTCAATGGCCGTTCGCGTAAACCGGATTGGCCGGCAAAAACCGTTGGAAAAAAAAAAGAAAGATAAGATAATGGAGACGGATGCAGCCACTGATGTAGGTGGAAAGTTAGAAAGGTAGGATAAAGACAGAAATTTAATGTTTAACTCTAAACAACGATAAACCATTGCTTACGAAAAAACGATTCTGAGCGGAGTTCGGTTGATAGTGATGCTTTGTCAACAATATAAATATGTCATTTTATAGTAAACAAAAATAATTAAATAGGCTTTACATATTTTCTTTAATGAAAATTTGTTTAATGTCTTACCGATTTTCCTAATTTTCCTACATTTTTCCCGATTATTCACATTTGCTGGGAAAACTCTTGGGAAAAGTAAAAATTGACCTCTCTAAAGTATCTCGCTAATGAAATTTCCTTTTTGAAACATTGCTATTATTAAAAGTTAAAGCGAAATTGCTAGTAGAAAAGTTGTTCACAGAAAAAAAAAAAGACCAAAAATAATAAATTTTAACTAATACCTACATTTCTTAAATTTTTTTCCATTTTTCAAATTTGAAGAAAAAACTCCTGAGAAAAACGAAAAACGACCTCTTTAAAGTACCTCCTCAGTGTAATTTCCTTTCAAGAACATTGCTATTATTAAAAGTTGGAGCAAAATTTCTTCTAGAAAAAATGTCCACAGAAAAAAAAATTAATTTAAAAGTGCAATCTATACCTACTTAATATATCTCGATTCTAAATTCTAATATTTAATAGTAACATTTATAGGTAATGTCCGACATCGTCCTGTGTAGACGACAAATTCGACAAAACTACAAGATAAAATCGATATTATAATATAGGTAGGTACAATAGGTACCTATTGTACTAAAAATATCTCTTTGTATTTTATTTCCAAAACTATAACTACAATTTTTTGGTATGAAACAAAAAATTTCGGCAATCGTCTGAAAAACGATATCAACGCATGACCAGCAGTACATAATTTATTTATCGCACACTTGTTTTGTTTGCGCCTATGAAAGTTGAAACCGTGATAAAACACAGTCAACACCCACTACAGTTTATAATAATTATTGGGGAAGACATAATTTATATATTTATTAAAATGCATAATAATTTGTATTACCTACCTATTTACGATCAACAACATACATAGCTAAATTTTGAATTTCATACTTCGGACGCCTTAATCAAATTTTGACAAAATTTTTATGAAAGTATCATAAAGGAATAAATAAAAATATTGTGTATATTGGTATAAAAATGGCAGAAACATAAGATAAATAAAATACATAAAACAAATTGTTGAATCCTCCATCTTATTAAAAATGTACAATAGGTAAATAAATACCTACCTATACAAATCAACTGTTGAATTATTAAAATAATAATTTTTGTAGAGAAAATCTAATCAAAATTAATTTATGTATAATATATACCAAAGATAAACAGTAATATTACACAAATTTATATTCTAACTATGAAAATATTATTTTATTTTAGTCCCAACTGTTCTATTTGTATATTGAACAGGACAAAGCCCAAAAAACAGGAAAAATAAAGCAATAGTGTGACACTAATAATAACTAAAATCAAACTAAAACTGCAGTACAAAGTTGAAAAAGTGATGGTCCTCATTTGTCAGGTGCATTATGCAATATAAAGAATTTTGTAGAAAATTAGTGGATGAGGTAGAAATGAAAGAAATGAAAATTAATGAAATAATATGTAATAATATAGTTTGGAACCCTCAAATAAATAAAGGAAAGAAGAGTAGAATTAATATCATAGGCAAGGATTTCCAGGACTATTGGACAAGAGAGTAATCATACATAGGACACACAATTTTTAGAACATATTAAGAACAAAACTTTAAAATGTCTGCTCAACTCTTTCAATCATTCTAGAATCATTTCTAGTGGATGGATTCCAAATGATGGAACCCTATTCAAGCAATGGGCAAACTAACAAGTAAAAGATAATTTTAAGGGAGGAACAAAATTTAAATTCAGAGCAAATTCACTGCCCAGAATTTTAAACGCCTCACAACACATATTATGTAATCCTGGACAAAGTGAGAGTAAATTAGAAATCAAAATCACAAACTGAATCCAAAGCTGTTACGAGTTCATTGTTAATCGTTTTAGTTGAGGATATTAAAAAAAAAATTGAGTACTTGATTCATTTAATAAACACAACTTATTGTTTAATATATTTGTTCTAGTCAGTGTAATAAAATATATGAAAGACATTCACAAGAATATAATTTACCTCTCTATTATATATTTATGTGAATATATAATCTTTGAATCATATTCTGTTTTATACCAATTATTATAAATGATGATGGTTTATTATTTTTTGTTTTTAACAATAATTTACGCAAATCAACCATAATTTGCGTTCATTGAAATCAAAACATTCCATATAACTAATACCCAAACATTATCCATAAGTAAAGGATGGACATTGATGCACTAAAAATCTTAAATATTATAATATAAGCTCTATAAAATGTTAAAATATGATCAATAATGTACCTTTAAAACAGAATTATATGCCTACAAAATATTAAAATATGTGCAAAAAAGTAATTTTATGATTGAGAGTGATTAAGAGGCAGTCTCTTAGTTTTTTCAATGGGTGGTGGATGCCACTGGACGGGTGCATAATAATTAGTTTTATAATTACACACAACTAACAAAAGACTAATAGCATTTTCATTTTGTAAAATGTATATTGTTAACCATATTATTTTATATTTTTATTAACCCAGCATTATTTTTTAATTTAATTTTACTAAAAAAACAAATTGTCACTATAATTATTTTAGGTAAAACCAGTTCAATCTAGGCTTCGGTCAAGTATTGAGAAGAATCAGTTGGAAAGTCTACTTATATTATCTCTGGAAAGATGTTGAAATTTATCGTAATGAGGCAATTGACATGTTCACAGTCTTCAAATCACTTAATGCAGAATTTATTAACCTTATTAAAGGAACAATAATCTTTTAAAAAATATTATCACATTTCGTGTTATTTTAATTAATCTTATAATTATCTCTATGGTTTTAAAATTGTTTGCAAGAAGCAATATCTCCCCCCTTTCCCAGGAATGTTTTTTTAAAGGGCAATTTTTAAAAGAGATAAAACCCAGTATTCAATGTTTAAAAATAGTAGTTAATGGGTCATAAACCTGCATGTATCGAAAAATATATTTGCCTCTGAAATTATTTGAGTACGCCAGGCAGCGGCAAAATATACTAAACGTTGTCACACAAACATAATATGTCCATATATACTGCTTACATCGTACGTAGTATTCAACTTTTATAGTTCATTAATAACTTCTGATGATAAGTAGATAAGCCATGCGAAAATTGTGAAGTTATGACGCTTGGAAGGTTTTAAATTTTTTTATTCCTTATAATTTTATAGTTATCACTGAAGACATATAATATAATAATGGTGACACCCCGGTTCTCTTGGAGTGATGAAATTACAAAAAATTAGAAATTTTCAAATTATATATATTATCATTCGACAAACAATACCCGCGTATTAGTATTATAATCTTTCCTATACACATTTAAGAATTTTAGTGTTTTGGATATATGGTGTATAACCACGTATACCCTCCACTACACTAGTGGCTATAATAATATGCATCTTAAATTGTGTACATACAATAATTATAATATAAAAATGTTGGCTTTACCATCACACAAATCATATAAGTAAAACTTGTTGGTACCCAATATATAAATAATAATTAACTAATAGTATTTAAAAATAGATTTATTAAAACTTAAATGAAAAATATAGTATCTCAAAACATAAATTCCAATTTAAAGCCTATCGGTCAGACATACTTTTTCTAATACATTGTTTATTTTATTTTTAAATGCTCCAAATGAAAACATATTGTCAAATCTCTTCTTGCCATTCAAACCAAATAACTCAACATTTTCTTCCACTTTCATAAGCTGTTCTATAGCATCAGCAAATTCTTTTGGTTCAGCAATTCGTAAATATCCATTGATACCATTTTCAATTGTTTCCTTAGGTCCACCATTATTTACTGCCACTATTGGTTTGCAACAGTACATTGCCTCTAACGGAACAATACCAAAATGTTCATTAGATGGAGTATATATTAAACACAAACAATGCCTAAGAAGTGATATTTTTATACCATCAGATGGCGACTTCAAAAATATAATACGATTATTGAGATTCAAATCTTTGACAAGGTTTAATAATTCTTGAAAATATTCAATATTTTCTAAATTCAATGGGTCATAACCTCCGGCTAAAATTAGTTTGATATTGTCATCAGATAATAAGCTTAGACTATGAATTGCTAGTTCCAGATTTTTCTTTCTTTCAAACCTATTCACAGATAAGAGAAATTTACAATTATCCATACATATTATATCCTCCAAATTTGTGGTTTCAGTATTATCGAAAAATGCTGTATTTATAGATGGGTAAACAACTTCTGGTTGTTTTTTAATACTCTTGAATGTATTCTTAAACACATTTAATGTAAAATAACTATTTACCAAAATCATATCAGCACACATAGTGGTCTTTTCTTCTAACCAATCCAATGGTAATCGATAATAACGCTTTAAGATATTATCATGTGCAGCCAATAACTGATCAGGATAATGACAATAAAATATAACTTTACATGGCATACATTTCAATACAGGTATGCAAGCTGATATTTGATCCACGAATACCACATCTGGAACAATGGAGCTAAAAAATGTCAAATACAAAGCAGCGTAAATCATGCGTAAATAGCTACACAATGCATAACACTTGCCCAATACAGTTCTTGGTAGCCAATCGCCTACAACTATCACCGGCAACGTACCATCTTTAGTTTCTTCAAAACAATGTGAAGTGCTATGGTGGTTAGTAATTATTTGTACAGAATGACCAAATTCTTTCATTGCTACAGCCGCATCAACCACTAAACGTTCAGCTCCGCCAATACCCAGATCTGGATGTAAGAAAACAACCTTTAACTTCATAGTAAAATCTTAAATCTTTAAAAGTTCATAAACTTAAATAACACGTCATTTATTATTAAAATATAAAATCTGTTCAAAAAGCATTATCTAATCAAATCTTATCAACAATAATATTTCAAATCAACATTTTTTTTTTTACCTAACCTTAAAAGAAAACAGTATTACCATGGATTGTTAAATTAATTATAAAATCATGGAAACAAATTGGATTATCAATGTATTGACTTATCAAAAACAGTAATAACAACAATAATTAACAATTTTGATTGTTAATTCCAATTCGTATTATTTAAAAATATGAATTTTGAAGTTTAAATTTTTCAAATAGTTTACCATGTCCTGGCAAATTTGTTAACAAATCTTTGTACCCCTATATCAAGTGAGTTTATTGCTGCGTACACGTAAGACATATGACGTAGTTCAAGGACTTTTTTTTTAGTATTTTAACCCACTTTTCGCGGTGTTAAATATAAGTTTACATTACATTATTCTGATTGTTCATTGTTATTTTTTTTTTTTTTTTGGTTTTAAGACTAAAATGACTGAAGACCTATCCCGTGATATAGCGTCACGTCAACGTCAAGAACGTTGGGAGTATTATATGCACGGTCTTTGTATACTTGACAATAACTTGAATGTCCAAATGGAAATCGCCTCTCACCGATCATCCGTCCTAAATCATTTAGTTGAACAAGCTAACAGGGTTAAAGATTTATGGGTTGAATTTCAAGGTAAATCAGATAACGGGTGTGTATTGGAAGATACTGCTGTACAAATGGCTATTGAACAACATGGGCTGCAGAGTCATAATTTCCATCAACCCCAGTTGCAAGATAAAAAAGTCTGTATGCTCCTCTAACATAAAATAGTGTATTCTAGAATGTGTTATATAATTTATCTTTATTTTAGGTTATTTCACAATCTCCAAGTAAACCAAGTAAAGATATAGATTGTGATGATGTATTTAACCAAGCGGTTTCTGCAGCGATCATTACAAATGGACTGATTACTACAACTACTCAACAAGATAATATGTAATATGTTTATCTAAAGAAATCATCACAGGGAACATAATCTATAGAAAAAACCTAATATTCTATATTATTATTGAAACAAATTTTCATAGAAAACAATATTAGGAACTTGATATATACATAATAATTAAATCTCCAGGGTCTTCCAAATTGTACAAAATATTCTTTTTTTTTTTAATGGTCTATATGAAAATGTTTTATAATCATAATAGATTCTAAATGAATATCAAATTCATTAAAAGTACCTATACTATTCCAATATGTTTTCTCATTGGTCAAAATACATATTTCAGAATAAACTCTACTTATACTCCGGCCCACGAGAGAAGTAAACCATTTTGTGCATGTAGACTGACGAGTGACAACTGTGACTGTTCAAAGATACTGTTTCCCCCCACTTTGTTCCATTCAGTTATGCACTGTGATGTGTATACACGCACGTAAATTGGACTTGTTTTAGTCGGAATATGGTTTACTTCTCTCGTAGGCCAGAAAGTATCATGTAAAATTTGAAAGACCCTGTATGTATCTTTTATTAATCAGATCAAATTATAAAATAACGATCTAATATGTGATAGAAGTATAGCATTCCTTTTAGGAAATATGTAATGTATTCATTAAATCTCATAGTAGTAGGTACTTATATTTTAATTTTATTATTTTTGTAACCATACAATTTTTACAATCTTCATTTGCTTTATTTTTCTTTTTAGTTGGACTAGGTATTTATTTAATTTTTAATTTGTTGGTCTTTCATATTATTACAGTATATATATTGTTATGTATTTTCATAACTTAAACTATATGTTCATGGAATATATTATATTTTTATTTTACCTTTTGTTTTATTTATAAATAATGATAGAAAATACTAGAATTTGTTTTTATTTTTTATTTTTTTAAAGAATTAGATCTTGATTTTAAATATAATACAAATGTATTAGTCTCTATTGATTGATATATCAATAAAAGGTTTAAGTTAACTAAAAATGGTTTTATCCATACTTCAAAATATGTATACTTGTAATATAAATTCAAATATAATATATGTTTTGTTTTATAGATGTGTTCAAATTACAATAGTAAATTTGTACATACATTATACATTGATTATCATTTACCATAAATTAACTACTCCTGACGGTTATTATACATATTAAGGAAAGATTGTTCTATTGGCTAGAATATACTATTTTCAAAACTAAGAGAAAATTGTACATAATATCATTTTCTACTATTAAATTCTAACAATATTTAGTTTAGTTTTTTTTTTGTTTGAGAAAAAAAAATTTAATTATAACAATTGCCCTTTGAAATTTGAATTAATATTATTTATTTATTTATTTACTTACAGAAATATTAAATGTTTTGTGAATTTTTTTTATTATTATTATTGTGTTACGTTTTTGATGTATCTATTTAATTTATAATTTTTCTTGAAAATAATTGCATTATTCATCTTTGAATTTCTCAATTCAACTGTGAAAATGTTAATATAATTAAATTATCCTTTATTTCTTTCTACAGTATTTGCATATTAATTCAAATAATTTTTCTTAAATGTCTCATTTATTCTAAAAATGGTCAAAATATTTTTTTTTTCTGTAATTGTTATGTTCAAATTTTAGTTATTTAGTTGAAATAAATGTGTTATTCTGATTAGTATAAATTATAATTTCTTAGACAAATTATTATTTTGTTATAAATTAATGAAGTATAACTACTGAATTATATTCAATATATTATATATAATTAAAATATTTACATTTTTAGCAGTTATTCAAAAAAATATTATAGACATATTAACTAATGGATAGCGCCCCTGTCCATCTGTCATCAAGACAATATTGCTCTAACTATGTTTTTTCTCTTTGTTATTTGCATTGCAAATAGAGCGGGGCAGATGCACTATTCAATATAGGTTATAGCCCAAATGGTTAGGTGCCTAGTTTGATGTGTAACAAATAGAATGCCATTTAGAGCATAGTGAGAAACTTTTTTGAGGGTTTTATTTAACCCCTTTTAACTACACATAAATTTATTTACTAACATACCACTGTGGATGGCCAACCCCTAATAGTTGGGATGAAGCCGAAGGAGAAGATGAAGAAAATAGTTAAGTCCGGTTTATTGTTTATTTTTTTTTTTTTGTCAATCTGTTTTCTTTAAAGGTTTTTTTCTTTAATGAGGTTTAACACAAAATGCCATTAAACCAATATAATCTCAACAAAATAAAATTATCATGATCGGCATTTCAAAACTGCATAGAATTTAATGTTTTTCTAATAAAATCAGTTTACAAACAAGTAGATAGCCATTTTATTGGTAATAAGTAATAACAAATTTAAATACTTAATGGAATGTTAATAATAATAAAATTAAATATGCAAAGAAAACTTTATTTTTAGTCAAAGATTTGTAAATTACCTTGGTTGGCATTTTTACAATATAAATAATCTGGATTTAAACAGAAATATAATACAAAACCTAAAAAAATTGGATATTGTTGAATTTAGAATAAGTTTAATAAATTGTATAAATGGTAATTGCCTAGTCTTTGTGAGTTAATATGTAGTATCTATCTATATTATATCAGCATATATGTATATTGTATATAATCATATTTTTTTTTTATTTTAAGTTAGTAAGGAGTAGGTACCCTAAAAAAAGTTGATTTTTCAAACAAACCGTAGGTAAGTATGGCAATTCTGAAAATTGTTGGTCAATTTATCAGTGATAATTTAATGTCTCTAAAACAAAGTGGAAATTGTTTAATTTATTTATTGAAAAAATCTAAAACTACCTTAAAAGTAAAAAAAATATCTATTACTCACTCATACCTATTACAGTTGATTGGGCTTATTGTTACCTCAGCCATCACCTAACCTGTAGATCAAGGGTGACTAAACTTTTTCTAAAAAGATCTACTAAAAATATACTTCACCTTTGAGGATCGACTTCCATTAAAAAGTTGTTTTTTTTTGGTTTTTTGTGTACACTCATACTTACAAATTTTAAAGAACTCAAATACGTTAATATACTTTTAATACAACAGAAACCAAATTAACACAGTGAAATTAGATTACTGAACTATAAAGTAGAAATTATTATGATATCTATGATAAATACCTATTTGACATAGTAAATCAGAACAAAAGATACAAATTATACAGTTAAAATTTATCTAAAATATTTTTTCATACCAACACAATTTATTTTATTTTCATGCACGTGACCTAACAATAAATTCTAACATAATCGATCAACTTTGAAATCGTCCGAGATCGACCGTTTGGCCGCCCCTGCTCTAGGTTATCTCTACAAAAAATTCAAAAAGTGTTATTTGATCCCGTCATCCGATGGTGTATAGTAGATAAGTACTTACGTTTTGAGTTATACATAATCACAGGGGCGTGCTCAGCGTTTTCTTATAGGGAGAGGGGGGAGGATGAACTATATTTTGTTTTGTTGATAATCATATACACAAATTTACAAAATGTACTTATTGATATTTTAGGAATAGGTAGTTAGGTACAAATTACAATGTTATTATATATACCTATTTTCTTATACTAATATTTTAAACCTGTTTTCTCATTTAAAATAAACCTAAATGTTGTATAAATACCATTAACCATACATTTTTAAGTGTCTATACAGTAAAAGACAAAATTTATGTACATTAGGTAGTAAAACCTGATTTTTTTTTATCTAAAATATCAACATCTGATAATCTACAAATAAGCTTATATAGTTTAAATGCATACTTTTAGTTTAAAAAAAACTGTTCTAGGTTAATGAGGTCAGGTGCAGCCACTGTTATAGGTAATTTAATTTGTACCTGTATAAGTAACGATAAAACATTGCTAACGAAAAAACGATTCTGAGCGGAGTTCAGTTGATAGTGATACTTTAGCAACAATATATATGTCATATTATGGTAAAATAATTAAATAAGCATTATATATTTTCTTTAATAATATTTGTTTAATGTACCGATTTTCACGTTCAAAATCGAAAAACTGCTTCCCTAAAGTACCTTCCCAATAAGATTTCCTTTCAAAAAAAATGCTATCATTGTAAATCTGAACAAAATAGCTGGAAGAAAAATTGTCTACAGAAAAAAAATACATCTTTGTAAAACCATAAGCTTATTCGCTCCACTCAGAATCTAAAATATGAAATTATTAAAAATATTTAAGCAATTAGGCATGTGTATTAATATAAAAGTTTTATTATGGCATAACTAAAAATTGCATAACTATAAATACTATTGATAATATATTAATATGCCTATGGTTGCGTTTATAACATAGATATCCGAATATAATGGACTGAAATATTATGATAGCCCATTGGTACCTTTTTTTTTTATAATATGTATGCATTATCTATAGATAATCACTATTAATTTAGTATCTACTAAATATATTTTATATGTATGATAATAATTAACATGACTAAAAATTAAAACCAACTATGTGGGTACTACTTAACTGAAACTACCAAAGAACTTCAAACAAATGCATAAAAAAAAGTTCATGGGAGGGATATGACACCCTCATCCCCTCCGTGAGCACGCCTCTGTATAGTCATGCTAATATGTATGACATCCTCATTTTTGTTTTAAAGGCTTTCTGATCGTGTAAACACAATAATCTGTATAGGTACCGTTTGGTGTATACCGTATACCTGTGTTTTAAATAAATATAATTCAAAATACGAATAAATCATTAAAATAAAAAAACCATCGGTATTATTTATTATGTAGATAAGTACACAAATAAAATCACACAATCGATAAAAATTATTCTGCTGGTACAATAATATTAATTGTGTTAAGTTTTTTAACATTCGTACATTTAATTGTCCTAAAAAGTGAACTTTTATAACTATACAGTAAATAGGTTATATATATTATATTATATTATTTTATTTAGGTTTTTATAATACGATAGGTACCTAATCTACATAATATATAGATAATCATTATAGTAATATTTTTGTCGAACATCGATGTGTGTAGGTACCTATTACCTATACCTATGGCTACATACCTACCGTATGCAATTTTATTGTTTCTGGTTTTTAATTTTTTTTTATCGTCGCGGGTTAAGTATAAATTGTATTCATGATTGTTATTATTAATACTACACCTACTCCCATTGAAAATTCTCGAGCACGCCACTTGTACGAATACTCAACAATTAATAATATGTCAATAATTTATCTTGTATACTTACTTAGGTTATTCACAATGTAGACATAAGTACAAAGAGCGTTTTGAACTTAAAAACAATATTTTTTAGCAGAAAAAAAGATCCACCAGGACTATATATATTTTATGATATCGATATATTATATATCTGTACCCACATATCATAATAATATAAGCTATTTTTTTCATGGTATAATTATTAATAGATTATCAAATATATATGGATTTTTTTTTTATTATATTAATGTAATATTAATAATGTAAGCCGTTGGTTATTAATGGAGAGAGAGGTTAAATAACTTTTTGGTGAGACTAAAACCTCTATCCGATATTTTTGTGCCTATGAATACTGAACCTACTTACATATATACATATTATGTTGGTAAGTACGTGTAATAATTATTGTTCGATTAACCGTGTGTCATATTGTTATTAGACAAGTATAATATTTAAGCCCTATTGTATACGACGGGTTTTAGTTTACAATTTTTACAATTCTATGTAATTTTATGATAATCATAACGAAATTATAAAAAAAAAAAACCGTTTTTAGTTCAATAAACCAAGAAGGTATACCTATTATATTATGCCTACGTCTAAAGTTCAGACGTAGGCATTCCCTTTTCTTTTCTTTTTTTATTCGTCCAATATAATATGAACCTACGTTAGAAAGGTTAGGTTAAGTACCGATAAAAGTTAAGGTGCATAAAGTTAGGTAGATATATAAGTTTGCCTCATACTAGGAAGATAATATAATTACAATTACACGACATTTTTTATTTCGTTTTTTCGTTTTTTTTTTTTTATATTTTTTTTTCGTTATTAATATTATTAACTTTAATTTAATTTATAAATTCTATATAGAGATGGTCTACACACAACTTCCTAACTCTAGATGCACATATGTTTTTATTGTTTTTTGTTCAACCAGTAATCAATTGCATTAAGACGGGTAAAATAATAATCATAGGCCTAAAACAAAGCGGTTATAATTAATCGGACACGGCGTATAGAGATACCATGTATTATATATTGTTTAATGGTCGCGTACACACGCGTCTAAAACAACTAAAACATAAGTACTTATACAAAGGAAATGTCTACACGGCAACAATATTTTTCTGCCTTGGTAGGAATGTAATATTATAAGGTGGATAAGTCCTACGCTTGTTTATGATATATGCGTGTTTAAAAAAATTATACGGAACTCGTATTACTGTAGTATTATTATTATTATTGTTTGTGTTTATTTTTTTTTCTTAACCAAAATAAGTCGTTATATTCTCAGATATACGCGTAGGTACCGACTATAGCGAATTACACGTTATAATTTTACACGTATACACTTATAAATCTACGTTAATAATAAAAATGTGTGTTATAAATAAGTATATATGTATAATAAAAATATAAAAACTGACGAGAACCTGTTCTGTTAAAAATGTTAACGAAGGCATTAGGACGGAGATCGGATTGGTGTGCAGACGAGGAGACATTTCGACAGAATACCTAGATTTTCACACCGTATGGTCGGAAGTATTTTTGTAGAGTGAACATTTCCCTCATCCCCAGACAGTGGTTGTGGTTTAGATGGAAGACGGAGGTGCCCCATCTTGTTTAAAGTAAAATTATTCGTCCCTTTTAGCCTATAGTTTAAGTTTTGAAGCCCGAAGGGACGCGTTGATTGTTGTAGTTAAGGTATTTTTAATGCAATTTTAAAAACTCGAATCAGATTTATTGAAAATTAATTATTTAATACTATTGGATTATACATAATCAAACTCTGTCTAGGGACTCAATTTTTACCGAGCAAACATGCAAAGTGTAACTGTGTAAAATAATATTTTTAGGGAAATTGTATTTTAATAATTTTTAAATCCTATCATCATAACATTTGTAAAAACAAATTTGTATGGGAGAAAAACATTTTAGAAGTCTTGTCTCCGTGACAGATTTCCTAAAAGTTTGGTTGGCTTTAGTTAATTCTCGAGAACGCCCCTCGATGTTTGTCGAGTATAGTTCTACCTTCATAGATTCTCCCACTTCAACCTCTGTAGCTGTTCCGGAGAAACAACAATATTCCAAAAAAAACGTAGTACTTATGTATTTGAATTCTAAGAGAACGTATAAACACTAAACAAAATTGAATATTAATATAATAAATTAGCACGATCTCAAATTAAAAATAATTCCGAACCGAATGCGATTTGAGTGTAGATTAACGGTTAAACAGGATTATTGGATTTTAATTACTCGTCAGTTCATCGTTGTCGAATAGATCAGTGTATTGTTAGAAGTAATATTATTATTATTATTGTTGTTGTGTCTCGAGGAAAATATCCACTCTGCAAATTACCGATCAGGGAAAATATCACAATGTCTATTTGGAAAACGGTACCCTATATATTATATATAAAATCAGAAGTGCTGCACTATTATTGTACACGTATAGGTATTAGATTGGATTGGTCGTGGTCATGGGATTCTCGGTGATGGTGGTGGTGATGGTAGTGGTGATGGAGGAATGGATCCGTCGGTGATGCCGATGCTAGTGGTTAGTATTCGTCTCCCTCGTCTCCGTCGCCATCCGCAGAGTCGGTGGCCACCTCCTCGTAGTCCTTCTCTAGCGCGGCCAAATCCTCGCGGGCTTCGCTGAACTCTCCCTCCTCCATTCCCTCGCCCACGTACCAGTGGACGAACGCTCGTTTCGCGTACATCAGATCGAACTTGTGGTCGAGCCGTGCCCAGGCCTCGGCGATAGCTGTCGTATTGGACAACATGCATACGGCCCGCTGCACCTTGGCCAGGTCACCACCCGGCACCACGGTGGGCGGTTGATAGTTGATGCCCACCTTGAACCCGGTCGGGCACCAGTCAACGAACTGTATGGTCCGCTTAGTCTTGATGGTGGCGATAGCCGCGTTCACGTCCTTCGGCACCACGTCACCTCTGTACAGCATACAACACGCCATGTACTTGCCGTGCCGGGGATCGCACTTGACCATCTGATTGGCCGGTTCGAAGCACGCGTTAGTGATCTCAGCCACGGTCATCTGCTCGTGGTACGCCTTCTCGGCCGATATCACCGGCGCGTACGTGGCCAACGGGAAATGGATCCTCGGGTACGGTACCAGGTTAGTCTGTAGATGCAAAAAAGGATCGTATTATCTTCCTGTAACTTAACCGAATCTAAACGAGCTTATCCACAAAAGCAAAAACCCAAGATGACAGTTTCGACTAACGTATTTATTATAGTATGAAAAATTGAAGACTATTAGGTATATCGCATATATACTGTATATACACATATATACATATATATTTCGAGTCTCTACCCGTGGGCGAGCCTATAGGAATAAGATCACGGTCGGCAGAAGGTTGATAACGAAAAAAACGAACGGCTAGAGGTTTTCGGGGGAAGATATGAGGGCACGATGATGCGGAGTAGATGACGATAAAATATAACGAGGGCAAAAATACGAGTCGCTGATCCCACTGGCGTATGGGAAAAAAGTGAATAATTAGATGAAGCAGATCGTGAGATTGGCGGATATCTACTTCGGAACACACACCTATACCGTACTTCAGTACTTTCGGTTTGCTGGCTACGTATGCGTAACCGCTTTATACATTTGTATATTATTATTGTTATTTTTGTTGTTTTACGTTATACATTTTAATCGATAGAACGCGCGAGCTCACTGCGGCGTAGTAATTAACAGGTGAGTTTCTCTAGACCGATTCGTGCATGACCGAACGTGGAACTAATCGTAATTAATTCGGCGCAATAACGTTTCAATGGCACGTGCGGGGAATTCCCGTGCAAGCTACGGCATGAAACCGGCGGAGTCTCTGAACAGTCTGAATTCACGTTTCAACTACTGTTTCTGTAGTGCGGAAATAGGCTAACCGTGTTCGCCAGTGCTTGACTTGGAAAAGAAAATATAATAGGTGATAGGTACATGTATATGTACACTAATGATAAATAAAAATGTACGCGTTCCTCGGGAAATCAGCACCTCATGGCTCATATTACTTCACTGTCTGCTCGTTCCAAAAATGTTATCGTAAACCAACGGTAATAAAAATGAAATAAACGTTAATTTTCAAACAAATTCAAAAGTTTGAAATGTACAGTTACACTATGTTTACAGAAATACCTACTACAGTTAGAAAGTAAAGTCCCTATTACCTCTTCTTTATTATAAATAATATATTTGTTCAAATTCAGTTTTAAGAATCTAAAAAGGGACGTCGAAAAGGCCTATATGAATAGTATGCAATTTTTAAAAAATGAGGTAACTTTTTTATATTTCTTGTACGTCTTCTAATAATAATAATAAAAAAAAAAAATACCAACAAATGGTAATATATTTACGAAACGTTGAGCTTTGTCAAAATCAATTTTCTTTGTTTTTTTTTTTTTTGGAATTCAGTAAAAAAAATATAAACGTGAAGACCTGAAATCTTCAACAGATACTCATGTACCAGCATTTTCTAAACGTGTTATAATTTTCATTTTTTTTTTTTTTTTTTTTGTTTTTTTTACTTGAAATTCGGTAAGATCGACGTTCAGCGCGCCGTCGAATCTGAGCGACGCCGTGATGGACGACACGATTTGACCGATCAGCCGGTTCAAATTGGTGTACGTAGGCCGTTCGATGTCCAGGTTCCGGCGGCATATGTCGTAGATGGCCTCGTTGTCCACCATGAAGGAACAATCGGAGTGTTCGAGCGTGGTGTGCGTGGTCAGTATGGAGTTGTACGGTTCAACCACGGCCGTGGACACCTGTGGCGCCGGGTAGATAGAGAACTCGAGTTTGCTCTTTTTCCCGTAGTCCACGCTCAGACGTTCCATGAGCAGCGACGTGAACCCGGAACCGGTGCCCCCGCCGAACGAGTGGAACACTAGGAAACCCTGCAGACCAGTGCATTGGTCCGAAAGCTTACGGATCCGGTCCAGCACGATGTCTACGATTTCCTTGCCGATCGTGTAGTGGCCCCGAGCGTAGTTGTTAGCCGCATCCTCCTTGCCGGTAATGAGCTGTTCGGGGTGGAACAATTGTCTGTACGTACCGGTACGAACTTCATCTGCGAACAAACGTGAAGGTATGTAGGTACTATATAATATGTGATAACTCATGAGGTATAAAACCGATAGGTTATAGGTTAGCCTTGTATAATAATTTTACACAAGCTATTTTTTGAGCAACAAATGCCTAATCCTATAGAATAATAATGCGTAAAATAGTTCATTGAAATTATTATTCTTATTCGTAAAATTATTTTGTCCAGTTTGCGATCAGACAGGTGATTTTTAGATATAATTTTTCGCATTACCAACGACGGTCGGCTCCAAGTCGACAAACACCGCCCTCGGGACGTGTTTTCCGGCACCGGTCTCGCTGAAGAACGTGTTGAAGCTGTCGTCACCTCCGCCGATCGTCTTGTCCGACGGCATCTGTCCGTCCGGCTGTATGCCATGTTCCAAACAGTACAGCTCCCAGCAAGCGTTGCCAATCTGAACACCGGCCTGACCAATGTGTACGGATATACACTCACGCTAAAAATAAAAAAATAAAATAAAAATAGTAGGTACACTGTCTTATATTTAATTGTTGTAGCCCAAAGCTCAATTCAGAACCCTAATTAGGGGAGAAAAAAATACCTCATCATATTATGAGGGTACCCCTAAAATAGAATTTAAAACCTGCCTTTTGGTTTTTTTTTACTTTACGTATAATAGATCCTAACCTATTCTAACATGTAATTTCTTTAATGTAACTTCCATTCCACCTTCCACCAGAAAATATCCGTGTACGTCACTGTTAAATATAATAATACAATATTTAAAAATTAATCAAACTAAGTAGGTAATCAAATCTTTAGGAGTGTTAACTCTTTTTTTTCGAACATTTTTTCTTGTCGCTCCACTGCAAATAAATAGATACGTTTTTAGTAGATATTCAATTATTAATTTTTAATATGCATGTATAATAATTATTATTTCGTCAACATTTATAACGACACGCGAAGTTTTTTATTGTCTCGTGTGTCATAGTCGTAAGCTCACTCCAGAAGATAACTACCGCATTGTAATAATACTATACTTAAAACCAAAAAACATTCAATTTCTTACTCGTATCTAATTTATACTTATTCTCGTATCTAAACCCCTCAATACGATTCATGGACACTTCCTCGGCTGCCATTTCCCCGTCAGACGTTTCCTCGTAAGAAATTTCCCCGTCCATATTATATATTTACATCATAAATATGTAAGAATATAAGATATATACATATATATATATATATATGTAAAAATTGTAAGAATAAAATAATAAATTTAAAAAAATATAAAAATTACCATAAAATATTTTAATGTTGTAGCTCTAAATTATGAGCGGATCCAATTAAGTACTTCTCTAGATCATATTCGCCATATGTAGACACAACATATATTCATTTATATTTTTTTATACGTGTATATATTTTAAATGCATTTTATTACAATACATATTATATTAATTATCTTTGTAGATAAAATTGTTTTATATTATTTTATATATTTATAATATAATATAGAAATATAATATGGACGGGAAAGTGGACCCAATACTCTTAATACATAATTAAATGTGAATTTTAATTATAAAATTATGTACCATGTTTAATTTAATAAATACGAATATTTCGCCGTAATTCCGTACGCTATATCTAGGTAATGTATAATTTAGACATAAAAACATTAAAGTATTGTATATTCACCTCCGTTTAACACAAACAAATGTTTTCATTTGTTTTAGACAAAATAACTTTTCATAATCCGCTAGAATAATATATCTACACAAAATATACTTGATTGTATATTACGATTAAGATATATATAATAAAATATGTTTGCTAAAAATTTCAAAACTAACAAAGAATATTTTATAATATTTTGAAAATATTGACAGTTGGAATAGCGGAAATAACACTATTATAGTTATATACGTATATACATTATACGCCTATACTTGATCGTTTTCAAATAAAATGTATTGTTGAAACTTTGTTTGATAACAAAATTAATGGCCAAGAAATTTCAGAAAAAACGCATAGATATTTACGACACACCTCAGTGTTACCGATTTTATTATTTTTATTTTATCAAAAAATGACCAGAATCCTAATACGTTGAATTTTGGATCTTGTTGGTGGCCTAATTGGTAAAATTGTTTGGCCAAATATAAATACTTAAAAATTTAACATGAAGTTCATTATAAGTTATTTATTTTGGGTTAGTGGGTCCCGCGTACGTCGTCGTTGTTGTCAAGGTCTTTGATGGTACCATAAATTCTTTTAGAATTTCGACAAGCATCTAGCTATCGATTCACGCTCAAAGTAATCTAAATTATGTTATAATATTAATTATTATGATCAAAGATCAATCATTGTTGTCACAATATTTTATCTACATTTTTGTATGACATTAAATATTAATTATATTTTTCCTATATAAACGGATACATTATTAACATTATGGTTTGCGTTTTTAACTTGTCACTTATCGTATAATTTTTTTTGTATTCTTTATTTTTCAAAATTGATTATTTTTTAAAATATTTTAAAAACTATCCTTCGACGTTTGTTAACTAATGAGCGACGAGGAAGATGCGCAGATTTTCAGAATGGAAACTGCCAAGACACGTTTAGAATTAAGGAAACCACTAAACCAAATCTCAATTCTACCATCTGAACGGGTAACTTTAGAACGTACGTCGATTCCGCTATTAGAAACAGTTCCGCTTCCACGATCGCCGAAAGTCCGAGTTTCGAAAAAGATTCTGAGAGTACAATGATCTCAACTGAAGTTATGAACGCGATGGCAGATCGCATAAGTAGAGTGAAAAGATCGAGAGTTTCGGAAACAGAATACGTTCCGGAACCACCGAAGAAGAAAATTCCGCAACAGAACCAGAAGAGGGTCTTAATGACATCTCCTCTTATTCAAGTGCAGAATCAATTACGGACTCACTATCAACAAGTTATGAATCAACCATAGTCAATCGCAACAGATAGTAGTCCGGCTGAAACAAACAATGTTACCGGAAAGAAGACCGAAAATATTTCCTTTAGCCAGTATTTTGATAGTGTTAATGACACTCGAAAACGAGCATTTGCCATTTATAACACCGAAGAAGTAAAAACAGATATCATTTTCTATCATCTAATGGGTATCAAGTTAATCGACGAAAACAAAGAAGAAAATAACAAGACATGTTGAGCCATCTTCGGAAGTTAGGAATGTTATTGGAAGATGTGTCAATGCAGTTTATAATTTTTCTTGGCTAGGAAATGTTATTTACAAATCCTCGATCTTTGTACCCTCAAGATCAACAATTATTTACATCTTAAATGAGTTCGAACAACTCAGACGATTCTACTTCTCCCTACCCTTCTACGTTGGATCCACCCACGGAGGACACGTGCACTTCGTACACGCGTGTTGACAGACAAACAACTCTTACCGCTGCCGGTGGATCCAACGATCCGTCAATTTTGCAAAATTAGCTGTCCGTTTCAATCAACATTTCAATCTGCCGTACCAGGTTGCAACAGATACATAATTACTTATGTTCAAACGGCCGTGTCTACGAAGAAATTCATGTGCCAGGAACAGACAAAACATTATACCGTGAAATGCGAATTTTACAAAACTTCAAAAATGATAAGTAAAAAATAATAGATTATTGTATATTAAATATATATATATATATTTATTTATTTTAAATATTTATAATTTTAGATTTGGATGGTGTAAGCAAATCATTGTCAAGAGGACGGGGATATTCTCGGGGGGTTCTCCCGTCATAAATTATATAAAATCGGCGCTAAAAATTATTAAGTAATAAAACAAAAAAAGTTGAGCATTATGCAGCAGTTTTTTTTTATAATCGTTTTAAAGTCAAATTTTGATGAAAATCGTCAATGTTACGAATAGAAAACGAATAAATTTGTTAACACATTAACATTTTAAAGGTCACAGAGAATTTAATAATCGTATTTATATTTATTGCCGAGTAAATAATCTATTATTATTCCTTGTAATTTTCTTAATAAATGGGAAAAACTGACAGTTTTTGTTGATTTCTGGGTTATATTAGCAGCTAGAGAAAATACGAACAATAACGACATACTTAGATTCATTTTTCGTTTATCGTTGCACACAGATATAAATTGAATTACTGTATACATCCTACCTTTTGAAAACAGTGGCCCACCTATCAGCCCTCTTTTTTAACTTAATTAAGTTAACTATGTTTTTTGGGGATTTGGACTTTTAACTTATAACGAGATAAATGTAATTTTTAACTTATGGCTTTTTTTCTTTATTAAACTTAAATTTAGAGTACTATTTTTATTTGATTTGTCTCACTCCATCCTTTTGCGTGTAACATATTATATTTGTTGAAGGTCCTTCGTGTATATTCGTAGCTATAACATCATATTATTTAGAGAGAATAGCCACGAAAATAAACACGACGGAATGCGAAACGGAACAAAATAATATTTTTATGTTGTCAAGAAACGACAGCGAAACGATTCGTCCGTAAAATCAATAAAATGGAAAATAATTAAACAGCGTAAAAGTCACCGATCATTTCCTGCGTGGCGCCGCCACCGAATTACATTTTATATGGGCACCAGTGTATAAAGGTGGTTCTAAAACGTGCGAAAAAAAAATCGTAACGCAAAAATATATAATGAACCGTATTGTTTTTATCCAAACTACTAATTTTCTTTTCCTATATTATATAGGTATGTCATTCGGGTTTTTTTTTTTTAACACTAAGCGACGTCTCCCGTGAACCATGTCCTCGCGGATTCGGAACGTTTCCGTCATCTTGTAGCTCGGGGACCAACGATCCGAAAAAAACGCGACCGATGACACGACGAAAATCTATACAACGTAAGGCGGTCGGGGGTCGTGAGGAAAGTAGAGACGTCTGTATGATGTCTACCCCGTCTTCGCGTGTTCAAAAAACAACATTAAAATATATATAGGTAATGCAGAAAACCGGTACACAATGGCAATAGGTAATATCTGTTACGGAATGCTGACATTTCACGGCTTCCTCGCGAACAATGTATTGTAATGTGAACGTCTCCTTCCCCTCAAGTAGGACATTATCCCCCCCTAGAGAAAGACAATATTCAAACATATAATTTCAATTAAAGAAACGGGTACCCCCCACATTATATTATATTTAATTTACAGTTAATATACTCTACATAAATGAACTGAAAAAATGATGTAATACTATTTAACAAATCAATTTACATATTGTGATATGTTAGGTAGCTACAGCTTTAGAAATTAACGTGTTAAACATTTTAGTCCACTGTAAAATCAAAAAATACACGCGTACTAATTGCCACCACTCAATTATTGATCTGCATATTAAATGCGGAATAATATTGCTTTTCTTTATTATATTATATTAAATTTATATTATTTTATTATCTGACCCGCGCTCGGCGTTGCCTGTGCCGTTTTTTTTTTTTTTTTGCCTTTATTCCCATTTTGCTTGTCCGTAAGAGTATAATGAAAAAAATAAATGGAGAATGGTTCAGTAGCGAACTAAAAGTATTCTAAGTGTGTCATACACTTTTTGATCCGTGTTACCATAGATACCCGCATAGCATAGGGATTAAACTTTATAGCCACTAGTATGTAACTCTAAAATTATGACTATATAATAGTACTTTATAGTAGTGTAGTGTTGTTAGCCAATAATATACTGACAGACGTCTGAGTCACATAGACTCTTTATTTTAAATTTGTATAGTTGTTATGACATTTTTATTTCTGCTTATTATTTATTTTTTTGTTTTAAATTGTTTTTCATTTCACCCATGTAACTAAAGTAACTCATAATTCAACAAAAAAAATTCAATTTTCATACTAAAAATATTTAATAATCTATCTTAGACCAAACACATTGAGCACTATCTCATCAAAATCGATTGAGTATAGTTTTAGAGTGCATCGTACGTAAACTCGTCGTACACGTGATTTTTATATATACGATTTACAATAATTTACGAATAAAGATAACTGATTTAAAATTATCTACACTTTTATTTATTTTCTAGGAAAATGATTGAAAATGTTGATTTTTTTGAAAAATTATTAAAAATGCGAAATATATAAGTAATAATTAAAACTTTGTAGTTATGCATTTGAAAGAAATCGATTGTACATAATTAAACTATTGTTCAACTAACGACTACTGCAGTACTTGGATATACTCAATAAATGGCATGACCACAATATTTGTATATGTACAATAAATGAATTGATGCAATATTAATAATAATATCATTTATTTACGGAGTAAATTTCAATTACATTTTAAATTCCGAGCGTAGCGATTGAGCTATTGGTTTTACTAAGATGTTAATTTTTTTTTTCTTTATTCTAGTTTGTGAACACGTTTTTTCCTATTAAATTCCGATTTTTACGTGTAACAACTTTTCTGAAAGCTCAAAGTTGTTTAGATTGTACTTTAAAGAGGTCATTTTTTAATTTTCGATGCCATTTTTTAAATAAAAGCACTGAAGTGGGAAAAAAACGTAGAAATACATATAATTTCATTATTTTATAAAAACATGGACGATGTTTACTACCAAAAAAACATAATTTTATCGAAAAATCACACGATACTTTTTTTATTGCCAATTTAATTTCTTACAGTATCATCGCTAAAACTTTTGAGCCACTTTTGAGCTTTTAAGGAATTTTAATTTTTAGTAGGTTTTTTGCTGTAATTTAGTTATAAATATACGTAGAGACTTGAAACTTGGTAATAATAATTATATTGAACTTACCTAGATGTGGTAAAAGTTTAAAAATCATCGGATGACTTTTTTTTTTTTAATAAACGTTTTAAAATCAAATTTAAACAAAAATCGCAAAAAAAAAATTACGGCACTTTAAATTATGTATTACCAAACTGCGCTCGGAATCGTCTTTTGTCAAGCAATGGTTTATCGTTGCTTACAGATATAAATGAAAAAACCTTATGTATCGTACCTATTTTCACTTACAACAGTGGCCACTCCCATCCCCATCATCAATGTTTTTTAAATATAAAAGACAGTTATATGGTATAGTTAGTGTTTAAATTTTTGATTTTCATCGATTCGTTGACGAGATATTTCACTTTTAAGTTTAGTTTGGAGGAGAGTAGTGACAGCACGGCGTGCGGCATGTTGATAATGTACCACCACTCTCCTCCAATCCAAACTTAAAAATGGAATATCTCGTCAACGGATCGATGGAAATCAAAAATGTCAACACTTAAATTTGTTTTAATTAATACTCCATATATTTATGGACTTTTTAATACAGGTACCATTTGAAAATCAAAAGTAAGTAGTGGCTTTACCCCCGAAAATATAGGTGATAAAAAATAGCATAAATATAAAATTGTAGAGCAGCTTATTTCTTAAAAGTTTTAAAAAACAATTCGGGAAAAAGTTAATACTTTCCGAGATAATAAGTGTATCCACATAAATGGATCACTCGGTATACATAAAAAAAAAAAAACTATCTGCTTATCTCAATAATATATAGTTGCAGTGGCGTGTCTATACATTTTCAATGGAAGCTAAAGTAAGAATAGTGAATAATACTCATGAATAAATCGTACAATCTTCTTATACGATGTATATTTAATTCAGCATGGAAATTTAAAAGCCAAATCCGATAAAAAAAAAAAACTTTTCAATTAATCAATCAAGTATTTCTTGTAACTTGGTTGAAGTACAATGAACATTTCAAAATTAAATTACTTAATAAATACTGTTCATAGTTGTATGTATTTTTAGGCCAAAGGAAAGGTGATATGACTCTCAATCTCGCTCAATTCAGTAAAATTTTATTGGGATGGGACTTTAAAAAGTCTTTTTTTTTTTTTGATTTTCCCAGGGGTTTTCATAATAAATGGGAAAAATGGGGAAACGTACGAAATGTATTATTTTAAAATCGTAGATATTACAGCCTTTCAAAACATGTATAACATAACATACTACCTAACTCCGCTCAGAATCATTTTTTGTTAGCAATGATAAATCTTTGCGTACAGATAAACATTAAATTCCCTCTCTATCTTACCAACTTCTCACCTACAACAGTGGCAACCCATCGTGCGAAGTATGTCTGTTTTTTTTTTATTTTATACATGATTTTGTAATGCTTATTTATACAAGTATAAGCTATACAGTTATTTAAAACTATGTTTTATACTATATATATATATATATATATATATATATATATATGTATTTTTATATGTTCAGTAAATGGAGTTATTTTTCGTAATAAAGAAATAGTATTATATATTATAATAGTATATTATTGTCTTTGATAATTTTGTGTACGAAAATCTTACAAAATACAAATTATAAGTAAAAATTTGACCTACTATATTATATATTTGAAACAGGCACGTATATACAAAGGGAGGGGACTTGGGGGTCTGATCCTCCTCCATTGCCTTTTTATTTTTACATAATGTTCGTATATAATTTTGTACATAGATTTAAAAAAAAAACTTTTCGCTTCTGGCCCCTCTCCACGTACAAAACTTATTCGTGTAGTGTGTACGTCACTGATTTAAACACAATGGATCCACATACCGTTTGTATAGGTACATACCTATATAATATCATGTACAGAATTGAAAACACAATCGTATGTAAATGCACCGATCCCTGCGCGGTTGAACGCGTGTACGTCAATAAAATATTATATTGTTAAACGGGTGAGTATTGAGTAGGAGAAAAAAAGAACGAATAACCCGACCGGACGGGAGTGGCGAAATTATAAGTATACGAATATAATAAACGGCTATAGTATACTATAATATACACCACACAATAATAATATTATCTTCGTCGTTGCACAGTAAACGTCGGATACGACAAAAAAGAAAACAAACGACTTACGACCGAAATCATATTATTATACAATATAGGTATATATAATATGAATGGCCAAATATAATAATTGGAAACGAACGCAATGTCGGGTAAGTTTTCGCGGCCGGACGGTGACTCGTAATGTACATCCAAGTGGGTTCGGCAGAACGGATATTATAATCGGAAAGGGCGGGAGTGAAAGGGAAAACAGAGAACCGTACTTCGGTTATTGTCACCAACCGCGGTTACCACCTTACCGTGTATGATATTATTATTTTAATAATATCGCGTCCACACGGTTTTTTTTATTTATTTATTTTTTTATTTTTACGACTCGACTCCGTGCGTCATTATTTTTCCTGAGACTCCGAAAACGACAGTGACGATGACCGTGGTAGGTGCCTATTAGTCTTCGTCTACATACCCATCACACCATACACGCACTCTCCCCTCCCCCCCGAATCTAACAAAGTGTTTTGACGGCGCCAGGCAACGGAAACGCGAGATGACAAAATATTATAATAATTACAGCTTATCGCAGTACTTTAATAAAAAAATAATTTTAAAAAAATGGTCTGTCCACCTTTCCGGTAGGCGAGTATAGCTACAATTAGGTTTTTGACTCCGTAGTCACAAAAAAATATAACTTATTTAATAAATACAATTGTGATAAAGAGAAAAATAATTTTGAAAACACAATTTAATTTAATTTTAAAATAAATATATACTCGTTAGTTTAAAAATAAAGAGCTTCAAAAATTAAATGTTTTATCAGTCACTGCTTTTCAGCCTCTCCCGTTTCCTGGCACAACTAACGATTCGAATACAAATTATTTTTCTCCCTAAGAAAGTGAAAACGTGGTTTTGATTAAGGGTGTCAAAGGATGAATTGTTGAATTTGTGTTTATCCAGAAATCGATATTTTCAATGAAATATCTAACATTTTAGATGATTTTGCTACAACCAAAACCAGACGAGTTAAACTCATAATGTTAAAATGTTGTATTATTGTTTGTAAGATGTCCCCCAAATTAATCCCTGAAGCCACGCCTGTTTTTAGAGCATACAATTTACCTGAATCTCTCTTAGCACTAAACAAATTACCACCACACATTATATCGTTTTTTTACAATACAAATTTATCCGACTTCTTAAAAACCTACAAAAATATATAGGTACAAAAAATTACACTAAATAATAAGTTATAATACACAAGGGTTATAATTTATAACTATCGACTTTATGAATATCGAAAACCGAAATTCTGATAAAATAAAAATCACCAACAGCTTTTAATTTGATTTTCGGTTTTAAATCAAGTTCTACCTACACGTATTCGTGTCCCGAATCATCGATACTACAAACAATACTTCACCTCCACTCCCAGAGAGCCTACGCCCTTTTCGTCAGCACTTGCCTTTTTTTTTTTTTTGGCATTTCTATCACCCGTATGGGATCAATTATTGGATATTGCGTATGTTTTGGTCTACAAAACAGTAATCATCAACTGAAATTATTATTTAACATCATACACGTACCGTATTTTTAATTAAACAATTGCGGAAATGTACAAAATAATTTGTAATTGTAACTATTCCTGCGCACAGAAAGATATACTTATGTCAAAAACAACACGTTACTACGTTACGTTCGGTAGCGCAGCGGTCATCGATCCTATACTATAATATTATTATAATAATAATAACTAATTATTAACTATAAATCAAAACTAAAAACAAATGTATACATGTTACGTTCGTTCAAAAAAATAATTAATTAATTAAAGCTAAGTAGGGATCAAAATACCGTAAATTTCCAGAAAACTCCATTATTTTTTTGACAAAATTCTTAAAAAAATTCTTCATTTTCAATAGACGTTAAAATTTAATAATATAATAGAAATATGAACTAGCTCAGTTAAGAAAAATTATAATGGGCACTGAGCCATTTAAAATAGGTACCTATATTTGAGTGGCATGGCCGTATGTTAAAAAGTAGTTACTATAAGTGAACGTATTCAGTAAATTTTGATGTGCAAAATCAACCTATTTTTAAAAATTACCTTATGGATTTATTACATTCGTAGACTCGGTAAATATAATAAACATATAATAATAACAATTTATTCAAAAATAAATACAGAAGCCTGTTATATAGACGTTATACTTATCGTAAAATCGTTCAGAATTTTTGTTTAGAAAAAAAAACTCAAACATTAACGATATAACTTTGAATCTGCAGTTACTATGCGGCACACAGTGTATGTTGTGCGAGTGTAGTATTTCAAAGTTGTGTCAATATTATAGCACTTCAAGAAAAAATGTAAAAATGCATTCACTCAAAAATATCAAATACCTCAATGATGGAAACACAGTATAAATACGTTATGTATTATTATTATGTACCTAAATAATTTAAAAAACTAAATTGTTTCCGTTGCTGACACTCTTAACTATCGCACCAATGCAACAATCTCATCTTCTCCGTTGTCATATTTATATAGTAATAATATAGTTTAGGTCCATGTATTTTTTTTTTTTTTTGTTTCTTCTCTACAACAATCTATATAGCCTGTCCAATGTAACGGGATTTTTGTTGTCTTTTTTTTAAAAACTATTTTACCTACTTTCATATTAAAAGTACGCGCGATATTGTACTTACATACTATACAATTATCACGTACCTAATAAAACTGTTGAAACCCAATAGCTACGGTTTTATAGACTAGCTGTGTTCAATAACTAATAATAATAATAATAATACAAAATGCACACCCATTATGCTTTTATGTGGTTTATCGTGATGACTAAACAACAATTTCTATTTTCCTTGTTTTTGTGTTTTGACCTATCTATACCAATATCATAGTTACCTGTGTTGCACAATTTTGTCTACTTAAGTATTATTATCGTGTAAACAATTCAATCACGTCGTTAGATCACTTGTATTAAATAAAGTATATCAGATTATAATTTTTGATTCACTTATTTATATGATATTAAAACAAAAATTGTACGTTTATACAAAAAAAATTATTATATTCCGCTCAATTTGTTTAATTTTTTTATCATAAAGAACAACTTATAATAAACTCTGTGTTAAATTTTTGAGTATTTTTATACTAACCCTAAAAAATCGAATCCACATAAAACAAAATAAAAACTAAAAACTCGATAGTTGCAAATGGCTATAAATAGCTCAAACAAATTAATAACTTGAGCAAATATGTTGAAAATTTTACCACTTTCTAATTAGGCTAAATAAGTATCTAAATCTAAGTAACTAAATAAGTATTTGGTAAATATTTTATGTCTTATTATGATTATATTTAACTAAATTAACTGTTAATATTGCGTAAATTGTCCAGTTTTTTAAATGTTTTTCCACAGTGCATCAATTAGACAAAATTTTCTACCATAAATCACCTCTAAAGTTAAACATTGGAGAAAGACTTCTCGTATAATAGTTGTAAACTATATATTATATCTTATAATTATTGCATAACGTTATTTAATACTTGATTTTGTGTAAAGGTAATGAATTATAATTATTATAAAATTATTGTATAATAAAATATATGTTTTACTTATCATATACGTATAAATCATATGCAATTCAAACAATTTAATTTAAATGTATATGATATGTGAATATGTATATTGTTGGTACCTACTCAATATAATAATTAATTAGGTATTTACAGCATTTCATTACTGAATAAAAAAAAAGAACACATTTTTTTTCAAAAATGTAAGCAGGTACCAAATTTCATCGAGTAAAAATAAAACAGTCCATTCATTTTCCAGTAAGAAAGTGTATTTATTTTGATTTTTTTTTATCTTGAGGAACTATTTACAAGATATTTTTATAGTCATTCATTAAACTTTAAACAATTTAGTTCTTTATAAAAGACCTTTGAAATAGTTATAAAATATCTTATTTTTTTAATTACTATTTCATTGTATGATTTTTAATTGGTAACAAATTAATTTTAATTGAAAACAACTCTATTAGGTACTATACGCTTTACTTATAGGTCATCAGATCACTTAAGTAAAATATAAATTCCCTAATACACCTAAATGCCTAATAGGTACCTATTTAGTTACTCCATATGCATATTAAAAACTAGTCGATTGCATTAGACTTGATCTATTTCATAGGACTCGGTCAAGTTATAAAACACGGTGTCATAGGTAACTATATCAGGGTTTATCCCAGTTGTAGCCCAGATAACCAAGGCTATAATATTTTCTCCTTTATCAACTCATTAAAAAATAAGAATTCATAAAATATAAATATTTAATCTACAGTGTTAATGTAATTTATAATTGAGGCCAAAAAATATTTTTTCTTACAATCAAATATATTTTGTTAAACATGACCAAATATATTTCGCTTTCATATTTATATAAATCACTATATGGATGTATATCTAATATTTGATTTATCATTATCTCATATGGTTTTTTTTTTATTTCTATACAAAATATAATCTAAACTATAGGCAAATGAATTGTTCGAAGAAAATTCCATTATAACGTTACACCCATAACCGGAAAAAAACAGTAACGATTACATATAAAAGGTAGGTACCTAACCACAATTGATGACTAAGGTGTCACGCAAAGCGATTTTCACTTTAATCCAAAATTATTTTGATTATTCATCAAGGTTTTTCTTAAAAACATAATTTACTATGTATCAGAGTTGATAGTAAGATGTATACTTTTTTTAACTTATACTAATACGTATAATAATTTATATATAATGTTATTATTTGTATTAGTATAAGTTAAAAAAAAGTATACATCTTTGTAAATAAAATTATTTAATTATTTTTGTTTTATATATAGAAATGGGTTCAATTACAAGAAATAAAATAATTAAAAATGAATACCTATATAACTTAAACGAATATCAAATAATTTGAAGTGTTTTTTTTTTTTTTTACTCATAATGCTTTAAAACTGTAATCTTTTCATTAAACTTATGATGTTAACAATTTTTCAAATATACACTGTATAGTTACTTAGTAGTTCCATTAAATACATATTACAGACAATGTAATACGAGTATTCTTATTGCTAATGTTTTAAAATCGTCATACAGTCATCGTGTCGTCTAACGAACATATCTTTGTTTCAAGTAGAAATACTCGAAATTACGCTTTAATTTCAAAATCAAATAATCTGTTTCCCAGACATCATTTTCAGAATATTAGTACATCAAAAAATATTATACCTTCGATTTAGAAACATTAATTTATTTCAGATATTAAAACATTTTTCTAGAATTTACACAAAGCAAATAACAATTCGTTCACACACATAATATTATAGCAATTTTATTTAGAAGTAGATAACCCTCAGTGCTTTACCCAGGAATTTTCAATGGGAGGGTATGTAGTAAATAAGAATCATAAAATCGTCTTCTCTACGGAACTCGACTATGGAAATTGGTAATTTAAAAGTAGGATCCAAAAAAAAAGCCAATTTCTTTCTATCGACAAATAAGTACGTTCAATAATTTTCTAAGTCAGATTTTCAACCATATTTATTTCCCCCTACCTTATTTCGTATAATATAGACTTTCACTATTTTTTATCGGATACAATCGAATTTCCACGAACTCGATTTCCATTTATTTCCTATTCCATGAGTGCCTTAAATTAAATTGCTAAATTATTATTATTAGCCCATTTCCTCAAATGTATAAAGGTACCGTATAATAATGTCAGCTCTTAACCGAATATTCCACGTCACTTTTTTTCCCACGATATCTTAATAGAATAACCTATATTATATACACTCCTTTTCTTATAGGTACTCGGATAACGTATTTAACGCGGTGTGATGGTATGCGCTCACGGTGTCCGCCACAATTATTAGCGATTTGTTACACATGCACATGTACCTATACAACAGGCCATCGATATAATATAATGTATAGCGACCATCAATATAATATAATATTTTGTACATTATATTATGAATTTTATAATGTTTTCTGCGAGGTTCGTTCACTCGCGTGTTTATAGCATCAATAATTTGTATATTAAAGTAACGATAGGCCCAGATAAAAAAAATAAGCTACTGCTTATGAGTGTGCCACTTTTAATTACGAAAACTAAAATTAAAATCAAAAAACATGCGTATTCACTTCGCACGATGGGTGGGTCACTATTGTAGGTGAGCAGTTTGGAAGGTAAAAGGGAAATTTAATGTATATCTGTATTCAACGATTAATCATTGTTAATAAAAAACGATTCTGAGCATAGTTCGATTATAGATGTTATGAAAGGCTGTAATATTTTTATTTTAAAAGGTTCGTAAATTTTCCCATTTTTCCAACGCTTCTTCCCGGTTTTTCCCATTTATTATGAAAACCCCTGAGAAAATCAAAAAATGACTTCTTACCACCCCAGTTTAATTTCCTTTCAGAAATAGTGCTACATTTTAAAATCAAAGCAAAATTTCTGGTAAAAAGTTGTTCACAGAAAAAAAGAATAAACATCATTGTAAAACAATGAAATTAACTCTTTATCTACGTATTTCAGATAGGAAATTCTACAAAAAAGTTTCTATACTGTTTTTGATTGGTGCAATATTTCTATTAGAAAAGGTGTTTGAAGACTTATGAAAATAAAATAAAAAACACAAAAACTTCCATTAATTCAGACTAATAGTAGCTCTATGTTGTCCAAATTAATTAATTTTTGAATTAACCAATTAGCCAAATTAAATTAGCCAAAGTATATATTTAAACTCTGTTTAGTAAAAATAAGGTGTATACATGTTATTTTTTAAATTTTAAAATATACTTTAAATTTAAGAAATACAAAGGTTATTTTAATATACAACATTTAATATGAATATACAATACAGTAGCCTACTGTATTGTACATTTATGACCATTTTATGACCTGCTATCAATAGGTATTAGGCCCTAAAAATTACAGAATAATTATTGCAGTACAGAATTAGAACATGGCAATCAAAGCACACCTTCACTGACCACATTCAACTCGCTTACTGGTTTTAAGTAACTACTGATCTTTTGTGATCTTCCTTTGACATTAATTTATTTATAAAATTGAGTTAATTAATTTTAATGTATTTTGTGATTATTCTAATAATAAGTATCATTAAGCAACTGTCCGGATTAAGCGAAATCTAAATTGATGGAGCCGGATAAATGAGATTTCAATGTATAGTGCTCCGAATCTAATATACATGAAATATATCTTTGCAATATTTTTTTATTTTTTTGTTTTCACATGTTCATCGTCCGTCAATGCGAAGATTTTCAGAAATTCTAACTATAGATAGGTATATATATAGGTACCATATCTATATTCTTAAAAGAAGTGAAAACCGCAGAAATATAATAAATAATATGTAACTAGCTACGTACCTATATATATGTATATATTTTTTTTGTCCTCCCATTGCAGAGACGCACAACAGTCAAATCGATTAGCGACGGTTTTTGGTTGTAAAACGTACCTACCTAACAAACGCAAGGTCCCGGGAAATGACAATTTTCCCGCGGATAGAAAGTGCGCGTGATGGTACATAGAGAAAAAAAAACGAAGAAACTCGTCGTGACTAATGTCTTCGAAACATTCCGAAATGTCGACAAGACGACGACGACAACACGCGATTCATCAAAAATAATCTTCGAGAAAATTCGTACTTTACTTTCAGCGAAAGTGGTGACGGGAAAAACAATACAACAATAATGTACAAATAGCATAAAGTGTAAAATAAAAATAAAATAAAATGATTATTAAACGGCTTACCATTTTCGATAGTCGTAGTTATAATATTTGTCGCAGGCTGTGAAGTCGCACAAGACGATCTCTGTACTTTTTCAGAGAGAAACGGTGTATAGATAGGTCTTACTTTGGTATGTCAGGTGTATGGTTTGATTTTTCGTTTGTATCGGTTTTCCGTTTCTCGTATATGAGGAGTGGTTTCGGACGGGCTTTACGGAAGACACTGAGACATGTCGCACGTCACTCTCACGTTCTTATATAGGCACGCCCGACCGCCGCACCGTACAAACCTTGTCTTGGTCGGTTGCACCCGTGACAGCCCCTTCCGCCGTCTTACAATAAATAATAAAAGGAAAAATTCGGATATTATATTATATACGCGCGTCATACACAATTTTATATTTATTATATTATTATATATATATATTTATGACGTTTGTCCCAGGGAAAAAGGCCCTAAGTCAATTGTTTAGCTTATTATTGTTATTTTTTTTTTTTTTGTTATAATTGTGTCTCACGTCATTTTTCCTCATTTTATTTTTTTGCTCAAAATGATATATGTGTATGTATATTATACTTAAAATTCAAATAACTTAAGTCACTATAACGAACTTTTTTGTTTGTCAAAGAAGGTATATAACTATGGTCATTTAGAACATTTATATTTAGGTTAGGCCGTTACGTAGAAAATTTTGTTATCTAAAAACCATACCGTTATGCCATTTAGTCATTTACAAAATGCAATTTGTTTGTATTGAAAACTATAAAAAATTGACCTAATCTCTTCTTCTGTGAGACCAAAGATGTACTATTAATATATAGCTGTTTTAGATCTTATCTTGTAGTTTTAGTTTTAGATTCTTTTCGTTTTTCATTTTTCGTCTGTTTCCAGTTTTCCCATTAATTATGAAAATTCATGGGAAAATCAAAAAACTACCTTCTTAAAGTACCTCCCCAGTTAGATTTTCTTGCAAAAAAAAAAATTATTGTAAATCGGAGAAAAATTTCTGGTAAAAAAGTTGTCCACAGATAAAAAAAAAAAAACTTCTCTGTAAAACCATAAGATTCTTCGCTCCGTTCAAAATCCAAAAATTTACAAAACACACATTATAGTAAAACCAATAGATCTCTTTCTACGCTTTGAATCTAAATACATATTATATATTATTAAATATTATATATTATCAAATATTATATTGACTATTATTATAAATATAATGTATCTTGCCTATAAAAAAGTTTCGATTCAATTCTATGTAATTTCTGGAATAAAAATGTTCCCTAAATTAGCCAACTGTACGTAGTCAGCATAATATATTAATTTTAAGTACAGTACGTAAATACGAATAATATTGTGGCCATGGGGGCACGGGCAAACGTAATAGTTTATAATTGTATAATATAATATTTCGACGGGTAATAAACATAGATACGCATACTTACGATTTTTTTTTTTTTATAGTAATCTTACAAAACGACGTGTATTCTCGATTAGATGTTATTATGGTACCCAGCGATTTATATTTTATATTAAAATAATTCGAAAATGGTTATAAGTATGTGCAAATTGTCGGCGTCCGGTCGGACTGCAGCACTACCCGATTCGGTACCGAAAGTTGGATATCGTATAGGTGCTAACTACGCGTAGGACGAGACCATATTAGACTAATAATAATATTATCGTTTCCTCGCGGATGTTCGCACCCTAGAAGGACGTGCATATTTTATTTTTTAAATCTTTTTCATACAGAATTTACAATTACCTTATTATTTATGTGATATGTAAAGTATAAGACACTTTACATATAGTTAGTAGGTACAAAACAAAAAAGTAACCACCAATGGTAACACTTTAAAATTTGATTAGACTATTAGGTACAAGGTACCTAATATATTATTTGATATTCAACCTATTTGATTATTATTATAATATTAGAGGGATGATTAAATATGGGTTAGACTTCTAAACCACATACTATCTCGAGTCTAACGAGGAAGATCACCTAAAACTGTGTCAGAACCAATTCGAAAGGAAATTAGAAGTTTCGAATGTTTTGATTGGAAGTGAAAACAACACTTATATACATGATGTATTTCAGCAATTTCTTCTGTTTAGAATTTGTGTTTTGTTACTATAGGTTACGCCAATGTCATTTATTTCGTTTGTAAAATGTTTAAAAGTCAAATACAGTAATATTCAAAATAATAATTCATTCACCTTTTATGTAACATTAACTTACATACATTACCATAATATATTGTGTTGGTATAGTTATACCTATTATAAATTGTAAATTTCTTGTTTATGCTTTACAATCCTTCGAGGCTATAAACAGCTTCAACTAAACTTCTTCAGCCTTCTCGGTCATGGAGTCATCCATTCTTTTGAATTCATCAACTGCTTTTATAACTTATTTTACCTTACCCAACCATCGTTGTTGGGATCTTTCACGTATGTGGCCGTTTTTTGAATAAGTTCACCACATATGCCCCGTTCATTCAAACACTTAGCATAATGGCATACAACATATTTGAATTATTTGGTTTATTATATACTCGTAATTATTCCAAGTATGCATTTCCCCCCCCCTCTCATAACCACCTATAATTATATTTATAATTGGTCCATACAATTTTCTTAATACCTTCCTTTCAAAAAATAATGATTTGTTTTTGTTTTTCTTAGTCATTGACTATATTTCATAGATACATAACAATTAGTCTTATACAGCATGTATATAATTTCCTTTGGTTTCTATGACGACATTTTTAGTGTTAAATATTTTATTCAATGTAAAGTATGTACTGTTTGCTTTTTATAGATAAAATACAAAATATCAGAGCGGAGGCATAGCATTTGAGGGTGTAGGGGCGTAGCCTCCATGAGTTGTTGGAGTGTACTACATAATTTCGGCAGTATCGTATATTTATGCCGACGGTAAATACACCGACTAGTATATATTTGATTGCCTGAAAAGGACATTTTTCAGAGTTAAACGACAAAATTGTTGTCCGTATTTGTGTTGAGAGTCTGGGACTAGTCCAGCAATATATTTATGTGAAATTGCGCACACAAATGTTGTACAAATGCTAGTATAGTACCGAAACTGAAAATTCGCTCGATTAGCTCGCTCGTTTAAAAAATATACCATCCGCGTGAATACAAGTCTGCGTATATAGTTACCCGTCGGCGTATATATCCGTCGGTGTAAATACATGGAACCATTTTCGGCACCCCCAATAATTGAGCTCTAGCTGTGTCTATGCTTATACTACGAAATTAGTCTGTAAATATTGTAATATATTGTAATTTAAATGGAAATTTTTTTGAACTTAATAAATAGACAGTTATTGGCAAGCGTCCATTTTAAATTCGTACCTACTAAATGAGTTTGTTTTTGTTTCTTCTTTATATTAAAAGCTTCAATTTCACAACAAAATTAATAATAATGTGCAGTCACGATAATGGGTCGTTAAAACTCAAAAGAAACGGTGTCGGTATTGGTGGTGATGCAAGTTTCATTCTGGTATCATCACTCATAGAAGAGTTGGGTATTAGGTAAGTAAAATAAAATGTATACGTCTCTACATTAAATTGGTTTAGTCACATGTGCAGCTACGAAATCAAAATGTCCGTGGATAAAAATACATTCAAATTTAACCCTCTCCTCAATTCTCTGAAATCTAAGGCACATGAATTATTAAAATAGATATCTAAGTACCTACCAAGGGTGATAAATAAAATTTAAACAAATAGACATATTACAATATATAGGTATTAGAATCAATATAAAGTATAATAATAACCTTTATTTAAACTGCCGCTACGGTAAATAGTAAATTATTATCTAAACACGTGTAATAATTACAGTACATGTTTAAGAATAGTAGCATCGATGGTATCGCATTAGTTTTGTTGAGTTTCGAAGAGGCTTTGTGCAAGCTCGTGTGTTTTTATGTATGTATATATGTGTGTGTTTGTATTTCTGTCTACGACATCGATAATAACATACTAAATGATAAATGAACCACATTTATCATTCGGAAAATGACAAGGTTTATGTAGGTATACGATGACACGAGAATCCATCCGTTCCTTGTACCGGCACGCAAGTTCCCCTTGTGTGAACGTTGTGCGAGTACCTAAACATTTTTATTTTTATTATTTGCGAGCTCGCGCGTGTGACTCGACTTTAATTGTACCCTCTGTGAGTTAGATGACGATTGAAAAGGGTTCAAACGAAAAAAAATACCACGATATTATAATAAAAGTTCATAAGAATTCGACTTCACGTATAAATATTGATAGGTCGATAAGTACATTAGTACCGGAATATAATGTGTACCTACCTATATAGATATCCGAGGTGCTTTTTAATTGCTTCAGAATAAATGTCGACGAAACGAAAAAACGTACTGCAATTACTATGCTACAAGATGCTATAGCTACTTCTTTAATCTTTATTTTAGAATTTAGACCATTTGATTTTAGATTCTGAGTGGAGCGAAGAATCATATGGTTTTACAAATTTTGTTTATATGTTAACAACTTTTCTACCAGAAAACTTACTCAGATTACTAAATGTAGCACCTTTTCTGAAAGAAAATCGGTGTGGATAGGTACTTAAAAAAAGTCATTTTTTCGATTTTGTCAAAAGTTTTCTCATCGAATTTGAAAAACCGAAAAAAATGGGAAAATGTACGAAATATATTAATAAAATATTATGATTTTTTTTTTCTATACAACTTTTCTACTAGCAAATTTGCTCAACTTTTAATGATAGCAATGTTCCTAAAATGAAATTTGGCTGGAAAAGTACTTTAAAGAAGTCATTTTTTTGATTTTCCCAAGAGTTTTCCAAACAAATGTGAAAAACTGGGATAAAACATGAGAAAACCGTGAAAAACTTAGGAAAACTAAGAAAATCGGTACATCATTAAACAAATATTATTAAAGAAAACATATAAAGCTTATTTAATTATTTTACTATAAAATGACAGCGTATATATTGTTGACCTAAGGCATTACTATCAACTGAACTCAGAATTGTTTTTTTGTAAGCAATGGTTTATCGTTGCTTACAGGTAAACATTAAATTATCTATAACAGTGGCTGCACCCGTTTCCATCATCCTAGGACGTCTTATTGTATGTAATTTTTAAATTGTATAAAACACTCTCGGTCGAGAAATCATTTTTTTTCTTCAAAATTTGCAGTGTTTCTAAAAATAGATCATAGTATTATTATACTAGTATATGACTGTGTTTATATTTTTTTTCTTAAAATATCAACAGGCTTGAGTAGCACATTTTAACTACAAGCTGTAGGGAACCAATTTTTGTCGACTACGACAGGCCAAATTTTATACTCATTAGGTAGATATACCTAATTATATATTTCGATTAAAATTAGAACAAGGATCTACCGTAATATAACGTGTTTAAATATTGACAAATATAGTTTATAACATCAATGATTTAAATATAGTATAAATTACAATTACATAGATATATAATACTAGACGAGTGTTCAGCAGTGGCTCAACTAGGATTAATTTTCCTGGGAGTGAGGGGGTGAATAAATTTCAAAAAGTTGATACTGCTCACAGCTTACAGGTTAACCACTGTTGCAGATGGGTAGCTGGAAAAGTAGCTGCAGAATATACTGATAATTTAATTTGTATACTGTATGCAACTATAAATCTTTGCAAACGAAGAAACTATTCTAAGTGGAGTAGTAATGTAGTATATTAGACGTGTTTTTTCCCTTACTACCACTGTAAACCAGAATTCAACAAAAATTATACAACAATAAAAAAACATAGGATACGTGAACTGCTAAAAAGTCGATAAATATTCCAAATAAAATACTACCACGCAGACATTTCACACCTTTTAAGATGTAAATAAATTAGAGTATTTTCTTATCCAAATTTAGTATTAAAAAAAAAACCAAAAAAATTAATTTTTATATAATTTTGTTTAAATAACGTTTTTGAAATTTCGAAACAATTTTCAATTAAAGTACTATCAAGCAAAAATCCAAATATTTTCAGGTATGACATGACAGAATCAGACCATTTTTACTAATCATTAAAGGAGGTATTTTCCGAAAAAATAAAAACAGATTCTTCATTATACCCAAAATCTAAAATCGATCTCAACACATTTTATTTCTTTAAATGAGGCTCATAGTAAATAATTATGAATGATATAAAATATTTAAATATACTTTTATTAGTTTAATAATAATATAAAAATCATACCTAACATACTTCGCACCATGGGTACGTCACTGTTGTAGGTGGGAAGTTTTTAAAGTATAGGATATAAAGTAATTTAATTTATTAACTGACTGAAAGCAATAATAAATTATTGCAATCAAAAAATTATTTTTAATGAAGCTATGTAATCTGGTAAAGTATTGGTCCTGTTTTTTTCCTGTGTAGTCAAGATAGAATATGTAGGTACTATGTTTTAATTGGACTTTCGCCAGTCATGTTACCTAAATAAAATAAAAATATAATAAAATAACCTAAAAACCAATAAAAGAACCAATGTATCGTCATTTTTTTTAAAATTGTTAAGAAAATCTGTTGGAAATCTAGACAAATATTTCAAACAAAGTACTTACTGCAGAGGGAAAAATTCACATCTTTTAATGTACCTACTGCGTGAAAAATTTAGAGTGAAAAAAATGTTTAGTATAAATTATAACTTAAACGTCTAAAAGATATTTATTAGAAGTATAGCTCATTGATCCAAGCAGTACAAACAATTACATAGAATTCATAAAAAAATATCCTAAATTTCATCGAAAATTTTTTAAAAAGTCATAGTAAATTAGTAACCTATATCGATTAAACACATTAAACTCGAGGCAGAGTTAATATGTGTAGGTATAACGACACATCGACATTTAAGGATCGGGTGGACCCACCCAAAATTGTATTCTATTTAATTAATAGAAAATTAGATAATAAACTCGGTCAACTTTTAAAATGTAAATATAGATATAATTTTATCTGGCCATCAAAACTAAATGTATTCCCTGTATCGAAAGATAATAGCATATTATGTATAATAACAGAACCTGACGACATGAATTCTAAATGCATGTATAAGTAATATATATCGCATTACATTATATAGGTACCTACCTACTAGTATCTATACACAATAATATCGGGTAGAACAGGTGCGGTGGTTACATGGCAATAGCGTACTTTGTCACGCAACTCATATATTTGTATATGTATAGGTACACGCGTATTAGAGACCAATTATTATTTTATTATTTTGACAAACGACGACGTAGACACACACAATATGGTTTATATTATTAATTTAACTGCCACACGACCATAGCTAGGTATATTATTATTTCCAATGCAATTCTTTAGTAAAAACCAGAAAGTATATTTGTTTACAAAACGCATTTTTTGTTTTTTCAAATTTAATTAGAAATAAAAAGACGATTTTGTTTTCCTTTCACTCAGCCTGTACTATTTCGCAGTGGTCTAAATAGGTGCACTAGAAATTGCGTTCCCTATAGAGACAATAAACAAGATACCAGTGCATGTGCCCCCCAGACAACCATGTAATAATATGATTAACGATTATTATTACTTGATTGTTATAGTGACCGGATATATACGTCTGCATATGTATTATAATAATATATATCAATGTATGTAAAAATAACTAGGTACAGTGATGTATTCAGAATTTTTTTTTTATGGGGTGGGGAATTGAAAAAAATGTAACAAATGAAATTATTTTAAATTTTGTGTGTATTATAATCATATATTAAACATTTTATTACTATTTTACACTTTTACAGCGCTAATTATACAAAAATTAAAATATTTATCTTTCTTAAAAATTAATGTACCAGATAATTCATTTAAGTGGATATACACACACATTATTTTGGAAAGTATTAACTTTTTCCGGAATTTATTTTCTAGAACATTTAAGAAACAAACTACACCACAATTTTATATTTGTGTTATTTTTTGTCACCCTTATTTTCGGGGGTAAAACAACCTGCTTTTGATTTTCAAATGGCAACTTATATTACAAAGTCCATAAATAGATTGAGTATTAGTTAAAATAAATATGAGAGTTGACATTTTTGATTTCTGTCAAGCCGTTGACAAGATATTCCACTTTTAAGTTTAGATTGAAGGAAAGTAGTGAAGTATCATTTGTGTGGCGCGGCGTATTAATAATGCACCACTACTCTCCTCCAAGTCTAAGTTCCTAGTATTTTTACATGGTATACGGAAACCAATTTCCAATAATAAATCAGAACAGTCATTGAGGTTGTTTAAAATATCTTAAACTAACATAATATTACCTACTTTAATTCTTATACATAGTGAATCTAGGCTCAAAAAGTTTTCAACATAAACGGTATCTCTAGTAATATGTATATTAGATACATATGTAATTATTTTCGAAAACTTAAACTGGACATGATTGAGATTATTTATATATTTTGAATAGTTATTAGACCAAATAAGTGAACCGAATTCGAAGTTAGATCTTACTCCCAAATCTTTAAAAGAACTTACTCTATCAAGTGAATAATTATTAATTTGGTACTAAAATATTATTGGATTTTTACTACGTGTAAAAGTGATCACTTGGCATTTATTAAAATTAAGAGGAATATTTTGTACACTCCACTGGTAAAACTTATCAAGACCAGGTAGTAAAATATTTACATTATTAACAGATTAAATATCCAAGTATAATTTTGCGCCATCTGCAAACAAGAAAACTAGTAATATTGGTATCAAGGATAGACAGATCATTTATAAAAATAAGGAATAGTAATGGACCTAGGTGAGAGCTCTATGGAACACCCGAAGTCACTGGATAATGATTAGAGTAGTGAAAAGAGATTTTTACAGATTTTATTTGGTAAGTAAAGTAGGTAAAAAGTCAGTTTGAAAGATTTCCTTCAGGCCCAGAGACTTTTAATTTTGGATATAATAATATATGATTAACTTTGTCGAATGCTTTTTGGAAATTAGTTTAAATGGTATATGATCATTAAAATTTGAATCATTACATTCATCAATTATATCTTGATATTTTTCTAATTGTTTGAATTCACCTTTAATATCTATAGATACTTTCATTTCTATCTTAGATAAAATACAATCAAAATTATTCAAAAAAATCCTGTGCAATATATGGTTAAATTAGTCTAAAAATTATCTATAAAAGGTATGAATACTTAAAAATATATTATGGATCATCTGATTTAAATTGATGTGGTAAACTAACAAGAATATCAAATTTTTCACAAACAGTTATTACAGATAAAAATAATCATTGAACCTCTACATCACAATTTTCTCTAATATCCTAAATATTATTTTAAACATTAGCAACTTCTATAATGCAGTTCTTAAATCAAGTCTGTTTAAAGATATTAGCTAAGTGAAAAACTTATGGAAAGTATTTTCACTAAAATAGATAAAGCTGTTTGAAATTTTAACTATTTTATCACAGTAAGAAGACAACTTGCAGAACTAGAAGTGTCAGAATCTATCCAAAATGTAATTTTATCTAGAGCATGTAAAATGGCTAGTTGAAGTTCTTCAAATAATGTAACTGCATCATGGCGATTGACCCATTGAATTGCACATAGATGTTTTAGTTCATTATTTAGTTTTAGTATTATAAGTTGGAGCAAAATTGCTGGTAGAAAAGTTGTGCACAGAAAAAAAATATTGCAATAATTTAGTAATATATTTCGTACATTTTCGAAAAATTTTTTTTTGGTTTTTCAAATTTGATGAGAAAACTCCTAAGAAAAATGACCTCCTCAAAGTACCTCCCCACACCGATGTCCTTTCAGAAAAGGTGCTACACTTAAACATATGAGCAAGTCTTCTGTTAAAAAGGCTGCGCACAAAAAAAAAAAAACATCTTCGTAAAAGGATAAGCTTCTTTGCTCCACTCAGAATCTAAAATAAATATATTTGCAAAATTAAAACATTTTTCGCTACATTCAGAATCTAAAAGCAAAAAATAAGAGTTTGTTATAATTTTTAAATTAAACTTTAACTTTGGCTAAAAATCTCCAAAATATTTTATCAAGTCTATAATATAAATATTCTGTAAATATTTTAGGTTTCTAATAATATTATTTATTAATTAACCACAATAAACCAAAATTGAGAATAACAGAACCATTTATGCCATAAACTTTCCCATTTAATCTACGATTTTTGTTTTTCCCAATTGATATAAAATGCAACAACAAAGGTCTCATTATTTGTTTTATTGGAGCACAATTTCTGACGGAAAAGGTGTCAGCAACTTGGTGATATACAAAAATGTCAAGACACCCACAGAGAATGATGTTTTATACACCACTTCAAAACAGTCATGGATTAAAAATGTTTAGCTTTAGCCAGATTATATTTTGTGAACAGCAGACTGTGTTGAGTTAACAATGTGCTTTTTTATTAAGGCTGATTCAGTTTTATTTCTATAATAATTAACTTATTGATGAATAATAAATACCTTTTAAATGAACTGTCAATAGAAAATATTTTACTTATTTAAAGTGAAAATAATGTTATAAATAAGTGATTTGTATTTAAAAATTATTTCAAACCAAGCTTAAAAAAATACATTTAACATTAAATACAAATTTAAGTTTAAAAAATAACAATCAATTGAGTCAACATTTTAATTGTCTTTTTTAGTGAACAATGTAACACACTGTTTAGGAAACCATCCTCGTAGTCGAGAACCATCTGGAAGATTTTTATGTCCATACATCCAATATCTAATAGACAATTTAACAATTTTTAATCAAGTTCATAATTAATTAGGTACCTATAAAATATTTTACTTATGAAATCTGGTAACTTGGACTAAATCGCCAACAGCCAATGGCATTCGTGCCTCATCAGTCCATGGTATTTGACAACAAACACACAAACCGAATACTAATGGAAACCATCTGCCATTATATTCTTTTATAACTTGCATAGGTTTTTTCCATGATTCTTTAATTAATTTTTGTTCTAGTTGTTCAATCTAAAAAAAAATATTAAATTATATTTTTAAATAACAATAATATATATTATCTACACAAAAATTGATTTAATATTGTACTACCAACAAATATAACAATAATTAATGATCTTTAGTGCATATTTAATAAATAGTGCCATAAATTAAATATTTATATCATGGTAATAGATAAATTCCATTTATTAATAGATACATATATAAAAGAAAAACTCACTTAATAATAAACATGTTAACTATTTTACATAAAAATTAAATTTAGAACTATAATTTAATTGAACTAGTAATGAATTAATATTTATGTCTATGTCGGCTACATTCAAATTGTATGCAAACAATTTTATTACATGATAAATTATACTTAATCCTGGTATGTATTTTAAATTAAATGATACACAGACTTAAAAGACTTTTTAATAAATATAATTTTTATCATATAAATACTATATTACACTCACTATTTTATAAATAATTAAACTCTAATATTCATCTATATAAAAAAAAATATGTCAATTAGTTTGTCTGAGCTAATCTTAAAAAACGACCAATTTCAGTGGGACTTGTAGTACAAGATAAATAATTTTTCAAGGCGTAATATAGGCTACTATTTATCTTGATATTCGACCCCTGTAATGGATAACACTTGACCTTTGGTTTTATAATTCAGAAATTTAATTTTTTTAACTTACTTTAATGATAGAGATGAAAAAGAACCAGTTTTTATTACTATTTAAATTGGTTGTTCCAGGCAAGTCCATTTTCATTCATATTAAATAGATAAAATAAAATACGAGTATTGACAATTAAGTATTTATGAATTGCTAGAATGGGGAAAAAATTTGCAAAACTGTGAGTTGACTAGATGTAAATATAATCACATTTATCCAAGTTTAATTTTTTGAATTTATAATTGATTTTTGGAAAACTAAACTTGAACTTTATAATAATCTAATGCATATATACCATGTTATCATGGTAAAAAAATGGAATTCCATAAAAACATAAATATTTTTATTTTACTTAGAAAAAAAATATTATGAAAAATGATCATGTCAAATTAACATTACTTAATTAGTAATTTTACATAATGTATAACTCACTGTTTATTTTACTTTTCTAAGTAACTTTACTTACTGTTAAATCATAGACATTACATTCATCTCGTACTTTCCAATGAATACCATCTCCTTTAGCAAAAAACTAAAAATAAAAATAATGTATAATTATCAATAAAATGGAAAATAAAAATTACTATAGTGTGTAATGTATCAGTATTTATAAACATAAATGTTCTCACAGGGGATATGGGAGATATATCATACAATAGTCTTTTTTTTTTTTTTTTTTTTTTTTTTTAGGTTCAAATAACAGCTATTATTGTAGTTATATTTTTCATTGTTATTATTATAATAATATCAAACATTGATATATAACTCTTTTCACTTATGATCACGGCTATAAATAATTATCTATAGTTGTGCTCATGATACATATTATATTTTATAATAATGAGAAAAAAACATAGAAAGAACTGAATAATTTACAAAAATGTTTTTATTATTTTTGGTATTCGTAGACCTAAATACAGAATATTTACATTTGCCTTTTCTAGATATGTTAAACATTTAAACCTTTTTAAGCTATTTATAGATATTTTAATTTTGCAAATTTTTTATAAAATTTTTATTCGGCAGGTACTCTATGGATAAAATTATTAGACCAGAACAGAATTGCTTGAAAATTTAAGAGGAGGTTCATTAAATTGTACTTAGTAGTCAACAAGAAAACGTTGAGTTTAATATGATATATTTTTTATCAAATTTTGAAGAAAATGGTAAATATTACGGCCTTATATTCAGTTAACTCCCATCATAATTTTTTTTTCATTAACAATGATTAATCGTTATGTATATATATATGTACACTAAATTCCCCCTCTCTGTATCTTACATTCCAAATTTCTCACTTATAACAGTGACCATTGTACAAAGTATGTCCGCATATTTTTATAACTACTTTAGAATTAATAATGTATTAAGAAGATATTGCAAAATCATATTGCTGTTAATACTATAATACTGAAATACAATAATACTAATAAGCATAGTAATATCTAAAGACCTAAAGATTGATCTCGATATTATTTAATACAAATTATGGTATTAGTTGTTCAGTTTAAAACTTATAAAACATATTTTTTCAAGAGTTTCGTTAATATTAATTTGTTTTCTCGTTTAATTTAACTATGACAAGTATTATATATATTTTGAACTTTAGTACACTTTTAATTCAATATACTAATGGTTATTTTTAACAGGAGTAATATTGAAATGCAGACTAAAATAATATCAATGCATATATAAGTATTTTTTTGGTTTTAATAAATGTATTGTTTACAAAGAGAATGCAAATAATTCTATGTAAATTATATTCCTGGCAAATTATGCAGGTGCAAATGTGTCATTGATTTTAAATAGGTAATTAAGTAGGTACTTATTGTATATAATTAGATTTTATTTTTTTATTTTCATAGCCACTAGAAGAAACACATACTGTTTAAAAATTAAGACAAATCTCTAATAAATCTCAACAATTATTACTTAAATTAGGTACCTATTCAAAAACAATGATTCATTTACAACTACAGTAGAAGCTGCTTATTAGGAACACGGATAATTAATACATTCGCGTTACTAAAACCTAATGCCTTGTAATGATCTATCTATTATTTATGTTAAATAAATAAAGTCAGTAATCAATCGCCTATAATAAACAATAGGTTAATTGAAACATTTCACCTTGGTCCAAAAGTTTTCCTAATTAGCGCCCTTTTACTGAACATAAAATGTTGGCAATAAATGTACAGAGCATTTTATTTATGTTTTAGTGTTAAACATTACATTAATTTAAATTAAAAATACACTAAAATAAACATTATAAAATATTAATCTGCATTTTGACATTAGTCTAGTGAAAAAGTAAATTTGAGTAAATTATTTTTACTATTGACCAATAAAAACTAAAAGTACTAAAAATATAAAACTTGTCATAGACTTATACAGAGCTTAAAAGAGAAACAAATATAGTTGAATTAAACTAGAAAAAAGTATATGAATAATAATTAAACTCTTCAACAAATAGTGTTGTTTTTCATATATACTAAATTTTCAATTGAAAGCAATTATAATAGAGTTCAACATTAAGCTTTACATAATTTTTTTTTATTAGAATATTATAGTATTAATATACTAATACAGATACTCTAAAATTTGAACATGAATTTTTAGGTTTATAGTAGATAACATATTGTTCAAACCAAAAATGATAGAATACAAAAATTAATTCTTACTTCTTTGATATTATTTATTCGCCCTAAATTGTAAGGAAAAATAAATGGAGGTAAACTCTGATCTTGTTCACGTCTTGATATTGCTTTTCCAATAATCCAATCTTCAATAGTAGTAGAATTTTTTAGCACATATTTCATCTATTAAATTATGAAATAGATATAATTAATACATTTCATAATTTTATTAATTAGATATGTTATTAAAACTTAAAATTGACAACAACATTCAATTTAATTGATTTTATAACTGCAAGTGTGTATTTATTTATTTGTTTTCAACAATTTGGGCTGAGCCCGATTACAGAATTAACAATAACATATAAAGTATATAAACAACAAATAAATATATAAAAAAACTAAAAAGCTGATGGATCGATATTTGTCATACACATCATTCCAAAGATTGACTGGTTCTCAACCAAATTTAAGTTGAACTTAAGTAAAATAAATTTAAAAGTATGACAAACAAAAGTGGAAAGGACTAAAGTTAATCAAAGATAGAAGAACAGAAGAGTCAATATAGTGATTTATTAGTTGGTTGAGAAAATTAAGATTAGCAACTTGTCTCCTATCAGCTAAGAAAAAAAAACCAAGCTTGTGTAAAACTGGATAGTAATCTTAAGGAGGATGCTCAATATTTAAATAAAAGATGCATATTTAAGGAATATGCATTGAACTCTTTCAATTTGCTCACTCCTACATGAAGTAAAAGGAACCCAAACAACGCTCTATATTCCAAAATGGACCTTACATAGATTTTAAGACCGTTAGTAATTTAAACTTGCAACAAATTATTTTAATAACATCAAACAGTTTTAGGGATTTGCGACATATAATATCTAAATGATAATAAAACTTTAATTCAAACATAACCCCTAGGCTCTAAGTCAGATACTTTATTAAGAACTCATAAAAAGAGATTAACATTGATAGAGTAAGAATAATCAAATCGTTTTCAGGATCTATAAAAAGACATTGTGTGACATTTAGAGAAATTTAGTTCCAAACCATGAAGAATTGCCTAAGACACTAAAGAATTAATACAATTTTGAAATTAATGGCAGCCACTAAAAAAATTAATTTTTAAAAATAATTTAAGATCAGTAAAAAGAAGAAAGCTACTGTTGATAATAACCTTTTTAACATCATTAATAAATAATACAAAAAGTAGATAGAAATGATAATTAATGCAAAATTCTTTGGTAAAATCCATGTATATTATCATCTATTTGAGATTGAGATTAAATAAATCAAAAACCATACTGTTTATCAATTAAAATAGAATTGACAGCTGCCCTTATTGAATTAAAGACTAAAGATTTCGAATAATTTAGCTATATGACTCAATATAAAAATTGGTTTGATAGTTGGCAATGTTAAAATCATCCCAATGATTTAAGGATAGTTTTAGATATATCATTGCTACACTTATTATTCCTAACAAATTTCCAAAAATATTTAGGATTATTACTAAGACGAAATTCATTATAATCAATAAATTTCTAACAAAAGATTTTATACATTGATTTATATTTAGTACGAAGCAAAGAAAACTCATGATAGTCAAGTGGGTTATACGATGACTTAAAAGTAGCATGAGCTTTCCTCTTTAAGAAGACTATTTTTCAGCACATACTTCATCAATTCAATTTTTAAATAAATGTAATTACTACATTTTATAATTTTATTAAAACTTAAAATTGACATCATTAATAATTATTTGATTACACATTTTAATAATTACGTAAATAGGAAACCTCACTTGTATGTATAACAGCAAACTAAGAGTAAAAGTTAAACATAAAGCTAATCCAAACACTGTAATCCATAAAAGAGTAAGATTTAATGGAAAATAGATTAATATTTGATGTCCATATTGACTGAAAAAAAAAAATTCAAACCAAATGTATTATTAATTTATAGTAAATACATAAAAATTAAAAACTTACTTACGCTAGTACTAGCACAAGTGTCTTCAATAATAAAATAGATGACTGAATTGAAGCTATTATGGACACAATTATAAATATCACAAAATATGGATGATTTGCATGTCCTACACAAGTATTTAACCATGGGCAATGATGATCCATTCTTAACACACAACGATTACCTAAAATAATATTTTATTGGCATATAAATAATAAAAATATTTTAGTTTATTACATTTATGACAATGGTGAACGCGAGGTGCTTTATATCCATCACATATTCTACAAAACTGCAGATACTGTTGATCTTCTTCCAGATCCTAAAATGATATTTAGTACTTGATTTTTTTTATAAAATTTCAATGATATTAAATTTAATTATAATTACTCGTATTTAAACATACCGGTTTCCATTTAAGTGGAAGATAACCTGGTCCTACAATAACACATTTTAAGTAACATGTAAAGCTGATGAAGAACAACGTTAGTAAAATTGTATTGTTCAGAAATCCTCCAAGAGAACCATAACAAGGCCACCATATTTCCGTAAAATACAATGTTGTCAGGGTAACACATTTATAAATTACTGAAATATATTTAAGGTACAATAAACAATTTACAAAAATATTTCAAAAGTACTTACTGATTGATAAAATCGGTCCCCAATGTACAAACCTCATCAAAGGAAACTGTGAATAATTTACAGTAGACATATTAAATTAAATTTAATCAAATATAAATTGGATTAGTTTAAAATCATTTTTTCTTATTGAAATAGAGGAATTATTATATAAAACCAATTTTAATAATAATATTATAAACGACAAATCGACAATATACTCAATAAAGGATAGGTACTGATAAGTGATACTAATACTTTATAGTTAATAGTGTTTACTTATACAAAAACTGGCGATCAATTCCTTATCAGTGTCTTTCTGGCTACAACTGCCCTCTGAACTTGTGAATTATTTGACTATTTTACTCCTTAATGTTATAATATGGACTTTCCTAAAGAAAAGTGCAATAACGTTATTGCCTATTTTATTATTATTCAACAATTAAAATTTTCATGACTTCAGGCATAAATAAAAATACCTACTTACACCACGTCACAACGAAAAATTGAGTTTTTATTATAGATCTTATCGATAAGCCACAATACTCAACTCAATAGACACTTAACTCAACTTTTACAAAATTGTGACCACAATAATCTAGGGTCACATTAATGGCCGTTATAATTAAAAGGGGTAGGGGGAGTGAAATTAGTTTAAAATCAAATTCTTATTAGTTTGTGGTTTATGTGTTAAGGTGATAATTTTTTTGATTTTCCTTAGTTTTCCTATGAATTATAAAATTGTATTGAAGGTAATTGTAATAACGATTTATTTAAAATACTTAGGATACCTATTAAATATTAATTATATGATAAAATATTAACGACAAAAATATACATGATGAAAAATCAATTTGAACCACATAATAAAAATAATTCGATAATTACTTGAAATATAAATAATTGTTAACTTAAATTATTTAAGCCTGACAAGGCCTTAATTAAAATGTTTTATATATATATATATATATGAGAAATAAATCTTTTTAATAAATTGCATATGAAATTAAACAAATCAGAAATTTAAGTTTGAAATTAAAAAATGGTATACAAATTTATTCCAAATAGTAGTCCTACTATTTTTCATCTTATATAGATAATAACCACTATTAAATTAATTTTTTTAAATTTCTTTTAATGTTAATTTGTAGACTATATATTATGTTAAATAAGTATGTTTTTAGTTAGTAATTAGTTATATACTAGGCTCCCTAATCTTACCTCAAGCTAAGCATAGCTTACAGGGATTAGATATCAACATTATATTAGTATATTAAGTATGTTTATACATTACAATATTTATTCAAAATGTTTTTATGTAATAAATAAATATATTTTAAAATTATACAATTCTCATGTAGTTTGTATGGACATTTTAATGTCAAGATTATCTTTACTCAAAATATCTCTACCCAAATCATTTAATTAACAACGCTGACACCTAAGCTAATAAATAGTATATAGTATTAACTTGAAAAATGTATTTAACGAATGATACCAGACATAGAAATCCACCTAAAATAAAAGTGAAATTGAATTTAAAAAAATTGATGTTTGATCATTAAAACTTGAGACTGATTAGAGCCGGGGTGGCCCACCTTTTTCTATATTGTGCCAAACAAAAAATACAAAATTAAGAATGTCATAAAAAATTTTCTATCCATTCTGTACTAAAAATATGTGAAGAAATCTCATCTTTATAGCTTTGTTTTACACCTAAACCTGAAGTACTCAGTTTATTAGATGCCATTTTCACGATTACACACATTACGACATGAAGTACTCATTAACGTATAGCAATTAAAATTATATGACTGACTTTATTGTAATACACTTACCGTATCCTAACAATTCTTGGAATAAAAATCAAGAAATTCCACTGCGATAGTAATAATCCAATTTAATAATATTACATTACATTATTATTTGATTATTAATATGAACATTATTATTATTAATTGTTATTTTGACACAAATGTTGTATATTTCAACTTTTAATTAATTTAAAATTTGAAATCACAATTTTAGAAATATTTAAAAATTATATGTTATTTCATCTGACACTAGCTTACCAATCAATAACGTCAAATAATCCATAAATGGCACGCGGTTGGCCACCCCTGGTTTAGAGTATCTACTCTTCATTTTCAATAAAATTACATTTGTAAATACCATGTTAAAAGTTATATTAATATACAATTAGGTATTAAAACTAACTGAATATCAAGTAAAGTAAAAATTAATTTCCAAAAAAAAAAATTAACAGGTATTTGTATTTGTATAAATATAATTATTTTTGTATAAAAAACATTGATAATTTAATAGTAAAGATATAATTTAGAAATAAAAACTGTATAAATTAGAACAATTTTGATAAATATAATATAAATTTTACACTAAATTAATATTCAACAAGAAAATCAGCTTCATAAAATATTTAGTTTAATTTTTTTTTTGAGTTATATTGTCTCTTGTCAATTGTTTATATAAACAGATTACCAGGACCTGTATCTTGTGGCATGATTCCTAAATCGAAGTTGATAGTATCCTAAATAACAGATTTAAAGTATTAGATTTAAAATTTATGTAAAAGTTGAAACTTAATTAATTTTAAAAACCTCTGGTTGGAAATATTTTTCTATTATATTGTATGCTATTTCATAAATTTTTTGGGATGTGTGATTTTGTAGTGCTTCCAAATGATCTAAACCACTAATCTCTTCAATTAAAATACAAATCTTGCTTAGTGTGCCATCAATATTAGCTTTCTGAAATATTGAAAAATAATCTCATGAGAAAATATGAACTCTTTGTTCCTAGCAAAAAAAACTATTTCTTACTTCCAGTAGTTGACTAAGACCTTCTAGTATAATTTCAACCATTCTTATATCTGGAGATAATAATAAACCACAATATGGTTCTAACACACCAAGACCAAGCAAATAAGATTTCTGCATTAATGTACCTCCGCTAAATAAATTATTTATTGCCCAAGCAGCTTCTTTTTGTACTTTGATATCGCCCTATATTAAACATTTATTTTTATTTAAATCAAAATAACTAACTAATCAAGAATCTAATTTAATAATTATACTTACACGTTGTAGAACATTCACTAAAACTGGTAATAAGTCATGATCAATAGCACATTGAATCTGCTCAACATTACCAGCCATAACATTAGACAATAACCAAGCAGCATCCTTCACAACAGGGATGCGTTTATGGGACAAGAGCCGATGAAGATATTTAAGTACACCATGGTCCAATGCATGTTTTGTCTGGACATTTTATAATAAATAATATAATAAAATGCAACAGTAATAGAATTTTGAGTCATAAGGTTAAACAATTTCATTAACTACATTATTAATAAAAACAAGTATTTTATATTTTGAAAGATATAAGGGGAATAGTAAAATCATTGTATTAAAGTGCTAAGAAGAATTAACAATTAAAACATTTTTATCCTCAATTTGTTATGCAAAATTTATGTTATTGTACAGTATAAGTACTTATGTTTGAAAAATAACTGCTCTCATTTTGTCAAAATTTTAATATTACAAATTGACGTAAAACATTTGAAATCTTACTTGAATGTCATTTCCAGACACAATATTGCCAACCACTCGTAGTGCTGGTATAAGAATAGTGGTATCATCAACATCCAAGTATTTCAATATGGAATTTAATGCACCTGCCTCTAGAATTACTTGTATTTTTTCATTACTGCCATCAGTCAAGTATGATAAAGCCCAGCAAGCATTAGCTAGTATACACATGATACAATTAAAAAAAAAAAGTTTATTTTATTTATACATAATAAAAATGAATCTATTACATTATTAACTTACAAACAACCTGAAAATCAGTATGCTTCAGCATGTCGACTAACAAAGGAACGCACGGAAGTAATTGAGTGAAATCTGGGGGAGGATTTTTGCTTCGACAAAGATTTGATATTGTCCATACTATATTTTGTTGTGCAGTAACTTCTATTGGTTTTTCTAGTAAGCTCTTTAAAATTGGTACAATTCTATTTGATAATACAATGTCTCTAAGTTTGGGTCCATCGCCAGAAATATTTCCTAAAGCCCACACAGCTTGTTCCATTACCCGCAAGTCAGGAGATTTGAGTAGATTAATAAGTAAAGGAACTACTCCTGCATTTACTATAGAAATTGTATTTTCAGATGATCCAGATGCTATGTTAGTCAATATCCAAGCACATTCATACTGAAAATCAGTTCTGTGAAAAATAAATAATATGAAAAACTTTGAATTTGATTATATGTAATTATCATACTTATCATCATATTTTGAGGATAAGAAATCAATAACCAACGGTAAAATACCAGCTTTAATAAAATCATCAATCGGAGCACATTTCCTAGAGCTTAACATTTTTCGAGCATATCTTAAACAATTCAATTTTTTGGACAATAAATCACTCATTAAACCTAAATGCAAATAAAAGAAAATCATAATTTCATAAAAACAAAAAAACAAAATTAAATATTTTTAATTATTACAAATAAATTAAAATCATTAAATAAAAAAGTTTAAAAATGCTTGTATAGTGTAATAATGTTACTTCACTCCATGGGTAGGTTATTATAGTAGATGAGAAGTTTGAAAAGAATAGGATGTATGATAATTTAATTTATATATGTACTGAAAGCACTAATAATCAGCAATCAAAAAATAATTCTACACGTAGTATGTAGCCAAGCTAACACAGAAATCAACAAAAACAGAAGCCGCTGTATCAAAATTTGATGTCAGTTTTTAAATTTGTATAGAAAATCTATTAAATATATATTTTCTCTCAAATAAAGTACAAGGGAAAAAATCTGATTATTATTATTTTAGTGTACAATACAAATAATTTGGAACATTTCACTCACTGAATAACTATTTTAAATTTAAAAAAACAACACACAATTTATAGAAAAATTATTGGAAATTAATTTCAAATAATGTACTACTTAAAAAAATCTTTAATTTTTTATTATATAAAATAAAAAAAAATTGAATTATGTAACATAAAAAACACAATAAAACTTCGATCATAGAATCTAAAAAATATTATGTAATTTCTAAAATAAATACAATTATAATTTTTACCTTCTTTTATATTATCTAAAGTAATTTCACTATCAAAATTAAATTCAAATTCTTCATCATGATTATCTAAAACAATATTTCTATGCTTTGTCACTTGTTCATCTCGTAATGTTTTTCGTAGTTGAACAGTAACATCATTACGTTTACGACGCAAATCCTATGGGTAGACAAAATAGATAAATTTAAAATATTTATATAATAATAATAAATAGTAATATTAATACAATATATTAGTAGGTATATCGAATGATAAACTTGATAACTTAATATATACTTAAGAAACAGTCATAAATAAAAGCAAGTTAATCTGGGAGATCATAAATAGATTACCAATACTAGTATTTATAACTTATTATAAATAGATAACTATACAAAATTTAGTTTCAACTATAGGTAATATGAATAAATAAGGGTTCCAAACTGAAAATGGTTTTATTATATAGTAATTTATAAAACTTTTACCTCATAATACTTATTTCTATCCTGGAACACATCAAAACTACGGCTATTAAGGATTGTTTTTTTCGCAGGCATTTTGAAAACTCAAAATGAAATATCTGAAAAATAATTAATTCAAATTTTTTATAATTGATGTCAAATATTATTACAATTATTTTAAACAAAAAGGTAAATTTAAATGGATAGGACAAGGAATGAGTACAAAAGAGGTAGTTTAGGTATATCTTTTAAAAACCAACTAACTTCAGTAAAAAATATTTTATTTTAAAAAAAAAACTCATCCTTCATCACCCTCGATTTGTTGTCCAAAACCATGTTGGATAAAAAAGAGGAAAATAACCTAAAGGCAACCTTTGGGCACACCTAAAGACCCAAGCCGTTACTCGCTCACTACACTTACTCAAACTGTTTAAGAGAGGTAAAAACAAAGATTTTAAAAAAATTTTTATCGAAAAAATCCCCAAATTTGTATTACAAAACTGCACCGGCAATCATTAAACCATGTATATACCACCGTGTATATAGTCCAAAAATAAGTTTATGGTTCATTAGTACATACTAATGTTGAAAATCCATAATGAAATACCTATCCACGATTAATCTACTATTAAGTAATAACTACCAAACAAATTTTTGTATAGCTTTTTTTTTTTTAACACTCTTAATCAAAACCCGAAAATACATTTAGAAAAAAAAATGTTTAAAAATTCTTGGTATGATTAACTATAGAATCATGCATCATTACAAGTTTTAAAATTTTTACTTGAATTGTAAAATGAAAAAATGATAAAATCATGATACAAATGACTAATACATCTAAATACATGTAAGTATATTTTTTTATTAGCTCAGATTGTTTTTACAATGTCAGAATTTGAATACGAGTTTCAAGAAACAAACAAATGTATATTCTTTTACTGTTTCGGAAATATATTATTGTATTATTCAAATAGGTACTTATTCTACAATAAATTTTTTTTGACATCAGTCATTTCACTCAAATTTAAGATCGATGATATTTAAAAGATATGTACTCATGATAAGGCCACATATGATTTAGGTAACGTAATACCTATAATGTAAATTATTTACAAAATTTAAATTTGATTCATTATTATAATAATAAAATGTAAAAAATAATATCGGTATTAAATTGTAAAAGAATACATTCAAAGACTGATATCGACATATAAGAATAATTAAGTAGGTACTTAATTAAGATTCTATAGGGTTGCCCAAAGAGCCACGTTTCAAACTATAACACAAACAAAAATAGTATCTATACATTTTCAATACATAATTAAGTACCTAGGTCTCAAGGAGTAACTAATGCTTCTGATTAGAACTGTAATTGATATAGTATTTAATATCCATACAGGTATTTAGGATATAACTGTTTTTGTATGATTTAAGTTAAAAAATATATAAATTTCAAAGAAAAATTAATAAATAGAATTATGAATAATACTTACGTAGTAAAATATAATTTTTTGTTTTCGCCAATAGAATATTATTTAAATTAATATTTTGAATTAATAAATTTAGTCTAAAACTGAAATCGGAGAATAAAATTTCACCTTCATGCTTTAGGTCTGTTGGTTAAATAAGTTGACTCCGTCGATTGTTAAAAACGTTAACGCTTTAACAATAAGTGAATATTTAATCTATAGTTACCTTGTCATCGAAAATTCCCTGTTATAATAATATTATAATTATATCATATCAGTAAAGTTATGTCTGTTGTGGGAAACCAACTTGAATTATTTATAAATATTAAATTTCTCTAATAATTCTTATATTGTATTTTATATAACAAGTCTATTTTCGATTATTACTTACTTATAAAACATTAGTTTGTAAAGATTTGAGAATTTGTAAGATTTCTAATTTTATAACCATATTATTATTGAGGCGTCTCCAGACCTTGGTATGGTGGAAGCGAAATAATTAAATTAAATATTAATAATTGATATGAAAAAATTATGTCAATTATTTGATAACTGAAATACTAATTATATCTACTTCTGGACCAATGGCTATGATGGTTATGCCAAATGCCAATGTAAGTCCTCTTCTCTCGATACCCCTCCCTTTATAAGGACGCCCCTCATTAATACATTGATTATTCTGATTAATTACATTAATTTTACACTTATCTTTAAACATAACCTGCAGGCTGCAAGGTAAAATGTAAAAATTGTCCAACTATATTAAGTAGATACCTATTGTCTTGTTTATAATTTAAACAACGATGGATTTGTCCAATCAATTTTATATCGACATGGATGTTTTAAAATAGTTAAAATAAATGATGGTGTTTTCCATTAGTTTCCGTCAATCCATTAACGAAATATTCCATTTAAAAGTTTTGGTGGGGGGAAAGTAGTGGTGCATTATTAAAATACTACGTGTTGTGCAGTCACAAGACGATCTACTCATAACAAAATAAATTATCAATCTATAAAATTATAAATCTATTTTGTCATGGTTTTACTATACCAACTCTCCCCCGATCCAAACTTAAAAGTGGAATAAACCAGATTGAATAAAATCAAAAATATCAACATCAAAATTTATTTTAACTGACATTTCGTCTATTTATGGAGTTTTTATAAAAGTATATAAAACCTTTTTTACAGATTAAATCGATATTGTTAAGTTTAACATCAGTTACTCCAAAAATTTCTCAAATTCACGCCAGTTTGATTATTAAGGGAAAATTTATATCGATTTATACCAACGAATTTAAAAAAATTCGGACAAACATCGTTTGGAAATTATAAGAGAAAATTTCATGAAGCTCGGGTTTTTCGTTTCGCGTATTTCTTAATGAAAATTTAAAATTTTTGATTTTCAAAATGTGTGATTTTTAGTACTTAATCTGTTGGTATGATCAAAACTTTCCTATCATACTAGTTTTTATAGTTATACATAAATCTTGAAAAATAGCACTTTTGAAATTTGAACTTTGTAATTCTAAATCTAAGCTAGATTAACTTATTCAGACTTAATAAAAAAAACATTTTTATCAAAATATCAATAACTAAAAATCATAATAATAATAAAAAATTTCTATTTTTGTCCACATTTTGGATTAATTCCAAAAATGCTATTTTTCAAGATTTATATACTATAAGTATGTTAGGTAAATGTTTATTGTACCATTGGATTAAGTATTAAAAAATCACACATTTTGGAAAAAAAAAAAATTTGAAAAACGAGCCTGAATCGTAAATTAGATTTGTTCCCCTTATTATAAACTTGATAGTATTGTATGATGGTTTTTGATCGGGTGGCGTTTTGTCGGATTCTTATCCGTGGATTATGATAGCGTGGCTTTATGTCAGGTTATTTATTGAATTGCTTTGCCTATGTATTATCACGATTTAAGATATATATATATATCGAAGCCCCAGTTCATAACTGCAATAATTCAAAAAAATTCAAAAATGAGTTATGTGTGCCATAATATTGTATTGTTTGCTATTTTACAACGGTTTCACTTAAAAAACGCAATATAATGTAACTTAATTATTGTCCACGAGATAGCGTTTATTTCACTTTAAAAACGAATATTTGTTACCAGAACTATCAATTCAAAAGAAAACTAATTCGATATGTTGTGTTTTATTTATAGTTATTGCATATTTTTTTTTCTATTTCAGTTCAAAAATGAATTAAATCTGGTTATTGCGTTTTAGTTATATTTACATTTATATTTTAGTTATATTTCAATTCGAAAACGTTAAATATGATTATTTTATACTAAGTTTAAAAACAAGGTAGGTAATCTTATATTCAGACATAATGTCAATCATTCATACCAAATTTGATCATTTTATCCCAGTTTTATAATAAATTACAGCAGTTCTAAAATTTGATGATTTTCAAAATCATCATACTCGAAAAAAAGGTAGATAAATCCGTTTATAACATGATAATATCATTGACATAATCCATGTGTTCCTTAATTCATCTATGATGACATCGATGACATCGGTGTTATTCCTTTTTAAATCTGAAAATCTCTAATGGCATCAAAGATGGTTTTATCCAGTAGGGTCTAACTCTATACGGCGTATCTGATATATACTTTTAAGACTCGCGACTTACCAACGTTATATATATCGTGTAAAATTATAAATATTTACGTGACTAGTCACTCCGTGCCATAGAAATGAGATTAAATTGATTAGAATGGTGTCGTTATTTGTTAAATTAATAGTTTTATTTTTGGTGAATAATTGTAACTGTTTCATTTTAACTTAACCATGCTTTCTAATAGTTGTGTTGCAATTGGTTGTGACACTAAATACAGTGACAAAACTGTTCTTCGTCATCGGTTTCCAAAAGATAATACCGCATTTGACGATTAGGTGAAGAGATTTGGAAATAAATTTGATTTGACAAATCGATTGTATAAACTACGGCCGGTGAGGGAACGTTACTGGGTGGCAATCAAAACTCGTCTTTTTTTGCGCATTCCCACCACCAAATCTGCACGACCGTAGCCACCGTCACCGTCGTCGTAGTCCTTGCCATCGGCAATTGTCTGTGTTACATTTGTATGCAGCGTGTACTATAGTGGATCTCCGTCTACACTACGTCTTTTTATTTTTACGTGTTTTTAGTTCCTTAATTTTTACACAGTTTTTCGTATTTATTTAGACTTCTATTACAAATATAATATGGACCTTGACAATATTTCTCCTTGCAAGAAAAATCCTCGTGAAAAAGTAAGTTTTTGTGACTATTTTTCTATTACGAATTTTAGATTGAGAGAGTAATTTTTAAATATAAACTTTTTCTCTAGTTTGTTGGTACAGGTAAAAAGCAAATTATCATCAATTTATACAAAAATAAATCCAAAGAACTTGATGAAAGCCCAGACAGCCCTTGATTAACGTACAGACAAATGATTGTTTACATTTCTACAACAAGTGGTATTGGACAACGAATATTACAAATTCAATGGTCCCAGGCCTTCTCATGGACCTTACAAAAATGTTTTAAATTTTCTTTATCTACCTCCACTTAGTGACAGAAATTTGTTCTTGCTTTCTATATTCTTACAGAATCTTATTTTAAATTTTACCCACTGCCCGGAATTCCTTTATTTTTCCACTTTATAATAAATTCCTCCCACACAAGATATCCAAAACTTTTCTACCTAATCTGTTTTAAAAATATATTTATATAGATATAATTAAATCTCTATTCAACTTTTTAATGATTAAAGGTACAGGATATAGTATATGTTTAATAAATCTTAGAATTTTGTGTAAAAACTGTATAGCTCTTACCAAATTTGTAAAGGAACTAGGGTCTGTTTATTTGATTGCATAAATAAACAAATAGTTGTTGATAATCGTTATTTATGTTTAGATATATTGTTTAGCGTATATTGGTTTATCATAATTTCAAATAGAACAGCCTATTCCAACACCTTTGTTTTAATCAAGATTTGATCAATCTGTTCTGTATTTACCCTCATTTGTTGCTGCAAAATCCTATGTTTCTTCCAAGTTTTTCCTGATTTTCTGCTATATGATACAATGTATTGTTGGCTTCATCCAAAGACGTTTGTATGATTTTCATTTTATCTTCTGTAGACATAATATTCCATTGTCGATTTTTCGCTAAATCCGTGATTTTCTTGACGATGAAATAAACATCTAGATTCGAAAAAGATCCATACAATATGTTGATCAGACGACTAAAGGCTTTCTCGACTCTATGACGACATCTATCTCAGTTCCTCTAAATGATGATAGAATATTATTATAATTGTTCTCTATTTCATATAAATATGGAAAATTTGCTTATGCAAATTGTTGGCATTGGTGAGGAAAGTCAGTTTTTGCAAATTTCTCGGACTTTTCTTCATAAATGTTTTGCTGTTACATCATAAAATTCTCTTAAAGCTTCATATTTAGAATTGTAAGACATTAGATCAATATATGAAATTAAATTCCAATCAACAGATGAGATTCTGGTTCTATCTTGATATTCGCATTATAAACCTTAATGGTCTTTAAACTTTGTGACATTAACTATTCTGGTTACAACTTGATATTTTTCGATAACTGATATTCTGAAATTTACAAATAATGTCGTTTTAGTAAATTTCTATGTACTACTTTTCTTTTTCTTTTTTGATTTATTGCTACATTGACATTGTTCAGTATAATTTCTAAACCGTTAAAGGGACCCGTCCATTTCGGAGTTAACTTATTGTAGGACACCTTTGTTTCCAGATATACCTTATCTCCGACTTTCAAAAGAACGGTATGGGACTTTTCATCGCAATATTCTTTAGATTTTTCTACAGTTTACTAGTCATCTCTTGCTATGCTCTGAGTTTCTTGTATCTTCCTTTTCAATTCAAATTGGTAATCTTCATAATTATACTCAGGTTCTGAAGGTTTTGATAACGTGGAAGGAATACTAATTTGTCTTCCGAAAACAAGCTCCAAGCTCTGGTTGATGCGTGTTTGCTATAGTTATATATGTGAATTTCGCAAAAGGAACGTAATCATCCCAATTAAGCTTGTCTTTTGCTTCGAAAATACGCAAGTATTCTTCTCTTAAAATACGATGTGATCTTTCTAGACCTCCATTACCTTGTCGTCCATCACTTATGTCATGACCCAGTTTTTAACAATTACGACAAAACAATTTATTTTTTCAGTCACCTACTCCTGTGTCTGGTGCTTCCGTCTTTACGGTGTAAGACGAGGTAGGTCCCGCAGTTATTTTATTTGTGGAATTGTATCCTTTCGATCGGCAGTCTGTAGTGTTGTGAGTACACATTCTACAATGACTGCAGTACTTTGAGTTTCCATTACCGTTGGGTTTTGGATTTTTGAAGAATTGCTGTGTTTGTCTATCTGATATATGCATATATGTATATGCGTTCTTCCTCCAAGCTTTCTTTTATGACTGTTTCTAATAACGTTGGTCTACCAGCTTTAATAATCATTTTCATTAGTTGACGTAGCGCCTTGATACAGATGGCTAGCGTCGGACTTTTTATATGGTCGTGAATAATTTTGGCTTTGACCTTTAAGTGTCAAATAATTAAACATTATGTCATGTTTTTTATTTTGTTAACTGCATTAGATTAATAACAAAAGTGTTAATAGCATGATAATAGTAGTATAAATTAAATATATTTATCTAATGAATAATTCAGAATTTTCCCCGTAATGTTGTTCTAAACATGATTCAAGTCTCCTCAAAAATTCAGTTGAAGTTGCCGCTTTAATTTGGTCCTAACTTAAATTGACACACGCTGCTTGTATTTTTTTTTCAAGTCTTGTAAATTGACTGATGGATCTACATAAACCATAGTCTTCAAATGACCCCATAAAAAAAAATCTAATGGCGTTAAATTTGGGGATTTTACCGGTCAAGGAACAACGCCATAAGTACCAATCCAGCAGTTCGGAAACATTTGATTTAAAAGTTGTCTAACAATAATTGCATTATAGGCTAGTGCTCCATCTTGTTAGAAAACTATTTGTTCTCGTGTGTCTAATGGAACATCATTCAATAATCTTGATAGTTCGTTGATTAAAAACTTATAACGTCTATCATTTAGTGTTCCTTCATAAAAAAAAAGTCCTAGTTTTCCACCAACTAACCCACACCATACATTTATTCCCCACGCCATTTGAAAATTAGTTTCACGTGACCAGTGTGGGTTTGTATCAGCCCAGTATCTATAATTTTGTTTGTTCATAATGCCATTATTGGTACATTTTGATTCATCACTGCATAGAATATGATTGATAATTAAAAGATCATTATGAAATTGTATACTAAACCAGGCTATAAATTCCAATCTACGGATAGGATCTGCTGCTCCCAAATGTTGGACAAAGTCGATTTTATATGGGTGCATTTTGTATTTCTTAAAAAATTTTTAGACATAAACATATGAACTTCCAATTTCAAAAACAATATGTTTAATTGACGAACATGGATTAGCTTGTATGTAAGCTATTACCTGTAACTCTGTATCTTCGTCAAACATATTTGCTCTACGCTTTTGTTGATTGATTTGTCTGTCAGGAAATCTTCCTTCTTCATTTAATCCTTGTAAGAGTCTTAAACATAATTATGATGTAGTTGGTATCTTTCTGGGAGTTGTTCGGCATACGTCCCAGCAACTAGAAGTATATTACCTTGGCATTCGCCATAAATTAAAACTAACTCAACTTTTTCATCGTTATTCATGGCCATACAATTATAGGAACACTTACTAAATAGGGATCACATGGATAATAACGCTCTAATGTATCTAGTTAAAGAATAAAAATAAAACAATGTTTTTCATCAAATTCATTAAATGAATAATTACATTATCTGATTATCTTATCGTTATTAGAACTATTGAAGAATAAAATAAAATTAGCTAACGTTATTTCCACCATAATCAGTTAAATCCTAATGCAATATGTGCTTCTAAAAATAGGTCTATCTACGTTGTCATGAGGCTGAAATGGGATAAACACATATCGGATACTTATTTTATTATTTTTAGTGGTTACAAGTTAAAATTTTGTTAAAAACAAATTCTACATAAATTCAAATTTCAATTTACTCTAACCTGGTAATTTTGTAACTAGAAAAAAACTTTTAATACAAAAATTGTTTTAAAAAAAGTACATTACCCGAATCTGTAGAAAAAAAAAAGGGGGTTGCCATTTAAAAAAAAGTAAGTTATATTTCGGTTTATAATTTATACATTTATCTAAAAATATGTATTTCAGTACTCTCTTTCATTTTCCAGAAACCTCATTCCAATACAAGACCATCCTGGTGAAGTATTTAATGGTACCTGAAATCGTGATCACATTGTATATGGATCCGTATTTAACTGATGTTACTATAGAATAAAAATGTAATTTTAATGTAATTGCTGCCATTTTTTTGAAAATTTGCGAAAATTTCATCAGACGCTTTGATTGTTGAAATCAAACTTCTCAAGAACTCAGCAGGCAATAATATATCCTAAAGAAACTATTAATGAATCTGTGTTTTTGTGGCTAGATTGGTTAAAATTTTGTTAAAATATTGAAGTAAATAACGTTATTAATTAGTTTAATAATTCAAACAACATAGGCACATGTTATTATAAAATATTTATAATTGATCTTTTAGAATATTCAATAAACAAATAAAAGTTATATTTATTTGTACATTAAAATGTATTAAAATATGTATATGTCTTGTTGGGCCCAAAAATATTGTAGGCACCCCCCAAAATTCAGATCTGTGCACGTCTGTGCCTGACCAAATATTTTAGTGGTGGTGGATAGTGCTAATGGTAGGAAATACACATAGTATGAGTAGTATTTGTAGAAAATATAACTTTAAAAATAGTACTATGAGTAATGGAAATTGTAATATATTACACTCACTCACAGAAGACCAGTATAATACAGTATTGCCTTGTTTGCCCGAGTATTTTTTAACTACTTTGGCACCACTGATATAAACAATCATTTATATATCTGTACACGGATTTGACTTGTTGAATTTGTAAATTATATCCATATGCCCATATAGTATGACTGTGATTTTAAGCATAGATAATAAAGGATAGTAACTCTACAAGTTAAAATCATAGTATAATGTCCATTGTTATATATAACTAAATTAGTAACTAATGACGTGATACCAACACTAAACAATTTCTAAAAAATATTATCACTAAAATAATGTGGGTTTCATTTCTCCCCCCCCCCTAATAGAAGAAATGGAAATTTACGTTCATGTTCCATATAAATAGGAACTCTTTCCTGTTTCTCGTTCCTATATTTGAAAAGAAATACGTTTCTTCCCAACACTGATATAAGCAGATGATCTAATTAAAAATCGTATACATCTAATACGGTTTTTAAACTAGTCACTCAATCATTGTAAATAATAAATTTGATTAAAATACACACAAATAAATTTAAAAAATTTTAAATATCTAAGGTAGGTACTTTTATTTTTAAAATATAGTCTTATTTAAAAAATGAATATAACATTGGTAATTGTGAAAATTAAAAATCAACCATATATATAAATAACTATAAAATAATACAATATTTTACTTTATATTAATTTTATAAATAAATAAAAACAAAAACATGGAAAATAAATTGTCAACAGTTTAACTTAACTTAATAACATTATTAAATAAAATTGACAGTATAATAATAATTGACATAGAGTAATATAATAATTGACATGTTAATGTATTATACAATATGCATACATGTAATCAAAATAAAATACAATAAATTGGCTATAAAAAATAGATCTATTCACTTAAACAATAACAAAATCAGATTTAATAGGAAGGCAATATAATTTTATCTTAACAGTTATTATTAAATAACTAAAACTATCAATATTTTTAATTAGATAAATATATATTAAAATTTTAGTCTGTTAAGTTATTAAGAGTACAACTTTTGTAATAAATGCATACATAATTTAAAAAAATACATATAGTAGTATTACTATTACTGTTGTACATGTTCATTTTAGCCTGTACAACAAATATTTCTAATATTAAAAGTATATTTTAATTTTGTTTGAAATTTAATGCCTCATACTGTTTTATAAATCTCACAAATTGCCCATTAAATTAAAGCTGCAAAAGATACTCTACATAGTCAATATGAGTAAACTCTATAGAATTTTTTAAATTTTACAAAGAAAATGGTTTGTATTAAACTAAAGTGAATAATATTACCTTTCTTTAAGAGGCAATCTGTACAAATATTAAACAACAGCACAATATATCAATAAATTTATTTTATACATTATATAGTAATCAATAATCAAACAAATTGACATACAATTTTAGATTAAAACCAAATTTACTAAATGATACCATTGTTTACTATCATACTCTATAATAGAACTTACAGTTAGAAATAATTTGTTTATAATAGTTACCATCTAAACAAAAAAATTATGCTATGATAGTAGACATAGAGCTTTTAATGGCGTCTCTGGCGTAAGGTATGTATGACAAAGAATACCATGTTAAAGCCAGAAATTGAAATATTATGCAAAGAAATGTCAATGGCGCATTTTTCATCTGAAATTATTTAACTACAATAATGATGGACTGTATATTATGATATTATGATAGAAGATATTTTAATATATTACTACTTACACCAATTGCAGCAACTAATGTTAGGACAATCATTGCAAGAGCAACTATGGTTGCAATTATTCTTGAAGAAGAAAACATTTTTTTAATTTGTTTTAAAGGACCCATTAAAAAACAAGTACTGCAAAATAAATATTCAAATTTACTGAGTTATTTTGCTTCATATTAACAATTACAAACTACAAGGGTTTATTGCTGCTTTTTAAATGAAAAAAAAAATAATTTTTATAATTCTTATCTCCTACTATACTATAGGAACTTTATATAAATAACTTATTTAATGTATGTATACATTCGCTACTTTTCACCAATTCAGTAAATGACTCGGTATTAAATAAATGAAAACATTATAGAATTAATTCAATGATTAAAAAAACAGAACATGAAATTGAAAGATTCTGCATAAAAACAACTTTTGTCAAAAATATCCCATGAAGGTTTTTGATAAAGAGAAAAAATGATGCATTATTCTGTAGAAGAACGAGACAATTCTAACTAGCTGTTTCAAAACGTATTTGGACTTGTCTTCCAAAAATGCTGTGTAAAAACGAGATAACTTCGAAGTTATTTAGTTCTTGCACGGAAATTGTTGACAACACTGTACTAAATATCTACTCAACAAAACAATAAATAATAATTTTAAAAAAACATAATATGGTTAAATTACCAGAAAATATACCATATTTACATAATAAATTGTTAAAAAAAAGTCTACTAGATATTCAAAACTTGTCTTCAAAATATGATCCACCTCAATATATACTGTATTACAGAACTGTAGTTAAAGAAACTTTAAGTAATGAAGAAGATGTGATAAATGATGAGTATGGATATTAAGAAAATTATATTATAATACTATTATTTAATAGTAAACTTTCATTAAATATGAAAATGTAAGACTTGGGTTTTACAGATTAAAATCAATTTTATTCTGTTATTAAATTTATAACTTTAATAAGACTTACATGTTGTGCATTATAATAATAGTTAATGAACTGATTTATTTAGATGTTAAAAATGTTAAAGTTTTACAGGGTGCAATCAATTTTTTTCTGTTAATTATTGTATACAACTATTTAGTTTATAACTTTAATAAGACTTACATGTATTAATACATTCCTAATTAACTAACTTATATAATATATTGATGTTAAAAATATTATAAGTTTTTTAGAATAATTATTTTGATATTATTATTATTTTTTTTAGGTTATCCGCCATTATACTTCTATATTTGGAACACAGAATGTTAGAGTTATCTATGGCTTTTCTTTTGAGTAATCGAAGTTTTCTTAAGGAAACAGCATTTATTTAAACTTATCGAGGTTCCAAAATATTGTTATAATATAAAAATAATTATATTTTACTTGTGTAAAATAAACATATTCAGACATGTCAATTAATGTTCTATTCTATTCTATATATCAATAAATACCTAATTAGATCTTAATTATATTAAGTTTAGAGTAAGTATAATAATTTATTGTATATTATAATGAGTATAAACTTTGTATTAAAATTTTTATTGAATCAACATTAGTTAATATATTATTTAATATGAAAAAACCAAATTAGTTTTTACTAATACAGTAGACACCAGTTGTAATGACCTTAGATTGTATGTACTAATTTGTATTAATTATTATGATATCTGTTAATGACTATACAGATGTTATGAATTATTTTGGTTATATTGGAAAAATCTATTATTTATAATAATTGTGTGATTTAGTGATAAAAATATGACACGTTGGCTGTAATATTACTTTCACATAAATATATATACTTATATATAATCAAGTTTTTAAATTTTATTTTATCATTTTGGTTATAATGACAATCAGTTATTATGCCTAATTTTAACTAATATCTAAAATGTCATTATAAACAGTTTCTACTATATAAAGTTAAAAAAAAAGTGAAAGATTATTGTATTTTGGAATTCATTATGTCTAAAAGTAGTAATAATTATTAATCTTCTTAAAACTCATATTTGTAAAAAGTCATGATGTAAGTGCCTGATAAATTTGAAAATTAATATTTTATTTTAATACCCTTAAATCCTAATTTGTTTTCTTCTTAGGTTTGAAGAATGATACGTTTTATCCATAGATTAACCAAACATTTTAGGTTATTTTAAACTCCAATTTTGTACAAATTATAAAAATTGAATCAATGATTTTCAACATTGGTTTTAACTCAATTTTTAAAATATTTCCTGAAAAATTTGTTAAAGTGAAGTTGTCTAGTTTTTGCACAGAACCTTTTAAATGGCTTAAAATCTATGCATGATCCAGGTCAATCCATCAATGGTTGATCCGATTAAGATAATAGCCCCCTTCCCACCCAAACCCCTGTAGTATAGTGCGCTTTTGTCTTGCATTGTGACAAAATATATACCAATTTCCATTGTTGTAAATGGTTCTCCTACCCTTCTTCCAAAATATTAAAATCTAGATCAGTCACTGCAGTTCATTATAAAAAAAAATGTACTTTTCATTTAAATAAAAATGTTAGTTTTTAATTACCTAAGAAGTGATGTAATATTTCCAAGAGTATAAAAAATACCAAATACAGCCATTCTTCTTGGTAAAGGTAAGATTAATGCAGTTGCACCCATTAATGAAAAAAATATTCCAATAACAAAACAAGCAATAAATCCTTTTATTCGAGTAGACCATTCTAACGATGACATTTGATTAACATTCTGCAAACATATACAATTAAACATTTTAGATAAAATGACAAAAATGTTGTTATTAAATAAAACTAAATACCTAGTGTTAGACTTAACTAAAAGTGTTTATAAAGTTTAATATATTAAATGTATGATTACCTAATATTTATAACTCAATATTAAACCTTAAAAAAAGTAAAGTAAAAAATGATAGAATGAATCTTTGAACCAAATTGTAAAAAATTTTGCTAATGGGGTTTTTTTTTTTATTTAAGTTTTTTTGTTTTACCTATTTTGTATTACAATGTATTCAATAACATTTTACAAATAGCTTTATTTTCATTACATAAGTATGTACTTAAATTTAATTATTATTATTTTTATTAATATTATTAAACACATAATTATGAACTATTGGCGTTTTTTTTTTAAAAAAAAAAGTATTTAAGTAATTCAACATATAATGTGTTTTATAATTTATTAGGTCAGTATATTATTATGTCTAAAAAATATCACATACAATAGAAAGTAAAATATAAAACAAAAAGTAACCTTTTAATTAAGATCAAATATAATATTATATATTATGTTTAGAATTTTAAAATGTTTAATATTTCTTAAACTGGAATACACTGGTGTCTTTACCCTACATATTAGTTCATTGCATGTGTTAAGCAATAGAGTACCTACCTAGTTTTAATACCAGGGCCATCCTCAGGTTCCGGCCAAAAACTAAATTTTCCAGGCCCTTTTATTTTGTAGGGTCACTGGTATAATATTAAATGGAAAATTTGTTTGTAGGCCCAAGTCCCTTAAAAATTAGCTTAGGGTCAGGGCCAGGACACACAACCCAAGAAAACCGATCTGAGTACAGCCCTGTATAATTCCACTTGTAATGATAAATTATTTGCATATAATGTATATATATATATATATATTATAATTGTGTTAAATCTTAAAAACAATAAATTGTGTTTAAATTTTGGCAAAATACAAGCCAAACAGAACAACTGTTTATTTATATTGCATTACAAGAAAATCAGAAATATAATTTAATCACAAACAACAATTAAACAATTTTGAATCATAAAAAACCAGTCATATTTATATTATTGAAAAAATAGTACACCGTAATAATAAATAATAACTAATTGTTGGAAAATAATATGTAAAGAACTTACAGGTAAAATTCCTGTGGAACTATCATTGTCTCGATTATCTTGACCACTCAACACTTTTCGCAACTTTTCCATAATAATATTATTACGATTAATCTGTGAAACATATTATGTAACATTTTTCATGATAAAACGATAAACATACAAAAAAATTATACAAACCAAAAGTATAAAAAATGAGCCGAGTAATATTATAGGCAAACTACACAAGAAAAATAAAATTGAATATTAATAATTGTAATAGTATAATAGTGAATAGTTAATTACAATAATAGTAATAATGTAATAGTAAATTATATAGCTCCCTAATAATTGTATTTTTTTTTTTTTAAATTTATTTGTGTTGCTGTACAATTAAACTACAATGCTGAATTATAAATTATTATTATTTTTTATTTTGGAACAACGAATGATGGAAATTTAACACAGATAAGAGATAACCGTATCGTACAGAACGTGCTACCGAGGTTGGTAACGATTAGAAAATGATAAAAAACAAAAATGCAATATTTTAATATGATGCCTGTATATCGCAGCACGTTTTCACCACGATTTAAGATTTAAGTATATCTTAAACTGTATTTCCCATCTACGGTGTAGATAAATTTATCTATATCGCAATCCCATCGTAGATAATATGGATACTATGCATGCCGGGACATTACTATTCCCTACAAGGTTTATAGAATAGAATTCTATTTTCCGATTTTAATTTCTATTCTGTAAACCTTGACATCCCTAATCTCTATACTATTATACACGATATTCACCGATCCACGATACTGTGAACGAAGAGTACAACTATAACCATTAAGGTTTTTTTTTTCTATAGTTATGCTTACCATAATAGTTATATGCGATTATAATATATATATACATATATATATGTAATCATTATCAACTGATAACGCTGCCACAATTTAGAGGAAGGGGTACCGATTCGGTGGTCACCGCCCATGATCTGCTTTACGCCTTTACTGTTTCTGCTTTAGTAGTTGATCGTGGCGCCGCAGTGTCGTTTGTGTGGTTTTGGCGTTCAATTTCGTTTGCTGCTCGCCGGTCTCGCCCAGTGGTCCACCACGGTTCCATCGGACTAAACGTGCGGTCGCGTGTTGCTGCGTACGCCGTTATTATTTTAATAATACATGTCCATAAATCATAATTTAGATGATAAAAGTATAACTATACATTTATTTATATACGATCGATAATTTACTGATTTGTATACAAGGAAAATAATTGACCCCTCAACCGAAGACCTTGAACACTATTTGAATATAATATGATAATTTCAATTTAACCGACCGTATTAAAATAATATCATATAGGTAATGTTCTATAGTATTATTATATCGAGTACAAACGGCCCACAATAATACATTTGTAAACACTGTATATAATATAATATACATGCGAGTATACAAATCAATATCATAACAATTCGGGATATTACACTTATTTATCATTATTTACACTGTCACATCTGCACAAATTGATTTCAATAAATTATAAATTACAATATAGCATTGCACCCGCTGCAGTTATTATAATATACACCTAGTTCAAAATCATTTCTATTCTCACTATCGATTGTTGTGTGTTTGTCGTAGGTAGTTCAAGGGATTCTTCAGATATTTATGGGATGTAACTCGAGCAAAAGTGCGTCAAAAGCTGTACACAAAAAAAAATTACTACCCATCATGAGCTTTCCGCCGTCCAAAAATGTAAGATTAAATTTTAGAACATAATATATATTTACTTTTTTGTTTTACGTCTCGTTCGACATTTCCTTTTCCGTTTGAATGATATTTTCAATATCATAAATTATACCTAGGTACCCGCGCCTGGTTAAATTTAATTTGTTAGTTACGAACAAGACTGTAATATTTTAGTTTTTTACTAGAAACATTTGTAAATTGATTTAGTTCAAGTTTATAAAATAATTGTTATAGTTGTTACGATGACATATATTGATTTCTCATATTATTATTATTTTATAGCAATAGGTAGTGTTTATGCTATTTTAAACGCTATATCATAATGAACATGTTTTATTCCTTTAATCTGCTAAAAATAATAATATATTTCTTGTTTGCAAGTATTAATGTTCTGTTGGTCGTATTGCATTATCATTGTGGACGTATTTAATATTTTGTTCATTTTTGTTGTTACTTTAATATTATTGTCCATTGTTAAGAATTCAAAACAATACGCCCATTTATGCTAAAGCATACTAATATAGGTACCTATATTAGTAGATATAGTAGGTATCAGTATTGAGTAGGGATGAGTTTTAACATCCTTTCGTGAATGAATCATTAAAATTCTAAGTGTATTCACTCAGTATTATATATTTTTAACGAACATTTCGCAGATTACATTTCAAGGTTATTGTTTCTGGGGACATGTGTCAACTTGCTAAACAATAGAAAGTGAAGAAAACAACATATTAGGTATCTATACCTAATAAGCTAATATAATAGAAGATTATTTTCAAAAAAAATTTCCTCGATGACTTTCATATTTTCCAGTATTTATAAATCAGAATGCTTAAGTTGAATTACAGGTACAACATGCCAAATAAATATTAAAACAGCTATAACTAATCCTCCAATTCATATCACTTAATCGAAATTAATCTGCTAATTTTTGCTACCGCCTATATACAGGTACTAATGCTATAATTAACCCCGTGGTATTTATCTTTGATTTATTTATAGGTACCTTAATGTCAACTATGACATTAATAATTAATTAATTAATTAATAATTTATTTGTTATTTCCATGGAAGAAAAATGGAAAAATAAAAATAGCGATGACACATCATCCTTTTTTGAGATAATTTCCACCCTCTTCGACTCGGTTGTTTATTCTGTATTGATCCAGTCTACTGAGCATGCCCGGTGTGTGCATGGCAACTCACCAACCCCCCGGCTTTCGTAATGTATACCCTGTATATTCCACTGCAGTGAATGTGTTTTCCCATTTAAAAATGTTTGTATTTTTTTATGTGCATGCATTATTCGTTATAATTGCCAAATAACCTAACATTTCAATAATTTATATTGTAACAGTTAATCAGAACTTTCAGTTTAAAAAAATAAACAAATGTAAATTGCAATAATAATAATAAAACGCGAAAATTCGGTTGATATAGAGGGTCCCAAAATCGTAATTTCTGAACGTGTGAATTATAGCGATGAATATAATATACAATATGCCTACCTATTATACTTATTTATAGTCCTACAACTATCCTTGCCTAATTATTTTTAGGTAATTAAAAATATAGGTAATAATTTATTAAACGACAATTCGACAATATATATTTTATTGTAAATTGACTTTGACATTGGTTTTATTTTTTTCTATATTAAGTACCTATTACCTACGTTGTGTGTTAAAACTATCCCTTATAATTATCATTGTATATTACAAACATTTTCATTAGAACAAGAAACTCCTAAAAAATCACAAAATATCACTGTTAAATTATGGTAATATTATTAATACATTTTGTTTAATTATAACTTAATTAGTTATTTTTAAAATATTTTTTAATTATTGAATCAACACCAATTACCTACTACCTACCTAAATTAATTTATTAACTAATAAATTATCGATAAAATGCCCTATCTATATTAATAATTACAATAAATAGTGTTTTATTTCTTCCGTTCGATGCAATACAATTATTACAAAATTAATATAATTTTTATATCTATTGAATTTCTTGTATAGCCTATCCCAATTCATAATTACATACTTTGTATTCTGCATTTTTTTTTTTTATGTTGAATATTGCAAAAATAATTTAAATAATTGTGCTCTCCTAATATTATTATATAGTCTATTACAAATAAAATAGATCATCGTTGGTTCTTATCGACAACCCATATAGACCGTAAAAATGGCACGCCACGGTATATTTGCAGATGGTGCCGCATTGCGTAAATATTATATCGACTGTCAAGGTAACTCCTTTTATAAATTTGCAATAGAAATTCTTTATGCTTCTTTCGTATTCAATCTTAAACTCGACAAATTCCGTTTTAAATTCGATTATTATCATATCGATCCGTTTTTCATCAAAACTGACTGTTAAGTTTGTAAGTCTGAAGTAGGTACCTACCTACGCTTATAGGTGCCTAATATGATTATTGCAGTAAACATTTTAGGTACCTCTACGATTCATTTTAAATGGTTAAGTAACATTTAGTTTAATATAATTATAATTTAACATTAAAATACCAATAGCGTACTGTATATATTACGGCGAATAATATGCGATAATGTGTTATGCGTGTTTTTTTTTTTTAATTACTTGTTATAATAATATATTAATTTCCTTTGTAAAGTTCAACGTTAGTCATTGTGCGATAATTTTGATTATTAATTGATCAACAAATATTGTGTACGAGTATGTATAAGTGCTGTTAATAAATTATCTATGCAATAAAATTGTAACAATAATTATTTCATCGTTTTGGAAATCATATACCATAATATAATTCGTCCCGTTTAGTTTTTTTCTACTTTCTGTATGTCTAAATAAAAACCCTAGTGTCTATTTGCATTATATAACAATAAACAGTTGGAACAGTGAATGGTGTGATTCCGGTATTAGGCAATAAGCGTTTGTTTTGCTTCATTCACCTCGTTATTTTATAGAAATAATAATGTGTTTTGGGCAAATTGCTCGTACAACCGTTTTGTAATAATGCTAAACTGTTTAATTCCTTTATTTAATATTGAATTTTAAACGTGATTCTTAATGAAAAAATAAAGGATTTTTGTTTAATTTTATAGTAGGTCACTAGCTGTTTTGATATAATATACGAATAGCGAACAACTAACTGAAATTGATTATGTACCGAATGAATACCTGGGTACTGTAAGTTAACCTGATTTTCGTAATTTTTTATTGGGTTTTGGTAGGATCGACTAGAAAATTATTGAGTGCCTACTTACCTAAATCAAAAAGTTGTAAAACAAAATTATATTTTTGTAATTTCCATTCCCTAAAAAACGGTGTTCCGAGAAAAAACACAAATAATATAAAACATTAACTCAGAGGTTCCCAACCTTTTTTGACTCGCGACACTAAAGTATTTTCTAAAAATCCGATGGCTCCTTATAGTATTATAGTAGTACATCGTGTACCTATTTATATTTATATTTTACAACATCGGTTTTCTTAGCTAGATATAACCAAACATTATACACACATAGCCACACGGGGTGGATCTAGGCAATAGATAAGGGAGAGGAGTAAAAAAAAGTTCACTTTTTATATGCTTTAAAAATGTTTTTTTGATATAATTTATATAATGTAGTATAAGACCTATATTTTAAGTACCTACACGTGTGAAGGGAAGGGCGTCCCCTCCCCTCTTGTATGCACCCCTCTTTTTTTCGCTCTGTTCAAAATCTAAAAGGGTTTTTCTAAGAGTATACCACGTTTTTTCTTTCGAAAATCATATTATTTGTTTATTAACCATAACAATTAAGATTTAAAGAATGAATACCTATTTTAATTATTCGATTCTAAATGATTATGTTGTTATGAACAAATTTCTGTTTAATATAGTTAAAATATTATTATTTTTATTATTTTCAAATATATAATATAATATGTCAGTGTTCAAACCCGGTTAGGTTAACCTTCAAGAGAACTGATAGTATATGGTTAATTAAGTCTGGAAGTAAGACCTGAATAATTCTTATTGTCTTCAATCGGCAGTCGCTTGTTTTTTATATATTGCGGTTTATGACAAAATGTATTGTGTATGGGTTATAAAAGGGTAAAGATTTAATTAGAATAGGTAGGTATCTCTTTAAGGGCAGGTAAATGCAATGTAGATGATTAAATAATTTACGAAACTTCATTATTTAGATAAAAACGTTAGCTAGTATTTTTTTTAAATATTTAATAGTCTACTCAGCTTCAAACTCGGTTTTAACTCAATCACTTATGATTAGGTGCTTATTTATAAGTCAATTTATTTATTTAACCAACTTAAAAGTTCGCATCTATTGTTTTAGTCCAAACCCAATGCTTACAAAATAAAACTTGCTTAATTTTGATTTTAGAGCAAAAGTACCTTTTAGAGAAATATATAGAGAAGTATAATTTGAAGGGAACCTTATAGGGTTTTTGTATTATTTTAAATATACAGCTTGTTATAAAAGGCACAAAAATCTATTTTTTTTAGTTTTTAAATAAAGTAAGTAACTTTTTAATAGTTTATAATTCAAAAAATATTTATGAGATTCCCTCCAAAATATTGTTCTCAATAAATCTCATAATAAATACTTTTACTCTAAAATTAAACTAGTTTTATTTAGTCTGTGTAAGCATTGTTTTATTCGTGTTACTCATTAGTTGGACTGAGAGTGGTAGCGGATATAGGATTTTGGTTCGGGAGGGGGAATTGTTCATATTTTGGACAATGAACACTAAATATAAATTGCAATCAAGTTTCAACATTATCCACCATTATTTATAATAATAAAATATTGGTTTATTTGAATGGCAATTTATGATCATTATTGGGTAACTCATATTATTATAAATTTACAAATACCAATGTAATATAACAATCAAGGGGGAGGCGGCCACTGGGCACTGATTGAAACAGTATATGGGAGTGTGATGGTAGATAGTAATAGATTTTTATGTGGGATTATTATCCCCACTCACATGTTATTTTTATCCCTATATTAAATTCAATTCAACAAACCATTTAAATTAACAATAGATATAGCGAATTAAGTTATGTACCTACATTATATATATCATTTAGATATTAAATGTACTATTCACTTAATCCTTACATGTACCTACAACTATAATTTAAATTAATTTTTGTATAAAGTGATACATAGATAAATAATTATATAGTATTATTAAATTTACAGAGTTGCCTATTATAAATAGTTAAGTTAAATAATATAAATATTTATTATGACCATATTAAATAACAAAAACATGATTAAGGTCAATGACAGTGACTAGCTAATCTAATTTCCTCTTATGGAATAGGGAATGGGAATGGTCTCATGTGTTTACAGTAACACTTACACCTTCATGCCTATTATACACATCCATGACCATATGGTGTTCCAATATATTTCACAATATTTCTCACACTTCTTCTATAATATAATACTATTAATTACTATTGTGTTTTCAATGTATAATGTTAAATTATTATATTACACATTTTTTTTTATTTTCAGGCTAATCAATATCCAAAAAGTCAAGTTCCAGCAACTAAAGGATTGGCATCATCCTTTGGGTTTAAAAAGCCATCCCAAACCAATAAAATAAGACCAATATCCGCTCCTCTTAACCCTACTACTAAACCTATTGAAAAGCCAGATACTTCTGGATCAAAAATGCTACCAAAACCCACATTAACACCTATGGAAAAATGTCCAAAAAGTATCCCCAAGAGTAATACACCTTCTCCCAACAGGTGATACATTTTATTTCTTGAATTTGGCTTTTACCATAATTTTTTTTTTTTTTAGGTTTGGATTTTGTAAACCACCATCAAAACTTGTTCAACCTACAATGAGATCTACGGCAAAAAAAGTGGAAGTTGAAAGAAGAAGTCAATCTGAACCTCAAAAGAGGGAAAGTGCTAAATATGTGTCTAGTGGATCTAAAATTGCTGTATCCAGAGTTACTTCTAGTCATTTACCAAGGCCTCAAATACCAGTTAGATATCAAATATCCAAAAGTCCCGACAAGAATTTTAAAACAGCTACTAACATGAGATTAAAGAGTGAAGCAATAAAACAAATGCAACAAGGAGTAACTATTCGAAAGTTAAGTGACTCTGTAGAATTCACTGAAGTGATTGCTATAAATAGACCTTCAAGGTTTACTATCAACTCAAATGCTAAAGGTCCTTTAATTAGAGAACGAGCCAATAAATATTTGAGGTTAGTTCTCTAGGTACTTGTAATTACCATTTATATTTCATTCAAATATTTTATGATAAATAGGCAAGTTTCAAGTTCTTCTAAGCATTTGACATCATCTGATGACGATTCAGATATGAGCAGTTATGAAGAAAAACATGACAAGTAATTTTAACTGTTATAATCAATTATTTTCAATATATTACAGTACTTTTGAGTTGTACATGCCTTTAGCCATATTATTTCCATGGAAAATTATTATATTCTTAACATACAAAACAATTAAATATTTATTGAAAGCTCAGATTTAAAAAATTAAAAATCATTTTTTGTTAATTTCATTAATTTTTCATTTATATAATTATACATATTCCTAAAATATGTATACTTTGTTAAATAAATGTCCATGCACACTTGTGGTAGAATTTATGTAATATTTATATTTTAACAGAGAAGAGTTCATAAAAGAAAATACTTGCATATTCGATAAAAAAGATACTACATGTAGTGATGAAGAGTATGGACCCGGTGAAGCATTAGCTGTTGAAGAATTTACAGAAATGAAAGATAAAATAAATGTCATTGATAATAAATTTGGTACCTATTTAATTTAAATTGTATACTTATTATTGAAGCAGTATAAAATGTTTGTTTATTTTTGTAGCTAATGTTGATATGTCTGTATCATTACGTGATGTTTTATTGAATATTGAAGACACAACATTTGCTACATTAGCTGCTATGTCTTCTACAATACGAATTGAAGATGAAACATCACCAGATGATGAATGCTTAAGTCCCACTGAATCAGAGTCTGTAGAATTTCCACAAAGTAAAACAGGTAAAATTATATTTTTAATTTTTAGAGAATCATCAAACAAAAATAAACTTCAATACAAGGTTATATGTATATTATAAATAGCTTATTTTCACACTTTTAAAAATTCTTTTCATATTTATTAAGGACACCAGCCCTTTAAAAAAAAAAATAATAATAAGGAAATCTAAACACCTAATAATTCTTAAATGTTCAATACAATTCATTTACAAACTGAAATATAGTTAAATAAAATAATATTTTTGAAAATATCATTATCATATATCATAACTTGATATTATTATCTTACTCCACAACATATTCAATATATATTGTTCTAGTTGTCATATCTTTGTTGTTACACTTTGTTTATAAATATATATTGGAGTAATAATTATAGGAGATTAAAAGCTGTGATTTTTAAATTCTAAGTGAAGCGAGGAATATATTGATTTTTAATTTAGTTTTTTCTTTGTGTCAGTAAACTAGGAACTATTTTTCCAAAGATTTTGTTTCAATTAAAAACTTTATAGGAACTTTCTTATTGAACTTTTGATCTAGCTGGTGCATTCATTGAGGAAATACATTTTACATTTTCGTTTCCGGTTTTTTAATCAATAGAAAAAACTTGCAATTTTTAGCTTAATTGTTTATTGATTTTTGGTTTACCTTTGTAACAAAGGAAAAAATATGACTAATAATTCTCTTTTTAGAATCATTTTTCATTAACCATAGTTTATCATTACATACACATATAAATTACATTACTCTATAATATATCCTCCCTTCTAACTTCTTTCCTAAAACAGTAGCACACCCATTAGTAGTATTTTTATCCATCACATTTATCTATTACCCTCAAAAGATATCTTTGTCCCTTATATTTATCTTTATAATTTATTATGATATGACTCAATATATTTTCATTGTAACTGTGTACAAAAATGTAATACCAGTTAGGTGCATACCTAACCTGTTTATAAAAGTCTTTATACTTAATGTTGATGGGGTTTGTTTAAAATGAACAGGGATTGACGATCCCCCTTGTTTATTAGAACATGTTATACTACTTCATATGGTATAGTAAAGTTTTATTTTACTTCTGAAATTAGATTTGAATTTTAGTTTAGAAATTAACTATTTCAAAGATATTGTACAACAAAAATATAATTTTGGAAAAATCATATATATTTAAAATATCATAAAGTAATATTTGTATTAAGGAAATTTAAAACTGATATTTTTATTCTTTGACAAACATACCCACAGCATAGCAAATTAGGCCAATTTTTTAGCAATAAAAGTTTTTAAAAAACAGATTTGAATTCAATATAAAGTGTAAATGAGATGATCGATAACTTATAGACTTAAAATTAAATTCAAATTTGTTTTTTAAACTAAATTTCTATGCTGTTTATGTATTTTAATTATATATATATATCTGTTTTTAATCTCCTTAATAGAAAACAATAAATAGTATATATTTTGTGTGATTTCTAAAACATAATATTAATGGTTTTGTTATTTTTTATGATAGTTAAAATAAATTTTACTAAATAAATAACAAAATATAGATAATATGTATTATACTGATCATTTTCTTCAGAATTATGTTATGTTAATTCTCACTTAATGATTTTTACTTATTTTATAGTTCACTGTATGTTTTTTAGTGATTTTTTCATTATTTTTATTTTGAATGTGAGTAAGGATTTGAAATAACAAAAAATTTAAATTTATTTTATCCTTCAATTAAATAATATGTAAAACACTTAAAATAACACAATTGTATTTATAATAATTATTTATAGCAAATAATACAAACTAAGCTTTTTTTTTTTGTAGAAAGTGAACTATTATACAAATTGTTCTATATAAAGTTAATATTCCAAATCCTAATAAATAAATAGGATTTGATTTAGTGAATTGTGATAAAAAAAATAGGTTATACCAGGGATACAGTGTATAGTGACTATACATATAGTATAATATCTTATAATTTGATTTAAGCATTTTGCCAAACTCCTTTTTCTCCTAGCTACGTGTTAAAGTATTCTATTCTATTTTTCTTTTTTTCTTTTTTTTTTTATGTTCTATTATGAGAAAAATTTACAAGATTTGAAAAATTTACAAGATATTTCCGCTTTTATCTCAATATATTTTTGAAGTAAATCAATAAAAATAATTAAAAATACTGATTACCGACATCAACACAATGTCATAAAATACAAATCAAAAATTGCATAATAATTTTTTTTCACAATTTTCTGCTACATTTTTGCGCAGATTTCTACTGATTAATCTAATATTTATAAAATGTATAGGTACCTAATTTACTAATTAAAATTAATGTTTGTTGTTACAGAATCTATAAATAATGAAAAACGTGATACAGTGTCGCCAATTTTGAAGTGTAATATGTCCAAATCTGGTTCTTTTTCATCGGACACTAGGGATTTTTTTGACGATGAAATAGCCGATCAGCCAGCCCTAATGTTTAGTGGACCTCCATCTGAGTCTTGCAATATAGAAGATATCGATGATGCTATATTTCGACTCGCAAACCAATCCAACAGTAACAAAAAAAGTAATAAAATAATAGATTTTTTTTTTTTCTAATTAGCCTGTTGTCAGTTTTCCAAATTTTCTCTAATTTATAAAATTTAGTGACTGAAACTGAAAGGTGTAACATTTTAATGACCACCTAAAATATAAGATAAAACTTTCATTTATCTGCTGCTAAATACCTATTTAGAGAAAAGGAGTAAGACCATTTTCATGGATGAAAATATCTGCAAAATTAATCAAATTTTTACTAATTAAATTAATAAAAACTGCTCAATATAATAGTTTTTCCATCGTTTTTATTTTATTAGATAAAAAATAATATTCTACACACTGCATTGAACTCTAATTTTTTTATATTGAAAAACTGGAGTTTAATATTGTCTGTAGAAAGTTTTCTTATTTCCAACAAAAAATAATCATCAAATTCTATGGCTATGAGACATGAGAGTAAAACACATTTTTAAGCCAAATAAAAAAAGTTGCAGCAAGCCTCTTAATATAAAAATATTTAAATTACAAAATATTTAACTCTTTTAATTTTAATTGTTTTGAAAATTGCGTGTAAACATATTATGTTTTCAAACATAGCCATATCCTTGAGAAGATCAATAAGTGCTGATGGATCCTTGAGTGAGAGTCTTAATTCTGATGACTTGATGCTCGATGTTGATTATGATGCAACAGATGATAAAATGATTGATCCTGATAACAATGACCTATTGCAAACGCTGGAGAGAAGTAAACAAAACACGTTTAAGGAATGGAAGGCTTTAACATCCCCAAGGTATTAAATAATAACTAATGTAAACAGTTATAACATAAAAACTATAATAGTATTATATTATATTTTATATATTACAAATTAGTACACAATTGATATTATAGGTGGCCAGGTGGGAGTAAAATATTTCATTGTTGGGTATATGAAAGAGGGCAATGTTAATGACCTTGGTCGTGTAGCATAGCCAAGTGTTCCACAACTGCTTGTATCTGAGTCATTAAACCGGTTAACTACACACTGTATACACTGTTTTTCCCGTCACTTATTTTTTTTTTAATAACGCCAAGCTTTCTTTTTACTTACATGTTTTCATTTTGATAATTTTATAAAAACATTTAAAAACATTAGTACTCTATGCATATAATAAAACACTAAGTCTATTAAAATTTCAAAATGATCAAAGCATTTAACAGATCAAAACGGGTGTTTAAAAGGTATAATTATAGTCAATTAGTTAACACAAAATTAATATAGAATATTTTAAATTTATATTCGTCAACACACAAATGTATTAATATATATTTTGTATTCTTTTTTTTAGAAATAGTAATAGTTCATTAAAAGACGAGGTAGTTCCAGTCAAAGATGAAACGGATTCAAAAGTAAGTAGACAATTTGATTTTCTCTTTTGGACGGTGTTCACAATTTTGAATAAATTTGAAGTGGATAATTATAGGACAGCAATGGGGATGTGATAATGAGCTTCGATCGATTTCGAGAAGTGACAGACGACATTGCGAGTATCAAGAATATGCTATTCGAGCTAAATCGTGCCTTGATAGAGGTAATTTGAAAGTAAAATGTTCAATTATAAAAAAATTGTTTTTAATTTGTTTAATCAAATATTATAAGTGTCAATAATTTTTCTAAAGACAATTTTAAGATTTTTATTTATAATATCTATTTGTCAAAGCTGAAAAAAAAATGTCCTTTTTCATTGAATTATTTAAGTATTATCAATTGTACTATTAAATCATAATAGAAAATATGTGATTAATTCTAGGACAAACAAGATATGACATATCCGGAAGAACAGGAAGTGCATTGTTGTTACGAGGACCAAATCTTGGATTTGAAACAACAGGTTAGTTAGATATTCTTTTTAATTTAATTATTGCATAAATACACGTCTCCATTTTTTTTTTTTTTTTTTTCAAAGCTGGTAAATATTTTAAATTTAATTTAATAAATTCAAAATGTGTCTTGTTACTCATTTGAAAACACCTTTTAAATAGACAATAGATACTTAGATAGTAGCATGATTTGCATGATTATCTTAACACTAAGCAAATTAAATATGAGGGAAATATGCATTTAAATACACCCTGTTGTATTTCGGAGACAAGTATGCATTTCCTTGATCAGGAGCTGAGTTGCGGATCATCCGTTTCAGATAGCTTATATGGCACAACAAATGGAACAGAAGGACCGTACTATTCAGATGCTCAACGAACAGATAGCCCAACGGCCACGACCACTAACAATGGAAATAGAAACCCGAAATGCTGCCACTCAAACAGACCGAGTATGTACTCAGGGTATTTCATGAATAGTTACTAATTTAAACTGCTATAATGTTAGCAAAGTTTGCATTATTCTTAATTATAAAAAAAATTAAGTATTTTCTATATGTATAAAACTTTTATTTTTCAAGTGTCGGTCGACCACAGTTCCAACACTATGCACATTCGATAGAGAAGGCCAAGCAAATGGACGTCCTGTTATAAGGTAACTCAACTAACATGTTATATTAAATAATTATTATGTGTTAAATTACAATATGAATATTATTTACTCATGGAATATGTTATACTATGTTTAATGCAAACAATGACGCGATTTCTGTCAACAATAGCTTCGCATTGGGAAAGGTAGATAAACTTGACATGGTGTTTTGTTTGTTCGCAATGTGTGCGTTCGATTATTTCTGCTTGTCTATTATAATGCTTTGACCATCTGGCACCCGCTCTTACATGAGCATGAAGGTAGTTTTAAGTATAGGTTTTGTTAAGTTTTTTTTAAATTAATTAAATATTATGTAAATTATATACAAATGCATTGAATAAATTATATATTTAAATATTGTATTTATATCAAACCTTCATATTGAAGGTAGATAATTTTATTCAATCTATGTATTTAGTTATTTTGTATGTAAATAAAAAACAAGTTTATTGATTTACTGGTTAAAGTATAGGTACTTACAGTTAATTATCATGTATTAATATTTAATAACCTTAATTTGATGATATTTTTTTTTGTAGTTATGTTGATTTTTTATAACATTATATTTATTTATAGTAGTTTATCTACGTTTTAATATACTATATCAATTAAGCACGATCATTTTTCAAACTAACCATTAATTATTTTCTGTATTGCATGCAATTTTACCCTGTAGATTTAAAAAACAAGAGACATTTTGAATTTAAATTTTAAATATTGGTGAATTGTATTTATGTGAAGTAGACATCAAGGTGGTTTATTATTAGCTAATTTTTAAAAATGATAAGTTATGTTTTTATTCAATACTTTTTTTTTCATCAAATAATCTGCACAGTGGTTTTTATTAAATAAATATTCTAATAATTAACTGATTAGATAATAGCTTAATACCTTAAAAAATATCTGAATATAAAACCTTCATTTAAATAACAATTATTGTAAGAGAAAGTACAAAAAGTGTGATCAGTAAATCCTCTACATTAATTATTAATATTCTGACATTATATATTATTGTAATAATCATATTACATATTAGATATTATCACATTGAAATTCTCAGAAAAAAAAAGAAGAAAATATTTTCAAATGAATGTAGTTTAATTAATACCACAATATAAATTAAAACTTGGTATGTTTTTAGAACACAAGTGCGTATATTTGTATATTGACATTATAGACTAGTGATTCTATGTGACGTTTAGTTGTGTTTTTCACTCCAACCAGTTAATTAAAATATTATTTATTTTTATATGTAGGCGTTTATAAATACAAACAATAAAACAAAAGACAAAATAAGTAAAGTAAGATGATTTTTAAATTTGTTTAAATAAAACTTCATACATAATAGATAAAATACAGTAATATTTTGGAAAGAAAATGGAAACCAATAATTATTATTTACTGCAGTATGATTTATAATATGTTCTTGGTTCTAAAATTATGGTTTTTTTTCTTTTTCTACAAACTGTAAAATATGTACTTACTATGGCGTTTTTTCATTATATAATTATAGTTTCAAATTATAAACAATGTTTTCAAATAAATTAAATTGCTGCATCTAATAATAATTTAATTTATATTACCTAATTTGTATTTGGTTACAAGTTACACTGTTAATATTTATTCATTTAAATTTAAATAAAATGGACTTTTTAACTTTGTTAATTAAAAATTAAAGATTATTTTTTTATAATCCAAACATATATTGTTAAAAATAATAATTTTTATAACTGAATGTTTATATTTACAGCAAGTTATTTATTTTTTTTAAAGGTGCAGTGACATGATGGAGAGATCCAAGTCGGTGTCAGGCAATCGTATACGTATCGGCATGCTAAAGCACAAATTTCTTATGGACGCTGGCCGTACATTGCCGAACGTTTAATTTCTTCCACTTGTTTTCTTCGCCCAGTATTAACAACAACATTCCATGTTTAATGTTCCATTAGTAGTTAAATTTAAACTAAGATTTAATTTATAATTTTTTTTTACAGTACATTAATTTGTCCACATGTAATGTATAAGTTTTTGTTTTAAAAACTATTATATAAATTATTTTGTACATATAAATATATATATATATTTATACATAACTCTTTTTGTACCTTAAATATGGGTTGTTTTTTTTTTAGCTTAATATAAGTAATCTTTTTTCCACTTTACCAAAATCAAACTAGTCAATATTTGTTTTGTTTATATGAAATATATATTTTGTTTGTATTGCATTCAATAATATTTCTCTAGATTAAAATTATTATTATAATTTAAACATTAAGGACATTTAATTCATTCTTTGAAATAATAAAAATTATTTATTTAAATGTGTTTAATTTCGCCCAGTAGTTTATATTGTTATATTTTATATAGTTGAACATCAAACAAAATTTAAAAAAAACAACTAATTAAGATTTATAGTTTATTGTACCCAAGGTTTATGGATTACTTTATAGTCTATAAACCTTTTATTGTATCTATAAAAAAAAATTTAAATATAATACAATAAATTGTTTAAGATACTCTTTAATTACTGTACTTTGTGATTATAAGACAAATACTTTGTTCATTTTTAAAAATTATTTCAAATTTAATTTTTTCCCTTTAAATAATTATAACTAGAATTTTATTTCTACTATCTAATAATAACTATTTGTATATTTTTTGTTTTAGAGTTAATCTTGCTCTATAATAATATAGCCTACCTTTATTTTAGAGTTTGTGCAAGTCTAAATTATTACAGTGGGTATGTTATAGATTAAGGCGTAACTGGATAATAGTTTCTGAAGGAGGGTTGTGAACTAAAAATGTGTGATATTCTATTTTTATTGACTGAAACAATTATTTTCTTACAACATATAACAAAAAAAAAAATTTAGAAGGAAGGGCGTGGTTTTAAATCCAAAAACCTCCCCTCAGGTATGGCCCTGCTATAGTCTTACCTTTTAAAATAATATAATATATTAATAAAGTGAAATGATAAACTATGCTTATTGCATTTATAGGTTTTAAAACAAATCAAAATCAGTATTATTATACAATCTATTAATTAATACCCAGATATTCATATTTTTTAATGTTTTATTGAATGTGTTAGTATTTAAAACAGTGTTTTCAACTTATTAATATATAAATTGAGGATAATATTTTCCAGAAAAAAAAAACATTTTTGTTTTCTATTATTTGCATTTGAAGTTACATTCAATTCTGAACATCAGAAATGAAGTGTGTTTTTTTTTGTGTCTGAGCGACTTTCCAACTAGAAATCTTGCTTTAATTATAAAATAACAAGATACTATTTTTGTTGAATTTTGAATGTAGTATGGTGTATAGGGGAAGTCATTTTTTGATTTTTCAAGGGGTTTAAAAATAATTGGGAAAATCCAGTAAAAATTGTATTAAGAAAAATGGAGAAATATTTCCATCATGCCATAGAGTTACTTAATTTGTTGTTAAAATTTTTATAGCAGTTTTCATTATAATTTAAAAAAATCAAAAGAGACGTAAAATTAAAATAGACAAATATAAAACTTACAATTTCATTATTTTACTTTTGGATTCTAAGCGAAGCAAGAAATGTCTAATACATGTGTATTGTAATACTGAAATGTATCTTGCTTGACAATGACAATTTCACTCTTTTACGATGTTTTTTTTTTTTTTTTATACTTTTTAAAAAATGTCTCCAAGAAATGTTGTTCCAATTAAAACATAATAAGAGACCTTTTTTGTTGAATTTTGGCCCTAGTTAGTACTTTAGAAAGGTTAATTTTTTTAATTCTCATTAATATTCAAGATACTAAAGAGAGCTGGTTTTTATAGTTAAAACATATATATAGTAAGGTTGTCATTGACAACAATTTTAAATAACATTTTTTTTTACTTTTGACATAGGTATATATTGTTGAGAAATCAACACTATCAACTGAACTCCGCTTAGACTCGTTTGTTATCAAAGATGAATCGTTGTGTATAGATATGCATTAAATACCCTTCTATATCCTACCTTACCAACTTCTTACAAAAATGCAAAAATCCGTTTGATGAGAACCTATGGACGCTTACCTTTGAGCAGCATTTTACTGACTGCTGTTTGTTTACGTTATATTTAGGGCCTAAACACACTGCGGTAGGTATTTTGGTCGTCGAGTTCGAGCGGTTTTTACGTTCGTACCTAACCATAATATATTTAAATGGGCAGTTCCGCAGCATCTAACGGTTTAGCAATTTCAACGTCGTACCGCTTGTAAAACGCTTGAGCGGGAACAACGCATTGTGGCAGTATTAAAGTCCTTTCACACATATCTGATTCGTTAGGATTAAGGGCCGGATTTACTAAAAAGTCGCCCTTATGCTAATAAAAAACATGTCCCTACTTTTTAGAACATAGATCCCCCCCCTCCAAATTTATTTACCAATTTTGTATGTCTTGTGTACAAAACATTCTATTAGGTACTTAAAATTCTCAACACTTTTCTTGTCCTGTTCCTCCAAAGTCATAGTCTGTTTTAATTCTACTTATCCTTAGTCCGATTGTAAGAAAAAATAAACCACGGAAAAAATCAGATTTATTAATTATATTATAATTAGTTATATTTTTTTGGGGAGATTTTTCGGCCTTTAAGACCATCCCGTAAAACAAATATTCCTCCATCTCTCTCAGTCTTCTACTACTTCCCTCCAGTTTGTTCTTGGATCTACTGTTTTAACGTCCCTCTTCACACAATCTTCCCATCTAAGGCGTGGTCTTCCTAGCGGTCTTTTTCCTATCGGCTCCTCTTCAATTACTGCTTTTATCATTGTGTCCTTTTTCCTTCAGGTGTGTTCTGCCCACATTAACCTTCTTTTGGCAGCTTCCCTTAATATGCATAGTTTTTGGAACATGTTTTGAAGCTCCTCATTGGTTCACATTCTCCATTCTCCGGTTCGTGGGTCAAGATATCGTCCATAGATTCATCTTAGAACTTTTCTTTCAAAAATGACTATTCTTACTTCCTCTGTCTTTCTTAGTACCCATGTTTCTGAGCCATACAAGATGATGGGGCGTATTAATGTCATTAGTTATATTAATTGTGGTTAATTATATTATTAATTATATAAAAATAGCAATTTAGCAAAATAGCATTTTATACTTTTATAGAACATTTTTTTTTTAATATTGATTAGTATTCTTATACTATAAGAATTATACTGTGCAAAGTATACACATTACACTTATTATTATACAGGTATAAGACATAAAATAATTAACTTCAAGATGATATGTAGCTTATCCATAATTTATGACATTTGTTAGCATTCTATTGAGGAAAATTCCCTTAAAATCTTTCTTGAATTAAGATAGAACTATTATAAACTACTTTCAGTCTCACGCATCTTTTTCCAAAGTTAAAATTTGTTTTTTTTTTCAGTGTCATAATTAATTTTACATGCAATGGAAATAATCAATTCCAATAAAAATAATAATAAATTATGTTTTGAGGGTTTGTATGTTATAAATATACTGATAAAAGTATTACGGTAGGTATAACGTGGATGAATTTGACACTTTAATATGTTTTTTTTTTTTGGCTTATTTTTCCTGCGGATTTTTTTTTCCCGTGCCTTTTTTTCTGATTACCCGTTAGTACCTTCTCTTTAATTGCTACTCCTTCTTCCTCAAGTCTTCTGTTAACTTATTCGAGATTTTCGCCTCTCACCTAATATCCTCGCACACATCCGAGGTCTGTTGGCCACGGCACCCACTGAAGTCTTACCGCCTCTACAATATAGCCTATAGTATATTAGTATAAGTAACCTAGTTCTAAATCCGGCCCTGTCTTTAGTTAGGAAATATCCAGTAATAAATCTCGTAGTCGCAAATGATGAATAAGGATTGAGGAATGGCGCACACAAGTACACAATGTTTGAAGGCTTTTGTATAAATCATTGGTTCTACAGCCGCAAAACATTCTATGACGTGTTATCTATTGGGTAATCGGAATAAAAATCCCCGGAAAAAACCCCTTATGATGAACCCCGAAAATAAAATCTCCGACCCTAGGAAAAAAAATCCTAAGACTAAAATATTTTTCAAATACTAGTATTTAATTAATTATTACAAATATGTATTTACTTATATAATTAATCATTTTTAAATTTAATATGATTTTATAATAGACACAATTTACGTCAAATAATACAACTAAAATATTTAATTATTACACAGTTTCCTAATATTGTGATTTATTGAATTTAAAAATTGGGAATATTTATTTTTCCGCTTACAAATCGGGTACTAAGTTTTTTCAATCTTATTTCCGTCGTCCTTGTTTGTCCAAATTTGATTGTTGTTTTAGTGCTTTCTCCGATGTAATCGTGCTAATTTTGCATAATCCGCAACTACATCATATTTTATTTTTCTTATTAAATGCTAAACCGTGGGATGTTAAATACCAATCAATTTGGAAAATCGATTGTTCCAGCCTTTTGTGATATTAGTTGTTCCATGTCTATTACTATCATTATTTGATATGGTTGTTTGATGTACATTCCATATATAAGGTGGGAAAACTAGAGGAATCCTTCGTAAGCGAATAGTGGACTCGTCCGTCCCTATTCTTTTAAAAGAATCAGTGAGACCAAATAATATTGTGGATCACTAAAAATCATTGCTAACATTTATGTGTTCACACTGTTTTCGTGAGCCTATTACAGATAAAATAGGTGATTATTGTAATATATTACATAAACAACGCATTAAACAAAATATTATTGTTTATATTTGAAAATTATAACAGAAATAAGTATTAAGATGGTTGCGAGTAATATTGTAGTTTTGCGATTTTTATGAATATGCATATTATTACATATTCATAAAAAAAGATACCGGGGACGGGTGCAGTTACTATTATAGGCGGGAAGTTGGGTAGGATAGGAAATAGTCAATATTTAATTCCACTTTCTCCAAACACATGCCTTTATTGAATGATTTAGACACATGCTTTTTTCTGTTCACACCAGCGACGCCACAAAACAGTCGTCTTCTAGCTTGTTAACAAAAAAATTATATCAGATTCACATAATATACTTCTTGGTGTCAGTGCGGCCTACTTAATTATGGTAAGTGCAAATAAAAAACGTAGGAAGAAGCGTTCTTTGTGGATTAAAAATTATTTAAAAACTAGAAATTACGAAATTATAGATAATTTGCAATTAGATGAAGACATTTTATTTTTTTAGACATTTTTAGTGATTTTGTTGTTCGGTTTCAGTCATTTTAAAACAAATAACCAAATATTTTTTAAAACAAATAATCAAAATTCAAAATGAAGTCGAACAATACACTGCGTGACGAACACGGATTCCCATAGAGCGCGGGAGACCTTACGTTGTAGCATGCGTCGCGAAATCGTAGCCGTTAAACTCGAAGGGGCATGCATCTAACGCGTGAAAAAGCGCACAAGTGTAAACATACTTTAACGTTTTTTCCATAACAGAAAATAATATGCGTCTTTCGAGTACATAGTTCGGTTCAGTTGCACGTAGTCTATAGAACGGTAATTTTTCAAAATAACCCAAAGCTTTTATATAGCTACCTATAGACAATTCTGTGTGATTGATGTTCGAGGATATTGCATAATAATATTGATTATAATTTATCTCTATACATTCTAAAAAAAGCAATATTAATAAAAGAGTTATTAAAAAAATGAAATATTTTAATTTTATGAGAAATTATAATCAAAAAAGTGGGAAAGTCAGTCTGAAGTAAACTTCACGATAAATTCAAATCTGTTTTCATAATTATTATCGCTTCACGAGATCAGACGGTGTGTTGGAAATAAAACACTTCTAAATCCCTATATCTCACATGTGTAAAACAGAAACTCGATGATGGATAGTGTATTTGTTCAAAACATATTTGATAACAATTTGAATCAATATTTCAAATTAATATACATAATAAAATACCATAAATTAACTCATACATTATATTTTTATTACTCAACAATGGCTACATGAAAGAAAATAAGTAAAAATGCATACAAAAAAAAAAAATTGACTATTAAAATAATAAAATAAAAATAATAACGAAGACTAATTTAAAAAAATTTCTTGAACACAATTTTTCAATAACTTAAGTTATATATATACTTTTGTAAAAATACAATTTTAAATTTGTTTATAATAACAAACTAATAATATTTTACATTCAACAAATAATTAAAAAAAAGAACAATTAAAATAGTAATGAACTAATATTGTGTACATATACTTCTATATTATGTTTAAAAATATTACCTTATCTAATAATAATACAAACTGTTGACAACATTTTAATATTATGTTTAAAATTTTAAAATATAAATATTCAGTGGCACTAAATGCATAACATAAAAATAAAGACAAATTTGTAAATGAAATAAAAAATTTTAAATTAGGAAAAATACTAAAAGGTAAGACAAATAAATAAATAATGACTTTCCAAATAAATTAAAAACAACATCAAAACTATGAGCTCAATTTATAAAATTGAAAGAAAAAAAAAATCTATGAAAAGTGAAATAATTAACTTTCAATAATTTTATTGTTAAACATTGATTTGGACTAACATTGCAAACCAAACAAGAATAATAGTAAATAAATCATGCTAATATTTCACATAAATTTTGTTTCATAGTATGTAAATAAAGGGTCAGGGTCGAAGGGCTGATAATAGAAATGGTTGAATTTTTTTTTCTAAAGCACAATATTAATTTGTAGATAAAATAAGATTAAAACAGATTGGTATATTATGTCATAAACATTAATCTTTATATTACAGATAATAATTTAAGCTGCTTAGGAGGCATATTTTTTTTTTATAAGTTTTAAAAGAGAAAATCATATTTATAGCCAGAAAAATGCCGGTGTTCAATCAATTTCACTTTAAAAATAAATCAATTTTCTTTAAAACAATAAAAACACTGTATACCATCTATATGCAGAAAACTGAATTTAATTACTTTATATTTAATAATATTTACATGTTAAACACTTGGGAAGTAGTCTGACCACCCTTACTATTGGTTATTGGCCATATATAATGTCGGTTCAATGTTTTTTTGACCTAATATCAGTTAGTGTTTACATATTATATTGCCAGCCCAATGTCATGATCCCATAAATAAAGTAATAATGAAATTATTTACTAAATTATTTGAGATAAATAATATATATTTAATAAAAACTTTTACTTAAAAATTATAATGTAATATATTAAAGAGATCAAATTTAAAAGAAAATTAACTTAAGTTTTAGAATTAAATTTTTGGTTTGGTCGAAGAAAAATAAAAATGGTGTGATGTGCAATAATTTATATACCTAAACTGGTTTCAAAAATGCATAATTTGCAATTTAAACATTGCTACAAATGCACACTGTAAATAATAATCTTAAAACACTAAAAGGAAAACAATAAATAAAATACAATGTTTTAAAGCAAACAATTTTCAAAGGGTTTTGATTAGGTAACAAAATAGTTAAACCCAAACACCATGAGGGTTCTTACTAGTAGGAGCTGCATTTTCTAGTTGTCTAGGCGATCCAATCATTTTACGAGTACTTCCAGGTCTTTGAGCTCCTAATTAAATATTTGAAATAAACATAATATATAATTAAATGTATATTATTTGTATACAGTGTGTCTCACCACGTTCGACAGATTTTTCTAGCGTTGTTAATACTAAACTTTTTTTTTCAATTGATTTGTCTTCAAAGAGGACATCGATTTAGAGAAAAATACAATTTTTATTTTCATCCCCTGAACACAAAAAAATTTTTTTCTCCAAATCGATGTCCTTCTCGTAGAAAAACCGATTGAAAAAAAATTTAATTCTGTCAAACACAATAGGTCACACTGTATATCTACATACAATAAAACAATTATTGAAAAAAATTTCACTCTAAAGTGTGTTATCTTCATTTATCATATAATAAAAATTAAATTAAATTTCTTATTGAGCTAATAATGTAACAAATCTTTTAATAGATTTAATGGATGACAATATTGATTTTTAGGTTAATCAAATTAAATCTTCTAATTTTAATAACTCAAAAAATATTTAATAATTAATTTTTTTTTTTTAAATTAATTTTTGAAATAAAATAATTAATTGAAAAAATTAAATATGTTATTAGATCATGTTCATTTTCAAAACTAATTGAAATATGTTTTTAGAACTATTCAATGTAAACTAAAATAATATTCTACAGCTTATTTGTGAGTATGATAGATGGAAACAGCATAATTTGATTACCTTGTAATTTTAAAATTTACCTTCAAGAATAAATTTCAATTCATCTGGAGGTGAAATAGCTAATGATTGCAAATTTGCTTCTTTCATATCTGCTACTAGTTTATCAACTTGTCTTTTTTTCTCAGTGATAGTCGTTTCTAATATAGCAACCTTGTTAAAAAGCCACAGCAATTTTAATTATTTTATTTTACAATCCCTTATTTATATTAAGTATTTTTAGTTACTTCTTTTCGTAGAGTATCTCCAACTTGTGCTGCCATTTCTGTTTCTTGTTTGGCCCTTTCTACTTCACTTTGTAGTCTATCAACTTCCTTTAAAATACCTCGTTCAGCTCTACGTTTCTCTTCTAAATCTCTCGACAACATTTTTTGTTCTAGCTCTACTTCTTCCATTAAAAGCCGTATTTTGTTTTTACATACAAGCAACTCAGTTTCACAGTTGGCTAATTTAGATCTTAATAAGGTCATTTCAGATTTTAAAGTTTTTTCTTGCTGACGTACAATATCATTTTCTTCTTCTACTTGGCCCATAAGCCTTAACTGATATATATATAGAGAGAGAATAATATATATTTACTACTAAAATTTTAATAAAAATTAAATTATACCTGTTCTTCTGTATGTCTACCAGTAGCTTCAATACGAGCTGCTTCTTGAGCCATGAAATCCATTTGGTGTTGTTGTTCTCTAGTTTTTCCTTCCCAATACATTATTTCTGCATCATATTTTGTTAACTCTGCTTGTTGGATAGACAACTTATCTCTTTGGTAATTTATAAGCCTAACGAGATCTTTGTACTGAGGGTTATACATGACATTAGTGCTATTGCTATTGTTTTCATTCTGATACTCCTTAAAATAAATATTACACATTTACATCTAAAGTGGATAACTAAAAAATATATTTTTCGGTAAAATTACCTTAAACATGGTTTGTTTTAATCGATCACTACCAACTGTTGTAGGAGATATTCTTGCTGGGCTAACAGAAGGTGGAGGAGGTTCACGGTATGGTGGTAAAGCTCTAGTAACAGGGGGCCGATAATTCAAGCTATCAAACTTTTTACTTGGACTCGTTGAGTTTTGTAATGGTCCATTTGTTGGAGTGGTATTCTGTTCCTAAAGTAGCAATAATATTCATAAACACGACAATTTTAAAGTCTTGTAACACAATATTACTTTATTTAAATGACTAGGAGTATTTGTTGGTGAAACTGACAAACCAACACCAGATGTTGATGAAACTACTGTTAATGGTGCAGCACCACTTCCAGAAGTGACAGGAAGTACATTGGATCTTTGTTGAGGTATTCCACGTACTACACCTATATTATCAGGTATCCGATTACCTTAAAAATAATGAGTTTAGGCAAAATAAAACAATGCTCCCTTACATAATAATATTCTGACTTATATAATAATTGATTATGTCTTAGACAGTAAAATATATCTTTTGTCTTCAGTATGTACCTAGAATCTTTTGTACAATAGAATGGAGGTTTTGAAGAGGATATAAAACATAGGGTTAAATAGGGTTTGAAAAAGTTAAGTAAAGCATCATATAATCAATGTGATAAGAAACAAGGACTATTTTACAAGAGTGTGATAAGATCATTATATTTTATGGTTTGGAGTGTTGGAAAGTAGAAAAATATAAGAGAATAAGTAAGAAAATTGTTTTTTTTTTTTTGTTGTAATTCAATTAAAAATACCTACTCATAGAGACTTAAAAATTTGAAAGAAAACTTATATTTGCTTTTTTTAGACGTAGTAAAATTTTCTAAATATTTGAGCCGTTTTTCAACCATTTATTAAGACACCTTTAATTTTGAGTTTTGTAATATAATTTTTATTTGGTTGGTATTTTGTGGATAAAATTGTTAGACTAAGATGAAATATTGATAATTAACAAGAGGTTTATAAGTTGTACATAGTGCCCCAAAAAAAAAAAAATAATAATAAAAATTAAGTGCAATGTAGTATTTTTTTTTTTTGTTTTAATATTAAATCTTAAGGAAAATCGTAAATTTTCAAAAAGTTAATTAATATTTATAGCCAAACTTGACTCGTTTTTACATTAGCAATAATTTATAGTTGCTCACAGAAGTAAATTAAATAACTTTATATATCCTAGATTCCCATCTTCCCACCTACAAAAGTGTCTCAACTATCCCCAGTATCAGCACTTTTTTAAATTTTTACCACTTAATACAACTAACAATAAACTTCATGTTAAATTTTCATGCATTTCTGTTTGGTCAAATAATTTTATCTACAAATAAAAATTGGATAAAAACTCTCAAAATTAAAATGTCTATACATAGCTAAAAAAATGGCTCAAATACTTACAGAATTGAAAACGACTGGTATAATTTAAAAAATAAAGTACTTATTTGGTGTAAAGCAGGTAAATATTAAAAAAGTACACATAATATATATACATAAAATACATACTATTAAATATTAATGATTTCCGAGTATCTTTATTTCGTTCCTGAGCAAAATAAGGAACACTATCAGCCTCATTATATTTTGGATTGTTGGGAACACTATTTGAAGAGACATTGCCAGAACGTTGTAGTATAAATTGCACATCATTGGCATATTCTCCCCATTTCATTAGCACCTAATATAATAAACACAAGTATTAAAAATATTTTTTGGCTAAAATTTACATTACCACACCTGTCACGGATTTTAATTTTTTTCATTTTTTAATACCTGTTTTAAAACTGATTTTTTTTGCGTAGACCATTTTTAAAGAAATTACGACAAAAAAAACTCAAATTTTCAAAAAAAAAAAAACTTTTTCAAGATGTGTTTTTAGTGTTAAAGATGAAAGCCCAATTAAAATTTTTTATTTCTAAATATTTTAGAGGTTATAGTGACATACAATTTTTTTGTTTTTATGATTTCTTCAAGTCCATATAGTTTTTTTCCCGTTATTTATCGTTGTTTTGCACAACAAATTGAGGGTTATTTTCATTTAAAATATATTTATTAATAATATTAATAAATAATTAATATTAATAATATTAATAAATAGCATACCATTTTAATAAGCATTAAAAAAAAAAAATTAGACGTTTTTTGACATAACTTCTTTAACAATGGTTTCTGCAAAAAAATTTACTGTTTTAAAATCAATGTTGAAAAACGTTTTTTAAAAAAAAAAAAAAATAGCGTGATAAAGTGAATTTGTTCGTATTTTTTTGAAAAAATAACACATACAGTTACTGGATGATCTTGAGGAGCAAGAAGGCGTTCATTATTTCGCCATCGTTCAATTAAAGTAAAACGTCCCGTCTTGCCAGTAGCATGAGCTAACGCATATACCACATCCTGAGACAAAAATATGATAACAAAAAATTAAGTATAACACAACATTTCAACTTACTTGACAAGTCGTTGATTCTGTAACACCGCACACAACCCGTTGTATTCCTTCTACCCAAACTTTAAGTTCCATTTTATCAGTTGTAGCGTATTGCAAAAATTGTTATGATGTTGTTATTATAGAGTTTTTCAATCATGATTACTGTAAATTAAATACAATTTAATTCGAGTGTATCAACACGAAATGAAAAAAAAATGGTATATGACATGATTTTTTATTCGAACTTTCATGGCATTGACCTAGAGAATATTAAAGAAAAGAAAATGTTTTAAATCAGGGTCAAACGTACCATAATCATTTCGGGTATAGTGGCCCGGCCGAACTTTTTTTTTATATTGAATCACACATAATTGTTTTTAACAATATCAAATTGTATTCAACTAAATGATATAAAATATTGATGAATTTAACTTTTAAGAGAACAATGAACTCTGATAATCTATATTATTATAAAATAATGATAATATTATTATTATCCCAAATTTTTTATTTTTCACATGAAAAGAATTAATAGATAAGAGTGTTTTTCTCGCTCACACTAATATCAAGGAGATTGTACAAATTAATTTATAGTAAACGACTCCCTAAACCCTCCCCGTCAACTAGATCCCCAAAATCTGAACGACATAAAAAGGATCTACTTTATAAGGAATATAACTTTATATATTTAACAACGACAAGGGATTTAAATGATTATGGGGAACTAGTTGTCAAACTATCAAAGGAATTCTCATGGTTATCTAAAATTTTAAATTTCGCCGTGGTCAACTCGTAATCTAAGGTCTAATAAATGCCATTGGTTAATTAGTTCCCTTGTCCACTAAATCCCCTTGGATAGTGTTGGGTCATCTAAATCAGTGGTTCTCAACGCCGGTCCTCAATAAACCTTATTTCACACAAAACCACGAATTAAAATATGTTTATATCTTAAAAAGCTATGGTTTTTTACGTACGTTACACTTGCAATATTTGATAAGAATTCCCAGTGGTTCCTAATTTTGTGCTAAAACACGTATAGTCTGTTTCTGGAGAGAACGGGCCGCTTGTGCGCATGTTTTCCCCCTCCACATAACTTGATTTCAGCGAAGGCAGCCGATTGTCATTTCTTCCGTCGTCGGTTTTTGTCTATACACCGCTAGGATATTTTGTAGAAATTCANTTTTTTTTTGTATACATATTTATTTATTTAATATTCTATTGAACACTGTAGGTATAATACAGTAGGTATAGTACAGTAGGTATAATACAGTGTTATATATTTAATAAATAATAAATAATTATATTAAAACATTTCATTTTTTTTTCGTTAAAATTAAAATTTATCATTTTTGTCATATTTACATTTTATTTTATTTTTGATAAAATTGCAAATGTATAGTACTAATTATTCGTTATATTTACATAATTTTTTAAAATAATTAAAAAAACGGAGAAAAAAGTAAAAATTACCAAACGATACAAAAAAGTAAACGCTGTAAAAATGACGTATGCGTACACCACGGCAATTGGCGATAAATAATGGACTATCGACAGTCAACAGTGCATTATTTGAAACGCAGTGTACAACACCTGCACCACTTCCGATCCGGGAGGGGATAAATGGATAGTGTTGCGGCGTGGGGATGCGCAGTAGCGATTCGATTTGGTCGGAGAGCGGACCGTTCTCTCCAGAGACAGACTATAACAATGTTATGCTTCTTGAACTGAAATTTAACTGTTAATGGTTAAACAAGTTGCTTACCCATCAATTTAGTTTAAGTGTTTTCAGTGTTTTTTAAACGATATTTAAAATTTCTCATCTATGTTCAATTTTGTACGTATGTTGCCTACCTTTGCTGAGTTTTACATAATAATCTTCGTTCTTTTAGTTTTTATATCCCACTTTTCTATGTTACCCTTTGTGACCGATTACGTCTCGCATCCGTAGGATAGAACTGGTCGGAGGTAACTTGAATATTGATTTTGATCACATAAAAAGTAATTTGAATTTAAATAATTTTTCCAGGGTAAAGTATCCTTTGCAATTTGTCGCCTCTGCAATTTAGTGATACTAAAAAATAATCCCCAGTAAATCTTTGAAGCCACACCTGACACAAGATAATCTCTTTAATGCATATAAATGCAAAACATTTATCGCTACATTAGAAAACATTTTTAATGTTTTTGTATCATTAATAATGATACAAATTAGGGTTTATTATTATCCTTCAGTAGTCAGTAAATTTCTAATTATCTATTTTAAATTATATTCAAAATTCATAAAAATTATATAGAATTAATTTGATATATAAACATTAGTTTTTTTACTAAACTCTTATTACGAATACTGTAGTAACGTTTTCTGTCACTTTCAGGCTTAAACGCTAATAAATATAAAAATATATAAGATATAAGATATAATGCTCAATTAATTTTTTTTATCTTTAAGTACAACTTATAATAAATGTATTAATTTTCAAACATTTTGGATGAGTTAAAATATTATATTCACGTAAACCAACAAATAATACGTGAAATTTCGGGATTTTCAGGATTTCCATCAAACATTGGTCTTTAAATTCTTATATATATATATAAAAATAAATTAAAACATAAAACTCACATTTTCTCTTTTGATGGTCAAAAATGGGGCCTCACTTGGTGAGTAGGAAAGTTGGTTTTTGATTTTCAGAGAAAATCAAAAAATGACCTCCCTAAAGTAGTGTTCTGGCAGTGGCGGCTCGTGTATATGTGCACAAGTGCACGTGCACTACCTACCCTAACTCAAGAAAAATTGAAAACATAAATCAAAATAATACAACTAACTACTAAGTACCTGTAGTATTATTAAGATTATTTTTCAAAATATAAAATTATAAATTCAGAATATTATGAAATAATATTTGGTTTGCGTTATTTCGATTGCCAAACAGCCGGACTGTTGTCCGCGACGGAACAGTATCGGTGTGTATTATAATGGTGGAGTTGTGCACACAATCGTTGTGCACATTTGTACAGTGTAAAAATTAAAACAAGTCGAAACACACAACCCGCGTTATAATGGAATTGGTGTGCACATTTGTTTCTGTGCACAAAACCAATTAAATTGTTATCAGCTAATTATTTTCGACGTCGCCGTGTCGTTGCGCGTCGGCATCGGCATCGGCATTATAGTTTATTTTTACTCTCATTAATTTATTATATTCCGATTATCAGCTGATAATATTGGCTAGTCAATCATTATCGGAAATTCAAAACAACAATCGTGTTTCTGTTTTCTATCGACGACAGACATTACGTTTATTATTATTCGTGTATTTGTTTTCAATTTTTAAAATGAACTCGGTACAGAAAATACTGCAATGCAATTTTTCAACAATCTTGTTGGAGAAAAAGATGGAAATAAAAAATAAAGGTAGGCCTACTCCAGACTTAAATATTAAACAAATTACTAAATGTAAAACGAGAGAATATGTAAGAAAATTTAATAATAATATATATAAAACCTATGACTGGATTTGTGGTTGTTCAGAAACTAATCGTTTGCATTGTTTTCCCTGTTTACTTTTTGGTCAAAAATCTAATGATGTCACTTGGGTAAAGAATGGAATAAACGATTTAATTAATTTAACTTCTAAAATCAAAACACACGAAAAATCAATGACACATAAATTCTCAATTAAATTTAAAACTATTAGGAAAACAAGACATAAGACAACAACTTTCTAGTGCGTATCGGTTAAATATCAAACAATACAATTAAAAAATAAGTCATAATCGTTATATATTGAATAAAATAATAAATTGTATTAAATTTTGTGGAGCATTTGAACTTGCACTCAGAGGTCACGATGAAAAATCAAATTCAGAAAATCCCGGCGTATTTCGAGGTCTTATAAACTTTAGTTCAGAGTTAGATTCGGTACTAAAATGTCATATTGAGAACTCTTCGGTATTTAAAGGTTTATCCAAATCAATCCAAAATGATTTACTAGAATGTTGTTTAGCTGTATGTCAACAAAGAATTAAAAATGAAATAAAACAAGCAGAATATATTTCTGTAATGGCTGATGAAACAACTGACGTATCTGCTCAGTTTCAATTGTCAATAATATTTAGATATTTACTATCGGATGGAACACCAGTAGAAAGGTTTTGGGGATTTTTCAATCCTACTGGACATGATGCGAAATCGTTGTCTGAATGTATAATATTCAACTTGGAAAAAGTCCTAGAATCGCCAAATATGTTGATTTGTCAGAGTTACGACAGCGCAAATGTGATGAGTGGACGTCTCAATGGTGTACAAAAAATAATAAATAATAGTTATAAAAATGCACATTTCATACATTGCTATGCTCGTCAGCTTAATTTAATTTTAATTCAAGCAACTTCACAAAATCGTGAGATAAGGATATTTTTTTCAAACTTAACTGATATAACAAATTTTTTTTCAAACAGCCCACAGCGGGTTACGGTTTTAGATAAAATTGTTAAATACAGAGTTCCTCGATCATCTAATACTAGATGGAATTTTTTTTGGGTGTGCACTACTTCATTAAAAACCCACGAGCCGCCACTATGTTATGGTCAGATTTCTTTTTAGAAAAAGTGCTGTCATTTTAAATCAGAGCGAAATTGCTGGTAAAAAAGATGTACAGTAAAAAAAAAATGGCCATACAAATTTTTTACTAATACCTACATTTCGTACATTATCCATATTTTCGAAAATTTATCCTGGTTTTTTCTAGATATTATAAAAACCGCTTGAAAAATCAAAATATGATTTCCCTAAATTAGAATGGAAATAAAATTACAAAAGTTACAAGAAAATTTTTCACAAAAAATGAAGGGGGTTTATTTTTGTATTAAAATAGTCCAAGGGAGCAATACTTTGCTAGGTTTTTAGGTACACCTAAAATGCATTTGTTTATTCCTAGTTTAGGTAAAAGGGTAAAAATAACAGCAAATATTTTTTTTCGAGATACTGGTTTGAAGAACTTGCGACTTTAAGGATGATATTGAGTATGCATAACCTATGAAAAACATATTAAAGAGTAAACAATAAAACATTTTTAACATAACATATAATATCTGCATAAAACCAGAACTTCAAAAAGCTATAATTTCGAAACTTAGTCAGTCCGCTTAATTCTGACTTCGCCATCGTTCTTAAATCGGCAATATACATATTTTTAAAAAAAAAAAATTTGAAAAATTAGATTTGTCCACATAATTTTTTTTACTCAAATGATTTTCTTTAAAATTGTTAAAATTTCTTTATAAAAAAAAATAATACATTAAGCTCAATTTTTTTATTTTTGACCATAAAGGAAGACTCTTTATAAACATCCTGTTAAATTTAAAAACCATTACTTTTAAGTCTAACAATTTTACCCTAGAGAACCTAAGGAATAAAAATTACGTAATAAACTGGCAAAATTAAAATGTCTATAAATAGCATAAAAATGGTTTAAATGTTTTGAAAATTTTACTTCGTCTAGGTAGAGTAAATATAAGTTTTCTGTTTAAATTTCAAGCTTTACGAATATTGTTAACTGAATTATAACAAATTACAAAATTGAAAATAAAAGCATTTTATCCAAGTTTTTCCCAGATATGAAAAACGCTTAGAAAATTATAAAATGACCTCCCAAAAGTACCATCTGAACAACATTCCATTTCGGAAATAGTGCCGCGCGTATATATCTGAACAATATTTCTGGTAGAATTCTCGTACGTAGGATATAAAAATAAAAAATACACATATTAGTAAAACCAATACATTCTTCGCTACACTCAGAATCTAAAAGACGTCCTAGTATAATGGAGACGGGTGCAACCACTGTTATAGGTAACTTAATATATACCTGTAAGCAACAATAAACCATTGTTTACAAAAAAACGATTCTGTCGAGTTCAGTTGATAGTGATGCTTTGTTAACAATATATATGCCATATTATAGTAAAATAATAAAATAGACAAATATATATTTTCTTTAATAATATTTGATTATTGTTGTAGCGATTTCTCGGTTTTCCCTGTTTTTCACATTTGCTGAGAAAAATCCAGTGAAAATAATAGAAAAACAAACTTTCAAAAGTACGTCCCTAGTGAAATTTCCTTTTATACAAATTGCTGTCATTAAAAGTTGGAGCAAATTCGCTGATAGAAAAGTTGTCCACAGGTAAAACGAAAACCAATACATACATTTCTTACATTTTCCCGTTTTTCACATCGTTAATTATATTATGATTCTATTAGTATTAAAGATAACTAAATTTGTTAACGTAAATAAATGATAACAATAAAATGATAAGGCATGTTGCCCTATCATCTTGCGTATAAACACACCCGTATACTGTTTGTAATAGCCAAAGGTTTTTATCACAACCTACCTAACCTGAACCGGTGTCTACGAATATTATACATTATTATTTATTATTTTACCTACCTTATTGATATTTTAAATTAGTAAAAACATCAAATGTTTTGTTCCTGTTTGTGATGTCAGAAATAAAAAGACTGACACAAAATTAAAATAAACAATTACATTAAAATGTTAACAACATAATTAAAACAAATTACTTTCTTATCAATTGCTGTAATGCCGTAGATCGTTTTTATGTCACACTGTCCACTGCATAATTTCTCAGTTTAATCAAAATAATCAAAATAATCAAAACAGTCTGCATGATTGCACCGAGTATTGGATTTTGATCTTGAGTCTGCATTTTAGATTGCCCACCAGAATCTGATGCCTAGATAATTTAAATTTCAAATTCGGAATATTTGAATATTCATAATATTCGGATGTATATATTTTCAAATATTTTTTTTTATTGTTTCTTGAGATACATTTTATGACTTCATATTATATATTTTATTAGTAACAATCACGATTTTATAAATTTAATTATTCTCATAATATATGCATAACCCTTCATAAGTAGTACATATTATCATTTATAAAATATGTAAATAATTACGTCAGCAATTGTGAAAATATTGCGTTAGTATACAATAATACAATTTTGTCTTATCCATGCTATAGTATAATGGTGTATGATGACATGATGTATAAATCTTCACAAAGAATGTTTTTTATTTTGATATATGTTATCAAGGAAACCTAGAAAAAATAAATTTATTAAAATTGTGAATTTGAATTCCTTTATCTAATTTTCCTAAACAGGTGGTTTTCACCAAGAATAGGTTCTTATTAATTATGCCAACAAATACTTTAATATCAATAATAGTGATGTTTGTGTTAAATCATAAATGAGAGGAAACCAAATGAGTCACATAAATATTTTAGCAAACATATATAACAATAAAATACATTGAACTTATAATATAAATTACTTTAAATTGGTACTTCAAGAAATATATATATATATATGAAATTTTAAAAATCAATAAGCTTAACCAGAACTTAATATCCATAATTTTATTAAATCTTTTTCTCATGCATTATTATAGAAAATAATTCGTTTTTAGTAAATGTTAATATTTCAATGAATATTATTAAAAATATAAACATAACAATACAATAAAATTCAAAACTTTCAAAATTCCCAAATTACCCAAATATCTTTATACTTTAACATTTAATATTTAAAATATACCTATACCTAGTTAATTTTTAAGTTTTAATAACAGTACAAAAAGTTTTTAGAAATGTTTTAATTATGTAGAACAATATGCTTCATATACATTTGCACCTAGTATTTTAACCTTTTCGTTCAAATGAACATTTTGTTGCAAATAGCAATCTCCATTTTCTGTTACTTTAGTTGATTTATTAATAACCGGTAACCATTTGGCCAATGGCATTTTGACATTAGTAGGTAAATGAACTGACCGATTAGGTATATTAACAGCAATAGTGTCCATCAGCCTATTAAAACTATGACATATGCAGTAACGAGATACTGACATGATTTCTTCGGTTTTCAATAAATCTTTTGTTTCATTTATCATATCTTGTAACAATGCTTCTCTTACTGGTGGTACTTGGTGTAGCATGTATGTTTCAATGCTCCGAAAAGGACTGCCTAAATCACTCGCAATGTCAGTTTGAATAAGAAAAAATAATTTTTCTAATTCTTGTAAAGTGTACTGTTCTTGAAGAGGAACTTGCTGTACATATTTAATAACTTTATCCTGTAAATATTTTTCTAAAAATTGAATACCTTCTTCAATAAAATAAGTAAAAAGTGATAGATAGTCTTCTTGAGTTTTTGAACAAATAGTTGGAGAATCTTGTGACAAACTCTTATATAAGAGTCCTCCAAGAAGATTGAGCTGTGTTTTTAAAGTTATCACTAACATAGTTTCTGAATAAACAAGTAAACATGCTCTAGTAAAAACACATATTCTCATTTCCTCCCAAAGTGCCACATCATTTTGTTTCTTTAATTGATCAATAACATTCTCCACACGTAATTTTTTTGAAAAAAATTTAATATAAAGATTCTTAACAAATTCAATAATCATACGATCGGCAGCGATTTCAGAAGCTTCATGGTATTGTTGACGCCTACATCGTTCCAAATATTCTAGACTTTTCTTTTCTTTATTTTCAGCAAATTTTTGTTTTAGAGTGTACACTACATATGCAGTACTACAAAACAATGCGCCACCAATAATTAATTTACGTTTGTGTCGTGAAACACACTTTTTTAATAAATCGTACATTATTAAAGTAGTTAAAAATATTTAAAATATAAAACAAATTGCAACATTATTATTTAATACAAATTTAACGGAAATTATGACACTATTAAAGAAAAGTTCCTAAGAATTTTGATACAAAACATGTTCACAATATTATGTATAAGAACTTGATTTTCATTAATTATTAATTAATAATTAATATTTAATAATCACGCTTTCATAGAGACTAGTTAATAATGCATAATAGTTAATTCATGATTTTATTATTCTAGAATTTATTAGTAAATCATAACCTTAAAGTATTAACTGATAACACATACAGTGTGTCAGTATTACGATTTAAAAATATTATATAGATTTTTCACACTGTTTTTAATTTCATGTGATATTCGCGTCTCTTTCTGTCTTCTGGTTTCTAGTTTATCGAAAACTAAAATGTAGTTTTCTTTTCTTTCATTATACCTAACCATTATTTGGATAGATTACAATTTGACAATTTCATGGATCGTGTCTCGTGAAGTGTGTGGTTTATAGAAATAATAAATTTGCATTGGTGTTGAATGTTACGTGTACTTACAATTAATATTGTTTTCTGATAAAGTAAATTTTAAATTCACTATTACTACATATTAGGCGTGGTGCCTAAATTTCTTCATTTTAAGGTAAAATGTTATTTATTAGCTAAATACTTGCCTATTGTTTAGTAATTAAAAGTATTTTGATATTTAAATAAGTTTTTGCACAGAAGTATAATACATAATTTATTACTGTTTTATTAAGTATTCAGGTAGCGCCCATTAGGTACCTATTTTTTTAAATTTTAGTTTTTGTATTTTAATTGAACTTATTTGTTAGAAGTACCTAGATAACCTTACCAAGTATTGTAACTGTACTGGTACCTAAATAGACATACAGTACTACATTATTAATTTATGTGTACATAAATGTGTATATTATTTAAACCTGAGATATTTTGTGTATTCTAATTCCATATGAGTTATGAAAGTAGTTAGATAAAATTAATAAATCATTAAGTAAAATGTGGTTCAAATTGATCTATACTGACTGTAACTACTCTGTACTACTTATAATAGTAAATACATAATTTAATGGCAGTTGATTTAGTTGATAATTTAGGTATTTTTGCATTTATTTCAGTATACAATGAAAATATTTTTAGGTCTTTCTTTTGACTATAACAAAATTATTTATCAAAAATATTGTTGTTTAACAACATAGGTCACCAATAGGCTTCTCAATACTAAATGCATCAAACATCAGTTTCCTTCAAAATACATTTTATCATTATCTTCCATTTATATTAATATATTTTACAAAATTTAGTTTTTACAGTAATATTTTTATAATATATATATATTTGTTGATAATACTAAACAAAATATATATTGATAAATAGGTGTAAAATTATAATTGTAGACGTAAAAATGGTAAATCTTTTTTTTAAAGTTTAGAAATATTTTGGTATTGTATTGAAGTGAAAATTATAATTTATTTACAAATTGAAATGTATTTTTGATTTTTAATAATGTATATATAATGAGAATATTGATATAAATGTAGTTTAGGGCACAAGCTTGTTTTTCAAATTTGTTTTTTTTCTAAAAGTGTGTTTTTACGTGTACATTTAGAATATATATATAAAAAAAAACAAAGTCTGAAGCACTTCGTTTAGAAGTTATGTGGGGAAACTTCATAAAGTTTGGGTTTTCCATTCTGTGCATTTTTTGGTTAGAATTTAAAATTTAAACATTTTTTTTATTTCCAAAATGTATATTTTTAACTGCTTAATTCATAGGTATTATCAAAACTCCACACTGTTACCTACCCGACATGGTTTTACATAACAAATCGAGGGTTATTTACAATTAAAATTGTCTGAGTGAGCACAGTGTAACACGGCTTGTTTGAACATTTATAACTCTAAAACTAAGCTAGATAGACTTATTCTGACTTCAATAAAAAAAACTTTGTTATCAAATTATCAATAACTATAAATAATAATAATAAACATAAATGTCTATTTTTGATCACATTTTGGATTAATTCCGAAAATGCTATTTCTAAAGGATTATGTACACAAACTATAAAGGTAAGTATGATAATTAAATTGTGATTATATTAATGGATCAAGCATTTAAAAACACATTTTAGAGAAAAAAAAAATTGAAAATGTTAAATTCTAACTTGAAATACTCATAACAGAAAATCCTTAATTTTATGAAGTTTTACTTATTAAGAACCTTATTTCCAAATTAGGTTCATTCAACTTTTTTTTTACATTTTTAATATACACACACAAACATATTTTGAAAAAAAAAATGAGATTGGGTAGTGAACTACATTTGTTTCAGAATTTTAATTAATGATCAATACCTACTTAGTTATTTTTTATTTATTTCAACACTTTATTTATGATATTTTATTAACTTTAATTACTTATATTTTGTATAAGTAGTAAATGGATGATTCTAGTTTAATGGATCCTATAGTGGATTCAACTCGGCAAGAATTTAATGATAATCAGAATAGCATGACTTCGTTTGAAAATGAAAATATAGATTCTAATGACCAAGATAGCAATATGAATTCAAATCGACAAGATAATATGAATTCTAATAACCACGATCCATTTGATCAGGAGAATGGACATTCAAATATTGAAAACGAACAGTCATTTGATGATAATGGAAGGGGTTCATTTAGGTATTATTAATTTACATTATTATTTATACCATAAAATACATTGAACTATTATTTTATGTATATATTTTTTAATAGGGACTTTGGAGATGGAAATGGTCAGTTTGATAATAATTTTGTATCATCCGAGTATAGGAGTGGATCCAATTGGACTAATAATAAAGGAAGCAATGATGCTGGAAGATTTGGAGGATTTAGTAACAATAATCCAAAAGGATCTTCTAATTATCGAGGTGGTGGTTCATATGGTTTTAATAGCCCCACAAATGGAGGTTTTAAACCTCAAAGGAGTAGATGGTCTTCTGAAAATGCAGATGAAAACTGGAATGTTGCTCCTCAAGATTCATCTCCAAACATGATGAATGGACCTCCTCCGACATCTCAAGGAGTTCAACAATTTGGAGAAAATCAAGCATCACCATTTAATGAACAAGATGGTACCGGGCAATCTAGTGCCCCACCAACTAATCAATTACCTTCATTGCTACAAGTATTATTTTAAAAAATATATATGTATATATTTGTTTTATTTTTCTATTTTAATTAAGACTGGACTTATCTTTCATTGATATAGATGCCACCTGTGATGCCTCCAAATAATAGTGTCCCTCAAGGACCACCTACACTTGGTGCTGGGGAAGTGTGGATTGAAACTAAATCTGGTGATGGAAAATCATATTATTACAATGCTAGAACACGTGAAACAACTTGGGACAAACCATCAGGGCCTAATATTACTGTTATTTCACAGGAACAGGTACATTTAAAAATAATAATCATAAAATAAAATAATATTTTGAATGTTATAATTATTCTCAGGTTGAAAATCTTGGAAATACAAACTATATTAAATCTAATGAATGTGAGCAAACCCCCAAAGATCTTGAAATCAATAAAATTGTTGAAGATAAATTACATGGTAATAAATAATATATTAGAAATTAAATAATTAATTATACAAATATTAAACTAGATTTCAAGAATGTGTAAACTTTTTTTAGGTAACGAGCAAGGCTCTTTAATGCATCCTCCAAATGTTGGAATTCCTCCATTAGGTGCAGTTCCTGGTCAAATGATGCCCCCAATGATGGGTCCTCCACCTGGTATGATGCCTCCTAATACTATGATGCCACCTCCAAATTTTCCACCATTTGGTGGACCACCACCATTTGGTATGCCTCCCCCAGGATTTCCACAAGCAGCTGCTCCATGGGGTATGATGCCTCCAGGATTTGTTCCTCCACCTATGATGATGCCTGGAATGGAACTTAATAACAAGGTATGACTTTTATAGCATGCAATTAATAAGTCCATCCATATTTAACTATAAATAAATAATGTATAGATTGATCCAGTAATTTTGGCTAACGCTGCTGAATGGTCTGAACATCGTTCGCCAGATGGACGAATGTATTATTATAGCATGAAAACTTCAGAGTCAGTATGGGAAAAACCAGAAGCTCTTAGAAATCTTGATGGTGAGTTAATTATTATTAAATGTTTCAATAATACAATTTTTAATATGAATATATATTTAGTGGCAAGAGAAGTTGCTGCTGCAAAATTAAGAAAGGAAGCTGAACAAAAAATGGAACAAAAGTCAGATTCTCAAATGGACATGAGTTTCCCCCCTCAGTTAATGAATGGTTCTAATTCAGATCTTGGTACATTTAAAAGAAAAGATGAAGAACTCCAAGAGGCTAATAAAAAGGCAAAAATTGATGATAAAACCAAAGTAATAGAAAAACTTAAAGTTCAAGACAAAACTAGACCGGTTTCCAGTACACCTGTTGATGGAACTCCATGGTAAACTCACTTGTCTCTTCAAATTTAAAATTTTATTAAATAAGGTTTTGATAAAGTTACCATACAGATGATCAATTTACTATAACACTTCTTTGCTAGATAATATTATTTTCATTAGTATTTTCTTCTTAATGCAAAATTAAAAATATTTGGTCCGATGATAACTTGTTACTTTTTAATTCTCAATAAATGATTGAATAATGTAAATAAAAATATTCCATCTGTAAGGTGGACATGCCACCTATAGCCATATTAACTTTTTCCTATCGATTTTTGATTTGATTTATCTACGTTTATTGAAAAAAATTAAAACAACCATAGATACATTATAAGTTTACCAATTTATAGTTAAAATTTCAAAGTTTTAGGAACATTATTGAATGAATAATTAGTATTAATATTATTAATATCCATTTTCCTGTTTTATAATCATCTTATGCTATCTATGTTTTGTAATTATTATAGTCACAATTTAATTTAATTAATATAGATTAATACAAAGATGAATAACTATAGTATGACTTATTAAATTATAAAATTTCACTATTTACAAATTAAATAAAATTGAGTGGCTATAGCAAGGATACTGGTCTTACTCCATCCTACCATTGACTAAAAATGTAATGTATTTTCAAACAAAAGAATTTAAAAAAAAAATGTATATAGGTGTGTAGTGTGGACAGGAGATGGCCGTGTGTTTTTTTTTAAACCTTCAACTAGAACATCTGTCTGGGAAAGACCTGATGATCTAAAAGGAAAACCTGATGTTGACAAAATGGTGTCAAATCCTCCAGAAGCTGTCCAAGTTTTAAAATTAGCTGAAGGGCAATCGCCCTCTAAAAAAACAAAGACTGATGGTAAAATTAACTATTTAGTAAATAAATGATCAATAAATATTTTCAAGTAAAATTTAAATATTAATCATTTTTAGAAAAACATACACAAGAAGGTAATAATACTAAAAATGACACAGAATCCAAGGTAAATTTAATGAAGGATTCAGCCATGGAAGCAGAACTAAAAGCATCTAGAGAAAGAGCAGTAGTGCCATTAGAGACTCGAATAACACAGTTTCGAGAAATGTTATCTGAGAAAGAGGTATATACATTTTTAAACTATTAATAAAATATAATTGTATAATTTTGATGATAACTTTATAAACTTTGCAATGATAATACATAACTATAGGTATCAGCATTTAGTACATGGGAAAAGGAATTGCATAAAATTGTATTTGATCCTCGATATTTGTTATTAACATCAAAAGAACGAAAACAAGTATTTGAGAAATATGTTAAAGAACGTGCTGATGAAGAAAGACAAGAAAAGCGCAATAAAATGAAAATGCGTCGTGAAGCTTTTAGAATTTTGATGGAAGAAGCTAACCTTTCAACCAAGTAAGTAAAATTAAATTAATTTAAATTTTACTTGTATATCATTATTATATTTGTACAGGACATCATATAGTGAATTCAGTTCCAAAAATTCTAAGGATGAAAGGTATAAAAATATTGAAAAATCACGTGAAAGAGAAGGATTATTTAATGAATATATGGTAGAATTAAGGAAACAGGAAAAAGAAGAAAAAGCGTTGCGCCGTGAACAGGTCAGTCTGCAATTTTATTTTAATTATATAACTGTAAATTGTTCATTAGCTATTTGAAATTGCCCATTGTGTTTGTACAATTTTTTTTTTTATTAAACTATGTAACTAGTATTCTATTAATTTTAATTATATTTACTGATTTGATTAACTATTAACTAAGTTACTTAGAAAATAATATTAGAATAATAAACCAGAAAATATTATTGTACAAACACAAATAATTTAATTTAGTTTAATTAAGATTTACCTAATATCACAATAAAAACTATTAAAACGTTTGTAATAAATTAATGAATCTAAAATAAGTAATTTATACTTATTATTTTCAGATATTAATAATTTTCAGGTGCTATATATGGTATATGGACAAAATATCATTATTTAATAATACACATAGACATAGGTATATCCTTAATACGGATATTGTAATGTGGTATTATTATATTATAGATTAAATATTGTATATTTAATCTATGGTATTATGTTTTAATTCAGTTTTTATAAAGAATTATTAAATGAAATTTATTTTATTTCTTACAATTTTAGTTATTTTTGATATTTTGTCAAAGTTATAACTTTTGTAATCATTATATAAAATTTCAGATTTTTTTTTTATTATAGCCCATTTTTTTCATAGAAATTATTTAAAGTTATTAAATATAATACTTAGTATGTAATTGAATAATAAGTTTTAGGTAAGTCATTGATAAAATAAAATAAATTATATTATGATGTTAAATACACTTTACTATTTTTATTTACATTTTATATTAAAATATTATTTATAACATTGATATGGTTATTCTTAAAAATAATTAATTTTTATTCGTAATCAGTTCTCAAAATTTAGGCAATTGCTTGAATTAATTATTTTCTACAATAATAATAATTAACAAAAAAAAGGAATCATTGAAATAATATATGCCCCAGAATTTAAATGCAAATTATAATAATAAAACTTTATTTAATTAATTATACAAACAAATTTTATTTGAATAAAAACATATTTGTAGTATTTTAATATTTTTTAAGTATTTATTTTTTCTAAATCCTAAATTTATTCTTGAGTTATTAATTATAATAAAAAAGAATTAAAAATCATTAATATTTAAAAATTTGCTAAATTCCGTATAAAAATAAATAATAATTATAATTCATTTTACATCCCAGAAAGTAATTTTTTAGAATTTTTTATAGACAATTTAAGAAACAAGTAGTTCTACAATTTTAAATTTATGTTATTCTTGGATGTAAAACTACTGTCAACCCATTGATGAGATATTCTATTTTTAAGTTTTGATTAAGGAAGAATATTGGAGTACCATTTGTGTTGTAGCAGTGTGCGCAGCATGTTAATAATGCATTATCAGTTACTACTCTCCCTTTACCCAAACTTAAAATTAGAATATCTTGTCAATAGGTTGACGGAAATCAAACATTTTAACATCAATATTTTTTAACTTTTGTTCTTTTTATAGAATTTGTATTATAAGTTGCTATTTGAAAATCAAAAGTAGGTAGTGGTTTTAACCCCAAAAAAAGGTAACAAAAATAATAAAAATGTAAAATTATTTAGAGCTGCTTGTTTCTTAAATGTTGTATAAAACATTCCAAAAAAGAGTTAATACTTCTGAGATAATGAGTTTACTCACTTAAATGTATCACCTTGTAATCAATCTTGTTTTGTTTATACAGACAAATTAAATTATTATTTTGGTATAATTATGTACTAAAATAATCTAATTTATAATAATATTTATTTAAAAAAATGGGCTTCCTAATAATTTATTGTGCCATATTGTAACTAACATCTTACATGAATACAGTATTCTATTTTAAAATAGATAGATCACTGAAATTTTAGTATTAAAATCATAAATTGATAAAAAGGTTTTTTATTTTTAATGAGATACAGTGTTTGCATGCATCTATGAATGAAATTTGAATATTGACTTTAGTTTGTTAAAAATAAAATGGTGATATGAATGTTAGGCATGTATGTATATTTGTATACGTCATAAGTTTATTTGTCATTTCTACAATCATCACTGCCAATAGTTGGATCACCTTGTAACATAAAACCTAGATGATGGATAGTTTAATGCAATCCTGCCGGCGCTAAACAAACCTATTCAATCACCAGAATCGAGGTAACACCTTATAAATTTTTTTTAATTTGGATACAAACGGATAACTCAAGTTTACTGTACTGTTTATCCTGTATTACTTGCCATTAAGGGAATTTGGATATCTTGTTTTGATGATTTTGAAGTGGTACTCCAAGCAGAACAAGAAGAATGGACTGCAGAAAAATCAAAGTATCATTAGCATTAAAAAAATATCAAATTTTTAAAATATAAAAATTGAACTGGTACTAATCAGGCTGGCTGCTAAGTAATTAAATATGTTGTTTTTTGGTTTCTTGATTAATCATTGCTTCAAGCATAATATTTTAAATAATGAAAAAACTTTATTATTTTATAGCAATATTAGATATTTTACCCGGGTTGTAAAAAATTTTAATATTTGAGTATTTCTGTCTTTATTTCTGGTATGATTATTTAGAACATTTGACAGTATGATTGACATAAAAAGACATTTAAATGATTACTATTTATAATAAATCATTTGTTTTCACAATTTATTTTAAGCGGTAGCAAATTTCAAAATTTTAGTTGTTTTAGATTTCATACTTCAAGGATTTTATTTAAAAATGTATACATGTAATTACATAATGTAATGTGAATAAAAATATTGGTTTATCTTAAAATATAATGTACTTATTTATTTTTGGTTGTTTTACTGAAAAAAAAAGTTATTCTCTAGACAGAAATATTTGTAATTTTTACAAAAAAATAAATATAATTGTATTCATCAATATTTATAAAAATTAATATTTTACTATGTTTAATATGTTAGTCAAAATTGTATTTTGATAAAAATTATACTTTTGTTTATTTGTTGAATTCTATAACCATTATAATTCAAATAAAAAGTTAAATTAGTTTTGGAAAACTTAAATATTAGTATAATTACTTATATATATATTATATATAACTAATCCTCCAATTTCTATGACTTGATATTTTGAATTGACGTAGTTATTTGTTAAAATGTATATATTTTCAGGTTTATTTGTATTTTTATGTATTGTCAATAATTATCTAATAATACTATTTTCAGCTTTATTGAATATGAGAAATCAAAATTTTAATTTTTGTAATTACTATATGTTTGAAAAATTGAAAGCAATTTTAAAATAAATTAAATGTATAATTTGTAAGTACATTTTGATTTTTCATGTTTATATTTGATTGTTTATGTATTTTTTTAAAAAAAAAAAATACATGGAGGTATAATATAATTATATTTAATTTTAATAATTTATATTTATACTATTATTGTTGTATTTTTTTAATGACTGCTTATAATATGTTGTGATTACCATATGAATGAATATTTGTTAAATGATTTGGAATGTTTTGTCTCAATGATAATCTAAAATTCCAAAGTAATTTGTAACAAATGTATTTCTTGTACATTGTCGATCTAATTAAAGGTTTCTGTCAATACATTTTATAGGCTCGAAAGCAGTTTATAGAATTATTAAAAGATCACAGTGAAATTGACCGCCATTCTCGTTGGGCTGAGATAAAAAAGAAATTAGATCATGACTCAAGATACAAAGCAGTTGATTCCAGTACTTTACGTGAAGATTACTTTATTGATTATATACGAGTTTTGAAGGATGAAAGAAAAAAAGAAAAAGAAAGAGAACATAAAGATAAAGATAAACATAGCCATAAACGAGATAAACGTGACAAAGAAGATAAAGAATTATCTACTAAAATTGATTCAAAAGTAAATATTACATTTAATTTGAACTCTGTTATTAATCAATTTAAAAAATAAAACATTCGCTAAAATTTTTAGCTAGACGAAAAGTCTCCAGAAAAACAAAAAGAAGAATTAAAAGAACCCAAGGATTCAAAAGAAGCACGAATTGAAGCTAGTCTTAAAGAGCGTGAAAAAGAAGTGCAACGTACTTTAGCAGTGCATTTGAAACATAGAGAAAATGAACGAGAACAACATAAACATGATGAAGCAGTTGTACATTTTAATGCTCTTTTAGCAGATTTGGTTGGGCATTAAATATTATATTTATAAGCAAAAATTCAAATCACAAATATTATGATTATTCAATTATTTAGGTTAGAAGCAATGACATGTCTTGGAAAGAAGCTAAACGTCAATTGAGAAAAGATAGCCGGTATGAATTAGCAGATTCTCTAGACTCTGAAGAAAAAGAAAAGTTATATAAGGTTCACGTAGAAGAATTATCTAAGCGTAAAAAGGAAAAATTCAGGGAGATGTTGAATGAAATAAGTGACCTGTCTTTAGATAGTTCATGGAAAGAAATTAGAAAACTAGTTAAAGAGGATGTGAGATATGTGAGATTTTCATCTAGTGATAGAGTAAGTAATACTAAATTATAATTGTTGACAATTATTAATATAATTTTTATTTTTAGAAATGTGAAAAAGAATTTAGAGAATATTTAAAAGATAGAGTAATAACTGCAAAAAATGAATTCAAGAATCTTTTAATGGTAAATCCTAAATTATATTATATTTATATTTAAACTTAATTGATGGTTTTAACTATTTTAGATAATTTTACTTCTGATTAAAATTGCTTTCTTATTGCATTCATTTAATAAAAGAGACTTGTCACTTAATGTATAATTATTATTTTAGTTTATGAGTGTAGTGAAGAATTTATTGGTTTTACTATAATGTTAATTTTTTTTTAAATCTTGCTTCAATACATGTAAGTGTGGTACCATTTCTGAAAGGAAATTTTGTCTATATGGTACTTAAAAGAGGTTATTTTTTGATTTTCCTAAACAGAAATACTTTAAATTTAACAGGTTTAATTAGTCGTATTTGAAAATTTGAGCTTAATCTTAATGTCTTATTTATTTGTTGAATGAAGGAAATTTAGTATCAAATTTTGATGAAAATCAAAAAAAATTGTTTGGAACCAATCTAGTTACTGTTTATGTTAATTTATCATTTTTTTTTTTGCATTTAACATATATCTCATTTGATTTCAGGAAACTAAATTGATTACTCATCTATCTAATGCAAAACTACAAGAAAACCATGAAGCTTATTTGAAAGAGGTTGAAGACATATTAAGCAAAGACAAACGATATTTATTTTTGGATAGTATTATTGATGAACGTTCAGAATTAATTATTTCATATATAGAGGAATTAGAAAAACGTGGGCCACCTCCACCACCTACAGCTACTGAACCCAATCGAAGACCACCATTAAAATAATTATTTTTAAAACAATTATAGAACAAGTTATTTCTGCTTTTAATAACATTAAGACATGATAATTATTACACATTTTTATAATTTTTCAGACACGTTTTTGAAACATGTTAATTTTATTAAATTTAATTGTATTATTATTCATTTTTTTTTTTTTTTATAGGCACATCAGTAAGTAGCAGATAACATGTTGTCCGTATTATTTATTTCGTACTTCTGTCAGGATGAACTCTTTTTAGGTTTTAATATTACTATTAATTTTTTGATACATTAATAGTAATAATAGTGATGTTTATTTAAATGGTTTTTCTTTTATAAGAGTAAATTTCTAACAATATGTTAAATGATATTTGAATAAAACTGGTTTTTTTTATATAATTTATGTTATATACACTATTTATTTCAACATAATTAATAGTGAGGGGAAACTAATTTAAAATAATAATTTTTTTTCCCAATTTTCAAAATCTAATATGGTTCATCTTGTCAGTGTTTTCTTATTTGCGAATGTTAAGTTTATTCCAAGGGTAAAAATGTATATTCTATCTATAACAGTTAATGTAAATATATTATATACAACTTCACTGACAATATTATTCTATGTTAAAACGTCTATTACTTTCATTGTCAAATGTCTCCAATAATTCTTTCCCATTTCGTTATTCTTTTTGAGACTCTTATGCCTAGAAATATCAAACCTGCAGTTTACTATATTTTGATTTATGAGCAGCCTGGAAGATCAACCAAGGCTTCAAAAAAGTCATTTTTAAAAAAATGTTTACTAACTAAAAGTCAAATTTTTTATACTTTTTCACATATACATTATTATTATTACCTACACAATTAAAATTTATTAATAATTATCTTTAGCTAAATTGTATTTTGAATAGTTTATAATGTCAAAAATATTATATCTAGGCATGTCTGTGGGTGCATCATTATTATTATTAATCCCTGGATAAGGGTGGTACAATGACTAGGTAATCTGGACGTGAACATTTAACAACACCAACAAAAGGACAAATAATTGACACATTGTTATCTATAACCCTAATATTTTATTTTAAAATTATTTGTTTAATTTTATTAATACATAATTCTATATTCATTTATACTTGTGTTATATTGTATTTGAATACTGAAGTCATACAAAAATAAAATAAATAATGTTTATTATGTAGGGCTTAACTATATCATTAGAGCCTGCAGATATTTTTTTTATGATGAAAAAAATTCAATATATAATATATTTAAATATGAAAAAGTATTGCTCGATTAAAAGCTAGAGGAGGCGAATTCCCCATCTTGCCTCCTTCTGGGAGCCTAGATGCATTCTACATTTTTAAACAAAATGTTAATACTAATTTCCATAATATATACTGTTGCATGACGTGCTAGAAATTTGTTGGTACAAACCAGTGTGAATCTGAGAAATTTTTTTGGACATACCGGTGTGCCAAAAATTAACACTGATCCTATTAATTCGGACCATATCGTGACAATATAGTTCGTTATACCAAATCGTTTTCAATTATCTTTTTGTCAGATTTCTTCTGAAATTCGTCAAACCTTATCATTTTTTTTGTGGTGGCTTCGCACCACCACCACCACCATTAACTGACGGACTCAGGTTTTACTTATTATTATATTTTTACTATGTACGTTCACATTTTTTAGTTAATTTTAAAATATTATTTAATAAATAAATAATTAAAATAATAATGACATCAAACATAAATTAGTCCAATGAAGATGATTATAATATTGAATGTATAATTAATAATTAATATAAAATTAATTGCATAGATACTTTATTTTCATTTCAGCGGTCAGGCGGATTATAGTAGTAATCCACATTGTACTGTTGTTAAATTCTTATCATTCAGCATTCTAGTAATACTATAGAGTAATATAGAATAATCATTAAGAAAAAAATCAATATGTTTGAATTATTCAGAGAAAACTATGATAACATAGAAAAGTGTACTGTGTGAACAAATAATTATGGACTATAGAGAGGATAGTAATATTTTATACCAACTACAAGATAATGAATTTCTTGTAAAACCAGTACCATAATATACGAATCGGTATCACACTAGTATAAATTAATTGGCATCAACATCTAAACCGATCTTCTATCTACGTACTGGTGTGTACTGTACTGGTCCGTGTTGGCATACCGGTATGATAAATCGGAATCAATATTGTATACCGGTTTGTATCGTAACGAATTTCTAGGTGAATATTACGAGTTGTAAATTTTGATACTATCAAAATAATCAAATAAATATTGAAGCACAGAGAACCACGATTAAAGATATAATGGTTGACCAACAAGGTATAGAATTGTAGTCTACCTAATTATTCTCATGATTAACAATACTGAATAGGACAGTAGGTTCAGTAAAGACTAAAGGTTAGGTTATATAGAAAAGTCGTTCCGAATCTTGCTTGTAGCATGAGTTGAAACCGCAGATTCATAAAACAACAATGTTTTTTATATATTTGTGGTTAAAGTGCAATTAATATATTAATTGCTCAGCATTTCTCATAAAAAAGTATACAACGTACAATATATTATATGGATTTGATAAATACGCTCAAGATTAGAGCTCATAACTGTTTTATTAAAACTGATTATTAACATAATTTGTTTGTTTGATTCAAATGCCACATTTTATTTTATGAAAAGAATTAGCTTGTAAAATATACACATCCTAGCGCTTCAACGTTCCGATGTGGCCTTTCTCTAGTAATGACGATTTTCAAAAGTGAATTGATTTAAATTAAGTTAAAAAAATTGACTAAAAAAAAAATCGATGTTTTCCTTATCAAATATGGGCTTTTTTCAGTTTTATCTTGAAAAGTTGAGTTATTTGCTTTTTTAGATATTTTCTCTGTGTGGAATTTTCATCTGTAAAATCGTGTTTTGACGATTCAAAATTTTCATGCAATAACTCTATCCATAGTATATGATCGAAGCCCTAATATCATACTCATGGAAATATTAGCAATTATATACCAATGATATTTTTTCGGAATATTACGCATTTACTTTTCGGATAATTACAGTCCAGATAATTGTATTCCGAGATTTTACGTTCTATTTTACAGATTATTAAGTCCCGAATTTTTATAGTCCTCTATCGAAATACATAGGATTTATATTTTGATTTTTCAAGTTAAATCGTATTTAAATAAGTTGTAATCACGTTTTGCTTATGTTTCGTTAATATGGTTAAACTACTAAACTAGTTGTGTAAATTGTGTTCTTTAGTTATTTTGATAAGGTGATAACAGTTATTTATTTGAAAAATTTTTGTTATACTTCTAAGTTCTAACATTTGTAATTGATTTTTATTCGACATTTCATAACAAGACGTGTTTATTATAGTATTACACTAGAATTTAGAATTAATGAAATACACGAGTTACTAAATAGTATATAAAAATGGAAGAAGCACAACAGTTATTGCAAGAGCTGGAAGACGCAGGCAAAATAATACTCGTGAGTCGCTTTTTAGATCTGGTTCATTAAATCTTTTTAACATTTTATCTTAAATCTAAATTGGGTATAAATTTAAAATTAATTTAAATTATTATTCGATGTTGCTGAACATTTTAATTTTCACAGAGTGGACCTCAAGTAGTAACAGATAGCCAGCGTAGTGCTGCCGAAATGATATTTATGAGATTCCGCAAGACCTATATGCCATATACAATATGTCTGTATATTTTTGGTAATATATAATTTAATTTAATATTTTTAAAAGTATTATTTAATTTATTTTTGTAGGTATGACCTTAAACAATAAATACAAATTCAATAGAGTTATAAGTAGTTAATAAAAATTAAGTGGTAACCAGTAGTGCACAAATAGGGTTGCATAATGGGCAATGAGACACGGGCCTATAATATTTAGGGGCTCCATATCAGAGCTAAAGGCATTATTTTGAATGAATAGGAAGGTGAATAAAAAATAGGTGATACACTATTTTTACTTATTAAGTATTATGGGTGTATAAAAATAGGCAATGACCCTTTTTTTATTTTTTGCTCCAATTTGTGATAATAAGAACCCAACTTTCCTTAAACTTGGCCTCTGATTTAGTAATCTTTTGCCGAAGGCATTCAAAGTTCTAGTTATATCACTCGTGGTAACAATGTGGTATTTCTCTGTTTGCATCGCTGTATGTCCAAGTTCAGCCATTGGTTACTTTTATCTGATATCATGTACAGCTCTTTATGAGTGCTATTGAACATTGCTTATTACAATATAATTTATTGTTTGAAGCCCAACTAAACAATTTCACTCCAGATTATGTCTTAATCAGTTTATATCTGGTTTAGTCTGGTCCATAGTTTTTGAGGAGTTTCGACCCTGGCTGAGTTAATTGGGTGATTCTTTTATCATTAAACACTCATTATTTCAAAATGTATTGACTTTATATGAAATTTTTTTTTTGAAAACTTAAGAAACATTTCTAAAATGTTATCATTTATTTTTCACCATTAATTTTTTGGGAGTGAAACGGCTACCTACTTTTGATTTTCAAAAAGCAACCTATATTGAAAATGCCTTAAATAGATGGAGTATTAAATAAAATCTTTGATTATCATCAATCCATTGAAGAGATATTCCACTTTTAAGTTAAGGTCAGAGGAGGATAGTTGTGGTGTATTATTAAAACACCCCACGCCACCATTCAAATGGTGCTCCACTACTCACTCCCGATTCAAACACAAAAATAGAATATCTCGTCAATAAATTGATGGAAATTAAAAATTTCAACATCAAAATTTATTTTAACTAATTTATGTGATTTTTAATATAAAATTAATAATCGAAAATTAAAAGTATTTATTCTTTTTACACTCAAAAATTAGGGTGAAAAAAAAATGTAAATGTAGAGCTGCTTGTTTTTAAATTTTCTTAAAAACTGATTCCAAAAAAGTCAATACTTTTCTAGAAAATTAGTGTTGAATAATAAAAGACTCACCGGTATGCACATATCTCATTAGACTTCCATCTTTTGGGAGGTTACTTTTCTTCTTTTTATGTATTTGGCTAAAAGAGTTTTTGTGAATTTATTAAAGCTAATCTTTATAGAAACAGGTGTCAAGATTTGACTTGTGGTTTCTCAATTCTATATTTGTGGATTAGCAAGGTAGTACTTTTACTAAGTTTTCCTGCAGTCTTTAACTTAATGTTTTACCTACATATGTGTGAGGAGGGGGTCAGAATATTTGTAAGTACGATTATTATCCAAAAGAAAACCCCAAAATAACTTTACTGTCAATAATTATAATAATTAAAATAGTTTATAGATATACTTCAATTTTATTTATATGTATAAATTATTATCTAATCATTGTAATCGGTATGGTTTTTTAGTCTATAGATTACAAACGAAATAACAAACATTAAAGAAAAATAATTTGTTGAATATAATTGTGTTATCTTCTCTCTCAAGGAAAGCCCGTATTACTATAATTTTAGTTGCCAAATATTCCTATTTCATAAGCTATCAATATATATTCTAAAATCAATTGTTTAGAGCAATAAGTTATGGAATTAGGAAATACATTGGAATTTTTTTTACAGCATTATCCAGTAACATACGCAAACTAACTGACTCGATACAATAATATATATTTTTTTTACACTTTTTAGATTTTGAGTGTATTCGCTACACTCAGAAGTACTCTAATAAGAAATTAGATAAGGTAAACCGGTTTATTTTGTTGGTTGGTTTATTATTTGATTCTGATTTGTCATCATGGTGCAAAATTTTTTAAACCGACTTAGTTAGAAATTTGTAAATAATTAATACATTAGTTTGCCCCCATTCCCAGCTAATTTTGCTATCACTTATTTTATTATTATCATATTGTTAACAGTCTACAAACCACCCCCATTAAGAATCAAAATTAATTTTAATTGTGACTGCTATAACTAGTTAGGTTAGGTTAAGTAGTAATAACATATTCAACATATACAATAAGTAATAAGCATTTACTTTCAGTCTCATCATCACTAATATTATTAAAAATGTTTTCTATAATGTCCAGTGTAATGCATGAAACAAGAAAAACTAATGTACAAAGCACAATTTTAATAATTATTATAATAATAATAATAGTCGTGATAAAATATAAATTGATTTATTGCATGTGATAAGTAATTAACAATAAGGGGTAAAGATGGAGTGTGTGGCGGGAACAAACCAGAATCGGTAATTCTCGACCACTTTGGTTAAAGAAAAAGTAAATTAGTTTTTCATATTTTTACACCTATTTACTCTATCAAATTTTATGTAAAGTTTCTATTACTTAAAATATTTTCCTGAAATGTCAGCAACAATTTACTGGGTATAATCTTGGTTAATTGAAGTAGTAATCCATGATATTAAACTTTATCATATGCTGCCGTTAAATTCAGTTTTTTTACTATTGTTATATTCTTTGTACAAGTAGGACTTGATCCCAACAGTCTCTGTTAGGTTAGAACCAACTTAGAATATTTTTCAACTATAGGCTCTATACACTTTAAGATAACTTTTTCCATTCATTTAAATATATAGGAGAAGAGAGATATAGGAACAGTAACTTTTAGGATAGTTATATAGTTTACATGGCTTTAGTATAGCTACAACATGAGTTTTTTTCATATTTGGGGAATGAGCCAGACTTGAATATTTTTGTAGTAAACGGTTGTAAGCCAACTTAAGGATTTAGGTTTTTATTGTGGTTTTTTTCAACTATATTTTGAATTTTTATCAAACATTGCCACAATGGCTTGGACTTTGATTGGTTGCTGCATATCTTTATTTGTATTTTTCCCTCTAGATGTTTGAGCAAGCCTCACTGCTACTTTTATCTTATAAAGTCATTCATTAATTTTGATTCATCTCTGCCTCCGTGCACTGTTTAAGAAAGCCATAAGTTTCCTTGCATTCTCTGTAGATTGGTTTTATATGATATCCATATATCTGTTCTGGATTCCTCGGTCTATCGTGAGGTAAATAACATTTCTGATAGCCTCTAAGTGTGACTTAATCATGATAATATCCTATAAAACATTTCATGCTGCTAGGAGTCTTGGAATATGATATTCATTACCAATTATACCAATATTTCATTTAGCTATACATTTATCTCACAACTTTTTTTTATAGTATAATAAGCTATTTATTATACTTATTCTATCAAATTATTTGTACGATCAGAGTGACTTATACCATCGTCTGAGTTTTTGATAGTGCTGTTTAAAAGTTTTGTATTTTCATTTATATTGTGTGATTACAGTATGTAATGGTTGATGGTCAGATTGTTGACTATTGGTTGACTTATCTATTCTGTGAAAGAATAGTGTGAGTAACAGAGTTGGCCAGAAGAAGGCTACAACATATATTGACAAAAATCTTCAACGTTTTAATTATTGTATAAATGTAGTTGATAATTCTGTGTGCATATTTTTTAATTTGATTTATTGTTTTTAAATTAGTTTCTATTTTACTTAACAATTAGTAACATTCAAATATTTGATTCCAAATTCAACTTTTTGATTACCTGGGTAATTGCATTGAAAATTGACCTTTTTTTTTACTTTTCAAACTATATATGATATTAATTATAAGTGTATACATTTTGTAGATCACAGTAAAGACAATTATGTATTATTTGAAGTAGTGGGTACATTGAGAGATGCGATCCTTCGAGATTGGACTTTACTATCCAAGGATCAAAAAACAGAGCTTCGGCAATATTTATTTCAATTTATGATGCGTGAGCGAACAACCATAGAATTGTATGTTAGAAAACGAATACTACAGGTAATTAATGGTTGTATATTAAATAATATTACAGTGGAATATTTGGTTATAGTTGATTTTTCGTTAGTTTTATATTCTATAATCATTTAATATAACTAAAAATATTGGAAATAATAGGTAGTGATACTTTTAGTATTCAGTTGAAAATTTATTTCAGTTATGTATATATGTAGTACAATTTTAAAAAAAACTTGTAATATTCTAAATTTCATATATTTATTGTATAAATTAAAATAAAATTTTGTATTTTAAATATTAAATAATAAATACTGTGAAACTATTCATTTTTATGTAATTAGTTTTGTTTTCTTTTAGTCTTAGGAAGAAATTGTTGTATCTTTTAGTTTAAACAGGTTCAAATAACATTAGCAATATGTTTATATTTGTGTGCCGAATTTGACTTGATTTTATCGTATGTGTGTATAATTTACATTTTATATTTAATAGGTTATTGCAATTATGATTAAAAGAGGTAGTGTTGAAGATAATGGCCATGAAAGAGAACTTATTTTAGATGAAGTGGAGAAATTAATTCTTAATGGTGAAGAAGAAGAGGTAAAAATTAAGTTAAAATGTTTATATGTATTCCTGCATATTCAAATAAGTTAACATTATGTAAGGTGGTTCTTAATATTCTTTTCTTTATATAAATATTGCATTATTACTATGCCTATTTTTTCAATGCATGTGTGAACATAGAAAAACAGTTGAGTAATTTACCAAATCATACATTGGAATTATACAAATTGAGACTTTAGCTAAACAATTATATTATATAATAATATTTTCTGTTAAACACAAATCCTTGAACATTCAATTTGAGGTTCATTATAAGTTTAACTTAATGTTAAAAAAAAAAAGTTGAATATAATGTAGCAGTTTTTTTTTATAAGCTTTTTTAAGATAATATTTTGATGAAAATTGTAAAATAATGTGTAAATATTACAGATTTTAAAACATGTATAAAAGAACTTCGTTCAGAATCGTTAAAAAAGAACTTCATTCAAATATTATGTATATCTTCTTCTTCTTCTGTGGCTATTTACAGGCTTTTTAGGCCCATTACCACAACAACATATTGTCTCCAGTCTTCTCTATTTTGTGCTGTTTCTTCAGCATTCCTTATTCCTAACCTCTTTGTGTTTGGTTTCCATGTAGTTATTTGTCCGATTAGTCCTTTTGATCTCCATACATGTCCAGCCCAGCCTATTCGTGCGCTTTTCAAGATCCCTACAATATTGGTTTCGTTATATAATTCTTCTAAATTTTTATTGCTACGTATTTCATATTCTCCTTCTTTGTTTTTCTTTGGGCCAAATATCTTTCTCTCAAATACTTCTAACTTTTTTTGATCTGACTTTGTCGTCGCCCAAGTACTGCTTGCATATAGAGCTATTGGTCTGACTAGAACTTTATATAATGTTACTTTGGATTTCCTTGATAATAGTTTTGATTTGAACAATGATAATAGTCCAAAGTAACACCTGTTTGCTGCGATGAGCCGTCTTTTCACATCTTTGTGGCAGTTAGCATCTTCATTAATATCTGCACCTAAGTATTTAAAATTTCTTACCCTTTCAAATGTGTACTCATTTACTTTCAAGAAATCCGATCTGTGATTTTGTCTAGATACTATCATGTATTTTGTCTTTGTCTCATTAATTTTTAGGCCAATTTTTTTCCCTTCCTTCAGCAATATANTATCATCCGCGTAAGCAACTGCTGTTAGATGTTGATTGTCTTGTATTTCTATGCCCTTAGCTTGGGATATAACTGTCCTCATAACTGATTCTAGGGCGATGTTGAACAGTGTAGGTGATAAAGCGTCACCTTGTCTAAGACCAGTCGTTACCTGAAACTCCTCTGATGATTCTCCTCCGAAACTTATTTTACTTTTTGAATTATACGTACACGATTTTATTAATCTGGTTAACTTGGCTGGTATTCCTAACTGGTCCATGACTTCCCATAGTTTGTCTCTGTTGATTGAGTCATACGCTGCTTTGAAGTCAACAAATAGTAGATATGTGTCTTTATTGTATTCGTAACTCTTCTCAACAACTTGTTTTACAATGTGTATTTGATCTATTGTTGATTTTCTTAGCATAAAACCAGCTTGGTACTCTCCAATTATTTCTTTGATGTATGGGTTAATTCTAGTCAGTAGTATGTTGGACAATAGTTTTTATGAAGTATTGAGTAGTGAGATCCCTCTGTAGTTTTCACATTCCATGATGTCTCCTTTTTTGTGTATAGGGCATATGATGGATATACGCCATGCTTCGGGTATCTCCTCTTGTTCCCAGATTGTGTTCATAAGTTTGTGGAGTTGGTTCAGTAGACCTTGGCCTCCCGTTTTTAGGCATTCAGATACTATTTCATCATCTCCCGGTGCTTTCCCGTTTTTTAGCATATCTAGTCCCATCTTCACTTCGTCATCTGATGGTTTTTCAAGCTGCTGTTCTACAGTAGAGTATTGAAGTATGGCGTTATTTTCATTTGGTTGGTTTAACAATTTTTCGAACATATCTTTGAATTCACTCACAATTTCTTTACTCTCCGTTAGTAAGGATCCATCATGCTTCTTCATAACTGTTGGTCTAATTTGATATCCACGTTTAACTTCATTTGCTTTTTCGAAAAATATTTTGGAATTGTTATTCCTGTTGTTCTCTATGGTGTGTACCCGATCTTTTTCTCATAACCTCTTATTCATTCTGATGACCTTTTTTGCATCCCTTTGTTTTTGTGCTAGTAGTCTTTTATTGTCTTCACTAGGGTTCTGTACAACTTTTGTTCTTGCTTTGTCTTTTTCCTCTTGAACAGCTTTACATTCATCGTTAAACCATATTTTCTTTGTCTTTTTTGGTATGTATCCAAGTACTTCCTTTACTGTTATTTTGATTGCTTTCTCTACCTTTTCCCAGGTTTCATTCAGGTTCGTCATTTCTTGTATGTCTCGTAATTTTATCGATATTTTTACTTGGTACACTTCAGCTGTTGTTATCTTCAGTATATCCTTATTAATTTTTTCTCCATTTTGTTGATATTCTGAGTTTGATTTTCGCTTTCACGAGGAAATGGTCCGACATCGCACTACTCCCTCGCATACTTCTTATATCTTTGACACATGATTTTATCCGGTTGTCCACTAACATGTGATCTATTTGATTTCTTACTAACCCACATGGGGAGATCCATGTTTGTTTGTGTATATTCTTATGAGGGAAGAACGTGTTACTTATTATCATATTTTTGTTTGTGGCAAAAGTGATTAGTTTGTTTTCATTGTCGCTCGTAATTTCGTGAAGGCTTTCGTATCCAATTGTTGGTTTGTGTATGTTTTCCTTTCCAATCTTCGCATTGAAGTCCCCTAGTATTATTTTCGGCTTACCAATCGGTAGGGTGTCACACACCAAGTCTTCATAAAATTTGTTTTTTATGTCATCACTCTTATCTTCTGTCGGTGCATAACAGTTAATTAGGAACATGTTGTANTTATCCCTTATTACGAAACCTACCCCGTATTCATGTTTATCTCCACCACTGTATAATAATGTATTTCCTTGAGATTTCAAGCTACCTGAGTTTGTCCATCTCACTTCTTGAATCGCAGTTATATCCATCCCATATCGCTCAAGACACGATAGGGATGTTGTCAAAGCTCCAGCCCTATACAAATATCGCACGTTCCAGGTTCCAATGTTGATGTCCGTTAAATCTTTGATCCGAGGCATATTATGTTGTTTCTTAACATCTATTTTTTTTTACGAGGTAGGGTTGTCAGCCCTACGCTCAACCTCCAACCTGGAGGGCCAGTCCACACCAACTAATTAAAGTCAGTGTGGGGCTATTGCAACACATTTTTTGATGTGCTGGGCGATGGACGCGCCACTTTTCCTACGCCAACATATTATGTATATAGTAATGTAAAAATAAGTTCCCAAGATGCTATTATGTCATCTCTGTTTAATTGTTCAAGAATATACATAAAATCAAAATAATATAAAAATGGTATAAACTTATTTATACTATTTAATTCTATTATTGAACAAACTATCACGTTAGTTATACTTTGTTAAACATATTTTGTTATTCATTAATTTTCTTATACATATTTTAATTACTTGCAGCAAATTATAGGTTGCTCTTTTATTTTGGCACTCATGCAAGAATATTCTACTACAGTTAAATCTGCTGATGTGGGGTTAACTTGGGAATCTCATTACTCTGCAAAAAAAGCATTTGAGGTAAAATTCTATTACATTCTTTTAAATATTTTATGTTTTGTACATAATAGTAATGTTTTCTTTATATTTATGTTTAGGCTCGAGATTTGAAACGTATATTTATAATTTGCACACGTGCTATAAATGAAGTACAAAACAATCCACAGTTTTCAGTTTCATCAAGTTATGTGATAAATGTTCTTGAACATTTATTAAATATATCTGAATCTGTACTGGTGTGGGGATTTATTTCTACAAATAATATCCTTTTTGTACTGTTAATGTTTTTTTATTATAACTTATAATTAAATATTTTGTGTGAATTTAAATAAGTAAATGTTATTTTTACTTTGTTTTAAAGTAAAAATTTAAATGATTAAAGGTTATTCCATTTTAATTGTTACAATGTTTAATGTTTATAATGTTCCTTAATTAAAAAATACTGCCTAGATATTTGATAGGTATGTTTGAAGGAATATACAACTCTGAAAATAGCCCTACTTTGAAGCTTGGTTCGGAATGGAAAGATATCATAACCAACCCTAGCACTATTGATATATATTTTAATGTAATTTATATAATAATTAATTTTTTGTAAATGTATATATTTTAGATTCTGAGTAGAGCGAGGAATGTATTGGTTTTACAATGACATTTATTATTATTTTTTTTATTGGTGAACAAATTTTCTATCAGAAATCAATGTAACATTTTTCGAAAGGAAATTTTCCTGGGGTATGGGTACTTTTGTACATTTTTTGATTTTCTCAGGGGTTTTCATAACGAATGGGGAAAACAGGAAAATGTGTGAAATGTATTATTTTCAAATTGTAAATATTACGGCCTTTCGAAATATGTATTACCAAACTCTACTCAGAATCGTTTTTCTTTATAAATGATAAATTGTTGCGTACAGATATACATTAAATTTCTATCTTCCCAATTTCTCAACTACATCAGTTACCCGTCTATCGTGTGAAGTATTTTCGTTTTTTTTTTTTAATCATAAATTATAATGTTCTAATATTTCCAGATTTATTGGAAAGTAAGGGATATTTCTCATATTGCATATTATGGTTTGAATTGTCTTGTACAATTATCTTCAATCAATGGTAACATTTGGGCTGATACAAATGAACGAATGAAATATATGCAAAATTACATAGAATATTTTATAAAACTAGTATCTACGTAAGTAGATGATTATCTCTCGTTTAAAAAAAAATTATGATTTGATTTCATAATATATTAATTTATTTTAGGGTAAGAATTTTAGATCGTGAATCAATTGGAATTTCTACTATTGTAAAAAGAATTATTAGTGGATTTACTCCTTCAAGTTTTAATCAATTTTCTCATGATCTTGTTGATAGATTTTTGGAAAATGTAACTCATCTTACATGTCGGTTTGCTGAGGGTGCTACTGCTGAAGGAAATGTAAGTTTTTTTTAAAAAGTGGTAAATATTTACTGTTGTCTTACTTGACACTGGATAATTGTATTGTTATTATATACAATAAAATCTCCTAATAACGGAATAGCTCAGTACCAACTGATCTTCCAGTAATAGAGAGACTAAAACACATAGATTATGCAGAACTGTTGTTGTTTTCTTCTTTATAAAGGGTCCGTTATAAGGAGGTTTTACTATACATTTAATTTAAACCTTACTGAAACTTTTATATCTGGTTTAAGGTTATGACTTTAATAGTTATTAATTATAATTTATCGAAAAATAAACTTATGATTTGTAGCACTTATAGTTCTCTAATTAAACTCTGTCTATTCAGAAATTTAAATTTTTACTTTTATTTTATTTTATAGATTCATCATGATGATCAAATGTTTTTTGAAGCATTCAATAATATTTTACGTCCATGGGCATCTATTATTGTAAATAGTAATCAATCAATTTTTCAAGAAGATATATGTAAAAAATCTTCTTTTGTAATTTTTGATACTTACTTGAAATGCCATTTATCACCACCAAAGGGTACAAAAGTCAGTGATAGTAAGTTTAATGAATTGGATGAACCTGATCGGATTGCCAACAAAGAACAACTTCAGTACTTAGGAATATTTGGTAGACAAGTAAGTACAGCTTTAATTGTAGTTTTGTTATCAATGTATTGTGAACTTCCAGTTTAATAGCTCTTTAACAGTTTTAAGATATAGTAATCATTCCACAATATAAAGATTGGAGTATGTTTCCCAGTCCGGCGGATGTTTTTTTTTTCATTGGTTTCAAATAGATAGTAATTAAAAAATGTAATTCATTAAATTAAAAATAATAATATTTTTTACATATATTTGGATATTTTGTAATAGAAATGTTGGTGTAATAAGTACAAATTAATTTAATACAATTATTAAATGTAAAAAAGAAAAAATGTTCACAGATAGAAGTATATATATGCATTTGTTTCCTTGTTATAATTTTAGATTCTTATCGGAATAGGAAAGCTATTGGTTGATGATTTATACTTTATTTTTTTATTAATTATTATTATTATTTTTATTATTAATAATAATTTGTATTAAATTTATGTAACAGGTTCCAGAACATACTTTGGATCTTTTAGTAACTTTAATAGAAAGTCAAATTAAAGAATTGCGATCAATAATTGAACATATACATTGTAGTGGTAGTTCTAATTGGTCAGAGTCTGTTCAAAAGAAAATTGATGATATTCATGAAGACATTCATTGGATGTTCCTTATAGCTGGTACCAAATTATATTAATGAAAATATTTTAATTTTTATTATTTATTAAATCATTTTTCTAGGCCATGTGATCACTGTGGATAGTGAGGGTGAACCTAGTATGATTCCTTCTGAAATAATGCATTATAGTATTAGGAAAAGTGAAAAAGTCAACATTGAGGTGTCATTAAAATTTCTTGTTCATCAAATGTTAGTTATGGATACACCCGGTTCAGAAGAAGCAGTGGATGATGTTATCAAGTAAGTTGATGAATTCAATTTATTATAAATATTGAATTATATATTTTTTCTTTTGTTTATAGATTGGTATCTATTGCGTTTAATTTATGTGAAGTAGAAAATAGGTTAATAGAAGCAAAAATGGAAAGTCTTTGCAGTCCATTGTTAAGTGGTACAATCGTATGGTTTTTGCATGTGTTTTCTCAAACATATTTAATGCCAAATGAAACTTACTATAGTGAAGTAAACTATAATTAATCATAATTTTGTTAATTTCTTTTTTTATTGTTTAAATAAAATAATGTCTTTTAGCTTAGTATGCCATTATTGCAAGCCTTTGGTCAACATACTGAAGCTGCTAGTTGGGTATTGAATTATTTGCTTAATAAAGTTGAACGTAACATCAGATCACCATTGTTTACTGATATGGATCTTATTAATGATACGATCGGTTTATTAATTTCTTTGGTTGAAATTAGGCACAAGTATGTTATAAATATGCATATTTTAAATAAGTTATTACAAATATATATATATTTAAATAATAATTAAGTACTTTCAATATTACAAAAAAAACTCCCATCATAGGATTGGTTTGTAAACTACTAGTTATAAAGAATTTGTTTTTAAAACTGCAAGTTATATACGATATTAATTTTTAAACATATCTATACAAATATTGACCATTATTTAATAAATAATGTTTGTTTTATTCATTTTAGAGCTGAAGTAGTTATCAATTGTGAAGGGTTTTGGAAATTATTTCAATTACAAGATCAAATACCTGAAGTTCAGATAGTTCCAGAAGCAAAAGAAGGGTTATACAAAGCATTTTCTTTAGCTGCAGATGCTTTTATTGAGGAAGATAAACAAAATGAGTATTGGATGCGTGTAAGTAAGATTTTATGTTTTAGGTCATAGTTTAACAAACCACGCATTCATCAATGTTTACTGAAAAATTAATTAATTAAAATAAATATTTTGTCCTAGAAGATTTATATTGATTTTCCTATACTTTTAGATTCTGAGTGGAGCGAGGAATGTATTGGTTTTACAATGATGTTTATTTTTTATTTTTACCTGTGAAAAATTTTCTTACCAGAAATCTTGCTTCCATTTACAATGACAGCACTTTTTTAAAAGGATATCTGACTGGGGAGGTACTTTAAGGAGGTCATTTTTTGATTTTCCCATGAGTTTTCCCAAAAATGGGAAAAAAAAAACGGGAAAATAGGTACAATTTTAAATAAATATTATTAAAGAAAATATATAATGCATAATGTAATTATTTTACCATAATGTGACATATATATTGTTGACAAAGAAACACTATTAACCGAACTCTCCGAATCGTTTTTTTATTAGCAATGATTAATCATTTGTACATTTATACATTCAATTTTCCTCCCTCTACTACCTTCCCATCTTTTTTTTTTTTTTTTTTTTTTTTNCTATTGAAAAGCTCCGTCAGTTCTTGATTATGCCTTTTTCTCCATCCTTGAAAAACTTGGTCATATATAGGTCCATATATTTTACGAAGTACCTTCCTCTCAAAAACCGCTAATCTGTCCTCCTCAGTCTTTCGTAACGTCCAGCATTGTGAACCATACATGACTATTGGTCGTATGATTGTCAAGTACAGCTGAGTCTTAACCTCTTTTGACAGGACTTTCGAACTTAGTAGTTTACCAAGTGCATAGAAGCATTTATTTCCCATTTTTATTCTTTGTTGAATTTCGATTTGACATTCATTTTTCTGTGTTAGAATCGTGCCCAGGTATTTGAACTCTTCCACTTTTTTGAACTTGTACTGACCAACTGTTATGGTTTCGATTACCTGAAGGTTATCTAGTTCCTTACTAACTTTCATGTACTGTGTTTTCTCTATGTTGAGATGTAGCCCTACCTTCTTTGCCGATTCTATTAACCTGCCGCATAATTCTACCACTTTTTGTTCCTCTTCCCCTAGCAAGACTATATCGTCCGCGTAGGCGAGCAGACTAAAGCAAGTTCTATCCATTCTTACTCCTTCATCTCTTCCAATATTTATTTCTCGGATCACCTTCTCTAATACTAAATTAAAAAGTACTGGCGACAAGGCATCCCCCTGTCTAAGTCCGGTTCTTACCTCCACCATCCTCGATGTCGCGTTTCCTACTTTGACTTTGACTTTAGTCTGTCTTAAACTAGCTTCAACTAAATGAACTATTTTCCTTGGGAAGTGGAAATGCTTCAAAATTTCGGTTATGTTAGTTCTATCTATACTGTCATATGCCTTTTGAAAATCAACGAAGATAGCATGGAGTTCCTTATTATATTCCCAGCTCTTTTGGAATAACTGCCTGACTTTAAATATCTGGTCTGTCGTTGACCTATTTTGCCTGAATCCACATTGATAGTCTCCCACCACTTGTTCGGCCAGAGGTTTAATTCTATCCAGGATGCAATATGATAATACCTTATATGTTGTATCTAGCAACGCTATTCCTCTATAGTTACTACAGAGCTTTTCAAAGTATTCTGCCCATTTCTCCATTATTTCTTCCTGGTTCGTCACTAGGCTTCCACAGTCCTTTTTCAGAAATTTTTCTTGTTTTCTACATCCGCCTTTAAAGCTATTTACCTTGTGATATAGCTGCCGTGTATTGTGTGATCTGTAATCTTGTTCTGCCTCCCTTATTACATTTTGAACATACTTTCTCTTTTCACATCTAAAAATGTTATGGGCTTCTTTCCTTTTAGCTCTAAAGATTCTTTCTATTTCCTGGTTGCTAGCATCATTTAGCCATCTTTCTCTTGCTATTTTCCTTCTTTTCAGGGCTTCTTGGCATATCACATTAAACCATGGTTTCTTCGTTCTATGAGCTTTCCCTAAAACTTTCTCCGACACATTTCCAAGGGTATGTTTAATTATTTTCCATTGCTCATCTACTGTTTCATGATTTGAGTTAAATTCTCGCGCCATTTTCTGTAAGTTCTCTTGAAACTCTTTAGCTTTCCTACTATCCCTGAATTTCTCAACATCATACCTGACAATTTCCGGTCTCACATTCCTACTCGTTGTTTTTAGCTTAACCCTAAGTTTGCTAGCTACTAGGAAATGGTCAGAGTCGCAGTCAGCTCCTCTGTATGTTCTCACATCCATTATGTTATTGGCAAATCTCTCATTTATTAATATATGGTCTATTTGGTTTACGTGCCTACCATCAGGCGACACCCACGTCCCTTTATGTATGTTCTTATGCGGGAACATTGTACTCTTGACTTTAAGACCTTTCCCTACAGCCAGATCCACAATTTTTGTGCCATTGTCATTAGTCATGTCGTGTAGACTGTGGGTACCAATAGTTGGTCTATATGACCTCTCTTTCCCTATTTTGGCGTTCATGTCTCCAAGTACAATTTTTATTTTACTATTACTAATCCCTTCTAGTAGCTGCTCTATTTCAGTATAGAAATCTTCTTTTTCTTGTTGTGATTTGTTCTCCGTGGGTGCGTGTACGTTAATAAATACGATATCGAAAAATTTAGTCTCTATTTTCAACAGCGCCAGTCTTGGGTTAATTATTCTAAAATCTTTTATCGTTGGTACTATATTCTTACGTACCGCAAAACCAACTCCAAATTGTCCTCTTTCATCACACCCCCCGAAAAGGATTGTCATATTGCCCATGTCTATACTTCCTGCTTCCTTCCATCTTATTTCCTGCAGAGCTACTACACCTAAATTATATTTTTCTACTTCCTTAATCATACTTTGTGCCGCACCGGGTTTGTGAAGAGTTCGTACGTTCCAAGTTCCAAAAATAAGTTCCGTGTTTCCGTTTCCATGTCTTTTTCCATTAAATTTAGTCCGAGGCTTGTTCTTAGGATCCTGAACAAAGCATTTTTACGAGGCAGGGTTGTTAGCCCTGCGCTCAACCCCCAACCTGGAGGACCAGACTACCCCGACCATTTAAGGCCAGGGTATGGCTACTGCAGTGTACTGGAGGTACACTGGGCGATGGGAGCGCCACTTTCCCTACGCCGGCACCTTCCCATCTACTGACATATAACAGTAGCTGCACCTGTCCCTATTATTCTAAAATAGCTTTTTTAATAATGATCCAATAATTAGTTATCTTTTAATCATTATTGAAAATACATTTATAATGTATGCAAATTATAACTGTTTTTAACAAATTTGATTTAAATATTTTGTGATATAGTATATTTCTGAAATGTGACATACTGTTTGTTTGATATAGGTAATCACTCCAACAGTGGACAAGTTTAAAAAAATTGTAATGGATGAAAATTTTAAAAAATTATACAATGCAGATGATATAAGATTAGAAATAATGGATATACTCCATAAATGTATTGGTTTGGCTAGTGGAGCAGTTATAAATACAACTCCAACTATTTTTTCTATTTTACATCCAACGCTTAATGAATTTTCTGGGTTAATTGGATTATATCATAATTATCAGTCAATTGTCCATTTAATTATTCAACTTTTTGTTGAATTTTCCAAGAAAATGTTGTGTTTCCTTAGACTGGTAAGAGTATGTTTATGTCATTAAATATAATAATATTATTAAGAATGATTTAAAAGAAAAAAAGAACAATATTGAAATTTACAGTAGATTGATTATTGAGCATTTAAGATAATTAAATTTAATAATTTTTAAATTAAGTGGTAGTGTTAAGTTGTTTAATATGTATACATTTGAATGTAGAAGTCAATATTTATTTATTATAGAAACAAATCAGTATTTTTCAAGATGTAAATAGAATAATAATAATGATAGGTATTTTAAATTAGTAACTGTAATTTATAATGTACAAAATATAAATTATTTGTGAAGCAGTTCCTCCAGTACAATTGCAAAAAACCTCATACAATCCAAAATCGAAGTAAAATCAGAGCTATGACTAATATTACTAGACGTTTTTGTACTTAACTATTTCTTTAACAAATCTAATGTCATTCACCCACCTAATGCGTTTATGAAGCAACTCCATCATTTGTCAATTCGCACCGCACTTAATAACTATATACATATTTTATTAAATACAATTTCTGTGTATAATTGTCTAACTTTGGCTGTGGTAACAGGGTTTTTTTTTTAAATTAATTAACATTATGTTTATAGAATATTTTCCTGATTAAATGAAGAGTGGAAACTGAGTAAAAAAAATATTTAGTGGGGAAGCATTGTAAAATTAGATCATTGCTGTCAGTGGTTTGAATAATAATAACAATAAAAGAATAATTTGATTTTTAATCAATTCAAATAATTTAAACCTTATATAAAATTATATTATACTTTGAAGCTGAATATTTGAAGTTAATCTAATATACGGTTTAACTTGAATATTTTGTTTTCTGGATAAAAAATAAAGTTAATACAAAATATTTTAAAATTAGAAATAATTTGAATTTCAGACTGTGAGTAGAAATTATTGATATAAATCAAAATGTATTTTTTTTCTTTCAGAAAATACTGTTAGTAAAAGTATTCAAAATTATATTCATTTTGTACCTTAATAAATACAGATATTTCATTACTTTTTTGAAATAAAATTTTTAGATTCCCAGCTTTATTTTTTTTAGATTTATAGGTTACCTTACTTTTAAAGAGGAAAAACAACTTGTACTACTAATAATATTTACATATAATTTTTTTTTTATTTCAATATTCATACATATAATAACTCTATATCCTTTACCTTTCATACTTCTCATCTACAACGGTGTCTTACCTATTGTGTGAAATTTGTTTGGTTTTTTTATAATTATTAGTTGCACTTACTTATTCTGTACTTTTTATAATATATTTTATAGGAAGAAAGTGAACAATTTTACACATCGTGTTTTCAAATGGTGGACATGTATGCTCGATATAATCTTAATCGTGTTTCATTGGACTCTGATGCTGAAGAGCAATGTTCTGAAGATCTCTATATATTTTTAGAACTTCTCACACATGTTATGTCAAAAGAGGTTTTAGATCTTAGTTCTGATGGTAAGAAACTGATATTGTTTATGTTATTATTCTATTTCAACTCAATTATATTCTATTTATAAAAGGGAGAACTCCAACTGGAAAAACTCCAGGGGATGTCTGTGTTTATGGACTTCAAATAATTTTACCGTTGATGACCATAGATCTTTTGAAATTTCCTACGCTTTGTTTACAATACTATAAAGTAAGTTAAAAAAACATACACTTTACATTTAGGTTACATTTATTTTTTTTTGTCAATAATTTAAGGCTTAAGCGATAAGACAATTTAGTTCCTGTTTATGTTTTTTTTCTTTCTAGAACCCTTTCATTGAATTTCACTGTATAATGCAACATTTGGTATGGTTTGATTGATAAATCTAATCGAACAGTGATAAATAATATTATTGTTACATTAATTTTCAGAGTATTTTGAAGTTCCAAAAAGTTCAAGTGATTAAGTTTTTACTTACTTGAGTTGCTGTTTATTCTAACAGATTATTTTTATAAAATAGTTACCTTTTGTATTGTTAAATCCATATTTGCAAATTATATTGATTACAACTTTTTAGTTGTTATTCAAGTACAAAAAGGTTTGCAATATGTGTTATACATATTTATATTTTAATTTAGCATGCTACTTTGTCTGATGTATTTAAGTTATGATTTATTATGTATTATATATAAGTACATAAAACAAATTGTATATATTATCTCTTTTGTAATATAGTTTGCTGGATACATGTGTGAAATGGTACCATTGAAATTATGCGTTAAAAACGTTGCCATTTTTAAAGGTGTCTTGGCTTCAATTGAACTAGGTTTAACTACATTTGGACATGATATTACTTCAATGTGTATTGATTTCTTACAATCAGCTGCATCATTTATGTATCGACACGATAACTCTACATCAATTGAAGCATATGATTTGTTGAAGCCATTTTTAAAAGTAATATATCATATATAATATTATACAATACACATTAATATATCATATTTGAAATTAATTAGCTATAGAAATGTTTTTAATAATAAAAATAATTAAATCACATAATTAATTTTATAGTATTTAATGGAACTCATACTATCTTGTCAAATAAGTTCTGATGCATTGTCAAGTACTGGTCATGCACTTTATACCTTAATCTGTTGTTATCCGGTAAGGAAATTTAATTTATTTTAAATTTGAATAGTAGTAATACTTGAGAAATGTATTATTTGGGATAAAATATACATTCTATTCTTGAGATTGTGTATATTATATTATAGTATATATATAAAAATAAATACAAATTATAAATATAATCCTCTCCTATTGTGGTAACTATTATTTTGTCTCCACAGAATATATCTATGCTCATTTTGAATTAAAGTCAGTATAGAATGGCCTTATATTTTTGTTGATCTCAATAAAATATAATCATTAATTATTTTTTATTGAAAATTGAATTCCGAATGTAGTAAAAAAAAATAAGAATAGGCTTTGTCCTTTGAATTTCTCCTAATATTTTGTATTAGGGAGAAAATGTCCTAAGATCTGTTTTATAAGAATAATGATTGAGATATATTTTGAATAAACTTAGATTAAAACAAATTATTAGTTAATTGTTAAACCAAACAGATATGCTTGAAAATTTAATAAGATGTTAATTATAAGTTGGACTAGTTGTCAAAAACAAAAAAAAATTGAGCATAATGTAGTAATTTTTAAGATCTAATATTAACAATTTTTTTAAAAAATTACGGTATTTATAACTGAACTTCACTCAAAATCATTTTTCCTTTTTATAATTAAATTTTAAAAATATTTTATTTTCTAGAATGAGTTTCAGCAAATATCAATGCAATTAATTAACAATCAAACTGATGAATTAATAGCTGAACGACTACGATGTGCTTTTACTTTGTTAACCAGTAATATTGACTTTAACGGACAACATTCAATGAAATGTCGTTTTAAAAATAATTTTGATTGTTTTACAACAAATATACGTGGTTTCCTATTTGTTAAATAATAAAATGTTGATAAATTATTTTACGTATTAATTTTTTTTTTTTACGACGAGGTTGAAATAAAATTTAACACTAATTTATTAATCCGTACAATATAAAAATAATGAAGCTTGTAAATTCTGTTTATTGAAACAAATTTAAGTAATTATTAATTAATTTTTAAATATACATTTATTATTATAAGTAGGGAGTAATTAATATTATTGATTTTGTATAAACCGAGTCAATTACTTACTAACACCGCATTTTTATTTTATAATAATGTGAATAATAATATTTACTTATAAGTATTTGTTCTTCTTAAATATATTGCATTTTTTTGAACTTTGTTATATCATTTATTTCTATTCAATAGTATTAGTCATTATATAATGGAATCATCGTTTAATGTATTTTTTTTTTATGATAAAAATACAATGGTTATAATCAAATAAAATAAAATAAAACAATGAAAATGTATTGTGTGCTACTGCAGTTTAAAATTCTGTTAGGTTTTTATTTCCTTCTTTGATTTCCAAACAGGGATTTTTAATATATTTTGATTTTTTTCATAATGTGAACATTTTATTTTATTGCCTAATAAACCTAGACTTTACTGTGCCAACTTGGTTTCATCTGCAGTAATTTCTAATCTCATTTTGATTATTAAAACCCAAATACTTGGAAGCTTGTAGTTGACCAGTTTTGAAAAATGGTTATTCCACCCCATATTTTGATTATTTATACGATCACTATTTACTGAACCTAACTGAAGTTGAAAATATGTTGAATGAAGTTTTTAATAAAAAAAACAAAATCAATACATTCATTAGTGTCTTCAACTCGTAATACACGTTTATCTGTTATCATGTAGTACTGCAGTACTTCTTTTCCATAGAGTATTACTTTTTGCTTTGTCCATAGTATAATAATAATATTTATAAACCTTGAAATATATTCACTTGTAGATAAGAATATTATCAAATTGTATTTATAATAACTACGATTAAATAAATATCTTAGTACATCTTTCATCGTGATAATAATTGAGATTTATAATCAATAATCAAGATTTATACATTTTTAACGTATTCGGGTAATTATTAAGTATAATTTTTAAATATTATTTCTATTTGATTTATTTACCTATACTAATAGGTTTATTAGTTAATCCGAACAAGCATAAGCCATAAAGAATACTGTATTTCTACCAATTTAAAATAATAATACATTAATAATGCCAAACAGTGAAAATTCTATTCCATCACCATCATTAAAAAAACTATCAAATAACTCCTATCAAATTAATACACCATGCCGAAGAGTAGGTCTCAAGAGGAAATCTACTGGTACACCAATTCAAACAAATTTCTTGAAAAAAAGTAAAACGAATATAACTAGTGAAATTTCAAAATGCTTAGAATTTAATGAAAACACCACGAAAATAGAAACTGAAGTAAAAGACAAGTTAATCCCGAAATTAAATTACAACATGAAAGCAATACAAAAAAGTATATTAAATAAACAACAAAAAATAGTAGAACTGAAGTCTGAACTCAAAAATAGTGAACAGGTGAGAAACTAATTTATCTTAAAAAAGTTTTGCAACAAATTGGGGAACTCTTATTCTTGCATTCCACATTATTAACACCCTATCAATCATGTCTCTCCAAATAACCTCCAGTTACTTTTTTGTTAGCCTTCATCATATCTGTTTTTCATCTATATTTAATTTAGAGTTTCTACTTCTCTTGTAATGCCCATACAATCATAATCTAAATACTTTAATTTTTCTGTTATATTTGCTATTATTGTATACTAGTTTCTAATCCTATCTAATCTAGAATTACCCATATACATTTTGTATTATTAATCCTTTTCAATGTCCACACAATCAATACATTTACATCAGAATTATTATTAACTAAAAAACCTTTTTTTAGTCATTCAATAATAATTCAAACTCGATAAAACTTGTATTGATTTGTTTAAATTAAAATAAATTAATAAAATTTGTATTTTTAGAGAATTTGTTAGACATATTATTTTGATATTTCATACTATAATAATAGGAATGAATATATAAATTTTTAACGTCAAGAGAAATCATTTTGTAACCTGACATAATTCTGAACAATAATACAAATAATATAAAAATCGTTTTTAAGACTAATAATAATTTAATCAAACATATAAACAATAGCACTGAAAACTTCACAAAAAATCCCCCTTATTTTGAAAATACTGGTAATATATAAACTTAAATGTAACTGTAATAAATTGTATATAGGTAAGACAAATAGAAATTTTAAAATAAGATATAAAGAACTCGTTTCTGAAATATAATTAAAAAAGACTGCCCCTAATTAAAATTTTGCTAAATATGTTTTGAAAAATAACCATAATATAAGTTTTGATATTCATACAGACCTAGAAATATTAAATACCCAAAATAACATTTAAATTAATTCAGTTTTAGAAGAATTACACATACACAATAAAATAAAGAAAAATAATTTTAATAATATTTTAATTGTTCAAACCTATTTTAAAACTAATATCTTATATCAATAAATTTTAGATAATAAATAATAATCAAATAATTTATATTTCTTAACATATCTATGCCTAATAATAAATAATTTTAAATAATCTCTCCTATTAAAATAAATTATTTCTAAATTCTATGTAAAACTAAAAATTTTTATAATTTCTTTTTTCTATGCATCGTTCATTTAATTTTTTATCTTCAGTCACATTTTACATTTTGACTGTTATATACCCGATGAAGGATTTTTAATTCGAAACTGGTCGAATAATACATTTATTATAATACTCCAGGCGACACTTTGATTCATTTATTTATTTTATTTGTATGTATATATTTGTTTACTTTATTTAAATAATAGAAATAGAATAATGAAATAAAATAGAAATTACAGTCATAAATAGATAATTGATTTTGAATTCTAGATCTTTTTGCCCTACCCATTAATTTTTAAAACTAGCATAATCTGTTACTTAAGATAATGTAATGGTTCTAATGACACACATCTTAATTGGTGCAGGTGTTTAGAAGTTATGGTGGATTAAAGAAACCCATATACTCAACTATACCTTATTTGCAGTTGGATAATAATAAAATATGTTTATCATTGAGCATAATTATTATTTATTTATTTACGAGTATTAACCATTTTAATAATTTCATTTTTACTTTATTTTTTTATTATTAGTAATTATTATATTGTATTCTTTTTTAGCACAATTTAAGTAATATACAAGAACTATCAGAAAAATGGTTAAGAGTTTGTCAAGAAGCTTTAATGTCATTATTTCATCTCATCAACCAAAAGCAAAATTCTATTTGTCACACTGTAGAGGATTTCATTGCAGAGTTAGGTATTGATCCTGATTTAATACATTTTGATTTAAATAATCAAGAGTTTTATTAAAAAATGTTATATAAGACAAAATGTTCTCTGTGTATTATATATTAATTTAATCATAAACAATAAAATATAACAATAAGTTATTTGAAATTAATTTTTCCGTAAATATTACAGCCGCAAAAAAAAAAGTGGCTGGATACCAACACAGATAATAATCCAGCTGTGGCCGTCAGATAAGCATTTGAGTAGATAATAATTTTATTTTTAATACATTAATTAAGTTTGCCGTTAAGTACCTATATACTATAATGGAACTAAATAAAATTTTTTGCATTTGATTTCTTAGCTTGTTTAGTAGGTACTTTTGTTGTTGTTGGAAATGTACAGATTTTTCATAAATGTTGGATGTGTGGTAGTGAGCCACCTTTTTATAAAAAGTGATGTTATTTTAGTTTCCTATTTTTTTTTTTTTAGTGTAAATATCAACAAGTTTTATAGGTTTGAAATTAGGGTATCAAAGTCAGGGGCCTGACAGACTGTATTGATAAGATATGAACATCATGGCATTATGCAATTCAGTTGTCTATACCATATAAATAAAAGTATTGTATTTGTATTGTCGTACAAAATATATTATAATATGTATATTAATATGCTGATAGGTATATTGTACATATTAGTTGACGATTGTGTATCTAATAAACTTGTACTACTTGAGCATGCATGTCTTAGATCATATACGATCATATGATCCATGACAAAATAGATTGGCATAATATGATCTAAGGGTCATGTGTTATGACGTTTTATTATCATCAGATCTTTACTTAGAAGGGGCTTCAGCCCCGGGTTCCAACATAATAAGGAGCCCCCATATATATTAATTTGGTTTTAAAATTATTATTATTATTATTTTTTTTTATTTAATACTTTAAACTGTTTCAGCATATTGTGTGCTATTACAATAAGTTAATCTTTAAATTTAAATTTATATTGTGATAATGCTGATAATAATTTAATTTATTCACTGTCTTCTGATGAGAGCTCCTCGGTATTTTTTAGGAGGATGTCTTGGGGCAGTTGAGGTCGCAGTCGTCTATTTCGGGTTTTTTCTCCTAATTGCTAATGACTGGCTCCATTTGAGTTTTTAAGCTTAGCGTGGATATTTTTAAATTGGGTTTTAATTCAGGTATTTATTAGGGGATTCCAGTGTTATTGTGGAACTGGCGATTTCCCATGAACCATGGTGCGTTTAGGCATATCCTAAGGAATTTATTTTATTTTAGTGGTTGATGCTGCCGCCCAAACGGGGTAGGCATACATTACAAGAGGTCTGATTTGTTAGGTATTTTTGTTTAAATTTGTTAGAGTACAACATGTTTACTGAAAAGAAAGGTAAGATAATGGGCACAGGTGCAGTCATTGATATAGAAGGGAAGTTGGGAAGGTAGAATATAGTCGGGAATTTAATATTTATCTGTAAGCAACAATAAACCATTACTTATGAAAAATTGATTATTAGCGGAATTCAGTTGATAGTAATGCTATGCCAACAATATATATGTCATATTATGGTAAAATAATTAAATAGTTATTATATATTTTCTGTTATATTATGTTAAACTCAATTTTTTTTTTACCATAAAGTAAGACTCTTAATGAACCTCCTGTTAAATTTTGAAGCATTTATATTCAAGTCTAATAATTTTACCACAGAGTATCTACTGAATAAATACTACGTATAAAACTGAAAATTAAAATGTCTATAAAAACCTCAAAAATGGCTTAAATTTTTCGAAAATTTTACCTTGTTTAGAAAATCAAATATAATTTTTCTGCCCAAATTTCAAGTTTTATACAAATATTTTTAACTGAATTATAACAAATAACAAAATTGAAAAATAATAAAAGTATTATTTTTGTATATTTCCTATTTCTTACATTTTATCCTGGTTTGTCTCAGATATGAAAACCGTTTGGATAATCAAAATATAACCTCCCAAAAGTACCATCTGGACAATATATGTATTGACAATTTGTATACAGTATTAAAAAAAAACATCTTAGTAAAACTAATACATTCTTTGCTACACTTAGAATCTAAAAATAATTAAAGAGGCTTAATGCATTTTCTTTAATAAAATTTATTTTAATGTTGTATCGATTTTCCCAATTTTCATACCTTTTTCCCATGTTTTATTCCGATTTTTCACATTTGCTGTGAAAACTCTTGGAAAAGTCAAATTATGATCTTATTAAAGTACCTCGATAGTGAAATTTCCTTTAAGAAACATTGCTTTTTTAAAAGTTTTTAAATACCTAAATTTCTTATATTTTCCCGTTCTTTTTTTCGGTTTTTCAATTTTGACGAAAATTCTTGAGAAAATCGAAAAATTACCTTCTTAAAGTATTTCTTCATGCTGATTTCCGAAAAAGGTTAGTTGTGCACAAATAAGAAAAAAAAATATCTTTGTAAAACCATACGCTTCTACGCTCTACTCAGAATGTAAAATACCACTTGTGACAGAATTCTAAATTGTTATTTAATAGTAATCGATGAAATTATGGAAATCATGTATTCAAAAAACCTAACGAATTATCTACAAACATTTTATCTTATACTGATGATAAAGAAAAACACACAAGAAAAAATAATTCCCGTATGATACAGTTGAAAATAATTAAAATATTTGTAAAATAAAAAAGACTGAGATTCTTCGCCACATGGGTGGGCCACTGTTGTAGGTGAGAAATTTTATATATATCTATCTATACGTAACGATTAGCCATTTCTAACGAATAACGATTCTGAGCGGAATTAAGTTAAAAGTGTTCTTTGTCAACAATATAATATATATATATGTCACGTTATGGTAAAATAGTTACTATGCATATATACATTGTATATTTTCTTTTATAACATTTGTTTAATATTGTTTCTATTTTCCTTGTTTTTGGAACATATATTACATGTATAGTGTTGAAAATGCATCAGCATTACTATTATCTGAACATCGTCTTTTCATTAGGTTTATGGTTTATCGTTGGTTACATATATATATTAAATTCCCTTCTGTATTCTACCTTTCCAATTTTCCATCTAAAACAGTGGCTGCATTCCGTTTTCATTATCTTACGATAGCTTTTTAATAAGATTTTTAATATAAAATTTTAATGAAAATCATACATATTACGGTCTATAAAAACATAACATAAAAATGTACAATACTCGGTTGCCTTCCAATATTCTAGTTCCTCTAGTGTCAAACAATTCTGTAAGTAAATGTGGGTGTAAGTTAACTATTTCAGTTGAAATTTGTTGTTCAGTCTTTATTAAAAAATGAACAGGTTTTGATCATTTTTCCAGAATTTTAAAAGCTTTTTCATAACTCTTAAACAAACATTAGGTTAGTCAAGGTTATAATCTGATCCGATATCTTTTACGACTGAAATAATGTTAATAGGTATTTCTTCAAATGGGCAAAAACCTTTATGATAATGGTCATCACTCTTAAGACGGAAAGACTCATTGGTTTTTAATGGTGCATCTATACTCAAAAAATGTACTCTCCTAATGCTATAAATTCCCTCTTCAATGCAAGAATTACATCTGTGATAATTGTTGAAGTGTTTAAAATTTCATAAAAATGCTTGGGCAGTTCGAGCGACTTAGATCATGTACTATATAGTACCTATATGATCCAAGGTCTAGAGACAGCCCACGAGCAAATTCCTTATCGATTATAATTGTAATATTTCTCATCAAATAATATAATATTAGACATGAAAAAATGTTATAAAAATGAACACACAAACCACAGAACGTTTTACAAACGTACAAAAAAATAATGATATCGTTTTCAAAATATCAATATTAAGTATATAAATGTAGGTAGCAAAATGTAAATAGCATAATTTATTTTTCTTATGCGTAAAGAGATCCATCTTTTTTATTTAAATCATCTATTATTTGTTTTCTTACGTTTAATATTGGTTTATTTAATCGTTGTTCTTCTGGTATTTTTAAACGAAGTTATTTAGCTGAAAAAGATCGTGACTTTTCTTTAACATTTTTATTGGCTTGCATTTTCATTTAATGAAATAGGAACATTAGATTCTTGTTCATATAGCATTTTTATACTTATGAGTCTAAGGATAAATTCATTTTAAGTAGTTGTTCAACATATGATTTTCTGCTTGTGACACAAACATGCTATGAAACTGCTGAATTTTGTTTACAATGCTGGCTGCAGATAGAGCAATAATTTGTTGCATATCAGACATTTTCATACAAATTTCATCTGTATCCATTGGGTTAGTATAATCATTTTTGGCGTTAATATCATTGTCATCTGATATTAATTTTCACAGCATGAATATGTTAAAACATATTTGTTTTATTGTGTACTGTGTAAAATGTATATGAGAATAAAATAATGTACTACGAATTAGGATGTACCGGAACGAACGTGTGATAGGTGAAGCTTGAACCTTTTCACCTTGTCAAGGCCACTAACACCATCTAGTGTACTCTTTATAAGCTATGTTAATATTTATTATAGAATAGATGTGAAATTTAACACATACCCTACTCCTCAAATTTAAACCTTAAACTGGTTTTATTTGATTTGTATACTAATTTTGTGTTAAAGCGCTAGCTGTCATGCCAAACATTGAGAACCAGGCGGACTCACAAAAACATTGATAAGACCTTTCCGTTCGGTATTCTGTAAATCTTAATTCGTGTAATGTACACAAACTCGTGTGTAGGGTATTTGATAAGAAATATTATAATTATAATTGATAAGGAATTTGCTCGTGAGTTGTCTTTAGATGCTCGTGGCTCGTGTTATATTCTATTACTGTGAATGTCCTTATCACTTTTTTTTTATGCTAAAATGGTAGCACTGTATATTTCGCCCCTCCGTCTTATTGGCGCGTGCGTGCATTACGCATTTATTCACAATCTCACACTACTGTTGTACGACGTGCAATGTAGATTGTAATTTGTAAATACATGCAGAATATCCTAAGTTTTGTTATTGTGCTTTTTAAAATTGATTTAAGTGTGCGACTTTTTGTGTTTGTCTTTCGTCGGAAGGAAATTTATCATCGTGTCTAGCATGCTTTAACAGCTTAATTGTTTGCGTTTTAAGCGGGGCAAGACAGATAAGAACTTGTACGACAATCTCGTTCTACATTGCCGAAATGGAGGCGGTCAAAGCATTCACGTTTGAGGTAAAACACATACTCCCCGTATTTGGTTTTCATGTCCAAATTGGACAAGTTTAGACAGCTTTTGATTTTACCCTTTATTCAATTCATATATGAATTGGACTTTGGGTCTTGTTTAAATTTTTAGAACCATTTCCATCTCTAATTCGTGCAAATTATTATAATTATAATCATATTTTATTAATAGTTTTTATGTGAACTTTAAATTATGTTTAATATTGTGGTGTTAAAAAACTATTTAATTTAATATTGTACTTCCTCCGTTCTGTACCTTAACTTAAATTATTCATTCATACCGACCTGTGACATCAGTTGGTTAGGAATTAAGTCACGTTAACCTCCGTGGAAAACTGCTATTAAACTTAACACTGCCAAATATGACGCAGTACAATGCTGGAAAGATGAATGGGAAAAATCAGAATAATGTAACTCATCGCTCATTAAGAACCCTACAAACAAACAGCCTGGCTTCAATTTACTACGGAGAATCTGGACAACCTTAAACCGATTACGTACAGGTCATGGAAGAGTGGGACATTTTATGCACAAATGGGGTATTACTCCTAACCCATGTTGTGACTGTGGTGCCCCCAACCAGAACATAGACCATATCATACGAGAGTGCCCTAAGAGAAAGTTCGGAGGAAAGCTCGAGGACATTTTTAACGCGACCCCTGAAGCTATTGAATGGGCGAAAAGCCTGGACATTATTCTAGAGTCATTATACTTTTATACTTTTATACTGTTGTTTATACCAATTGTCATTATATTCTGTTTTGCTACCTGCTTATTACTATACATAAATTATATATATATATTGTTACATTGTCTATGCCATACGAATAAATAAATAACCATCTCCTTTAAGTATGGATTAGGCAATAGAATAGTGGAAAAGTCTTTTCATTAAGATAGTCATTAAAAGATAAATCATTTTCCAATTTTACATAATTTACATAATGACACTACAGTAACATTTTTGGTCTTATAATAAATGCATTTAAAATTATGTTCAGTTTTTTTCAACTTTTATTAAATTTTGATTTAGGTATTATTATTCAATTAATCATTATTGTATATGTAAATAATAAGCAAGCAAAAAATCTGATTAAAGTGAAATTATGTGTTATACAATTACCTACCATTATACAATATGTAATTGTTAAGAAATACAATATTTTAATAAATTTGATAAATATATATTGTATATAAGTTTGATTATATTTGTTTTACTGTCTTCTTATTTATTTTTTTTTTGTCATTATATTTACTAAAAATCTTTTTACATTTTCAGCTTTATTCCATTATGGAAATGAAACCACCAATATCAAAAGCAAAAATGACAGCAATTACTCGAAATGCAATTAAAGCTATTAAACTGTATAAGCATGTTGTTCAATGTGTAGAAAAATTTATACAAAAGGTAAATTAAATTTGTTTACAAATTGAATTGTTATTAAATGTATCTTAAAATTTAAATATTTGTTTAGTGTAAACCCGAGTATAAGATACCAGGTTTATATGTAATTGATTCAATAGTAAGGCAATCTCGACATCAATTTGGTAATGACAAAGATGTATTTGCTCCAAGATTTGCACGGAATCTGAAATCGACTTTTACACATTTATTTGCTTGTCCTGAAGAAGATAAAGTAAGTTTATTTAATAATTATTTGTCTTTGAGTTTTATTACGTGTTAATTGTGTTTTATATTATCTTGTTAGAGTAAAGTTATACGAGTATTAAATTTGTGGCAAAAGAATGCAGTTTTTACCACTGATGTTATTCAGCCGATTTTTGATTTGGCAGCCAATCCTGCTTATGGAGAACATTCTCAAACAAATACTTTATCATCAATGGATAATAGTCCAAAATTAAGTAATTGTATTTTGATTTAATTAATCCCAAGTAAATTAATTTTGCTGATGATAAATATAATCTTTGGTAGGGTATTGTTCTATTACTATTATATTATCATATCAATAAATTTACGATTTATTAATATTTGTTTGTATCAATTCATAATAGTAATAGTTAAAGTTATATTGATAAACAAGTTTAAAAAATTATTTATAATTATGTAAACATTTAACCATTTATACATTTCTAAGTTAGTAATTACTAATATAAAAAAAAAAACTACTGATAAGTTTTTGAAAATTATTATATAAGTATGCTATTGACTTATATCAGTATATAACTTATTATTCTTCTACCCAGCCTATAAAATCATGAAAAATAAGAATTTTATTATATGTTTATTTTATTGTATTCAATGACAATATATATTTTTAAATAGGTGTAAAAACCGATCTTTTTAAAAGTCAAGAAAATACCCCAATCAAAGAAGAAATATCTAAAAATATCGACATATTACAAGTAAAGTATTGTTTTATAAGGACACATTACTTTTTATTCTAATTTTGTAAATTTATTAATTGTTTATTTATTCATTACACATTTTAGTTGCAGAGTTCAGAAGAAAACAAACCTTTGGACCCAGCTATACTTGAACATATTCAAGCTATTCAGTCGTTATTAAAAAAGCAACCAGGACAGCCTACTATGTCTACATCTCCACAAGTAAAAAAATCAGATGGAGTATGTATATTATGGTCTAATTAATCATAGTTTTAGAAAAGTAAAATAAAAATAATCTATTTAGTTTTATTAAACCTATGGTAATGTATTTTAGATGAAGTTATTTGATAAAAAAATTCTTGATTATGATTATGGTGACGATGAAGAAGAAATGTTAAACCAATCTCCTGAATTTCAACAACAACAACAACAACAACATCAAAATAATACCATGGATGGACTTGACAGGTTTGTTTTTAAAGGCTTAACTTCAATTAATTTATGCTTTATTATTAGTATATTATAAAGAATCATCATTAAAAATAATTTAAATAAAATTAAATCTTTTAAGCTTTACTATAAAATAATATTCATAGCTTAATAGTTATTCAAAGCATTGATAAAAAAATATATATTTTTAAGTATCTATTTCCTTCATTTTTATATATATATATATATATATATATAAAAAAAGCAGGTATACTATATTTGGGTATGTTGTAAAAGTATTTTTAAATGGATATTTTTCACGGCATAGTACTTTTATACAACTTTTATTATAAAAAAAGTGAATTTATGAAATGTAGAAATTGTAGGTTATTTCAGAAATCAAATTCTATCAGCAAGAAAATTATGAGCTTCCAAGGTTTGTATTATAATTTATTATTTATCCTGCTCTTTTTTTTTTTAAGTTCAATTGTTTTTGTTTATTTTGAAGGTACAATTTTGTGTCTAAGATATATTATATTTTACAAGTTATACATTATTACTTGAAATGACTACAAAAAATGAGTTGTGTTTAGTTAAATATGCTGTGTTATGTACTCTGGAGTTTTAATTTGTGTACTGGATTTATGTGTTGGTAAAATTAAATTAAGAATATATTGTTATATATTTATCAACGAAGAAAATTATTTTGTTTGAGTTCAAGCACTATAACTTATGGAGAAAATAAATTTGTGTTAATTTTTCAGCAGCATTTAGCTGCTACTATCTTTATAATTATTCTCCAGATCTAAAAAAATGTTATATCAATATACAGTGTATAGCTATAAAACTAAGAATTTATCATATTGTCGAATTTTTTTAATACTTATTAATTATTTAATGTATTAAACTGTTTACAATAGGAGAACACTAACTTTTATTTTTTTTTCTTAAAACTATAATTTATGGACTGCCATTAGAAACTTGATAGTTTGAATTATTTTATATTATTTATTAATTGTTATGCACATAGGTACTTCGTGTTTGGATTGCATGATTTTTTAAATATAAATAATTGGTAAATTTTACCATTATTGGTTATTATTAATTTTGAAGAAACTCAATGAAAGTCAATTGGTAATATTTAAAATTAATAATTGTTATTAAATTATATGTACAATTTTTAATTGAAACTTAACCTATTTTTATCTTTATGTTTTATTAATTTAATGGAATAATAAGTAATTGAATTTCTTCAATAAGTAGAATTTTCCAGGAATCAAATTGATGATAGGTGGTGGGAAATAAGTTGATTTTAAATTATTTTTGTGAACTAATAAAGTATTGAATACTATTAAATTAAATTTTTTTTTTAAATATAAAAATATATTAATTCATAAGGGTTTTGTTAGGAAGGAAGTAAATGACAAATATTCATTTTTATTTTCGATTTTGAATTGAATTTAGTTTTTTAGAGATACTTTCTATTGTTTTGTATTTTTTAAATTCAGCCTATTGAGTAACCCAGAAGTTCTGCGCACATTGCGTAATGTCGAAGGTCTAATGTCTACACAGTCTAAACAACAAGCAGAGTTGGACAAGATTAAAGAAATGAGAAAAGAAGCGGAATTTGACAAGCATCTTGCTCAGGCTGTTCAGGTAAGATTACCAAAAAATTGTACATGTATAGATTAGCATAGTATTATTAAGTTACTTTTTGAAAAATTTAAAAAAAAAATTGTCAGTCCAAACACGAGTCCCCCTGTGCTTACTTTTGTTTAGTTCTTCCAAAAAAATAAAAAATTTCAGCGATAACGAGACATCGAAAGGTAGGTTAATGAACGAGTGATTCCAGTGTCCGAGCAAATAATTCCAGCTCGGTAAGTACATAGAATTAAGATTTGTTCATAATTGTGAATAATTTTACTCTCTATATTTATTTATTATTTTATACTTATTATTCTATAACAATTTTCAATTTCCTATTTCAAATTTATAATTTATTTCAGAATTTACCATTTGCTTCTGAATGCGAATTAAAACCAACTCCCATAGTCTCTCAGTCAGTTGGAATAATTCCAAATCCATACACTAATCAATTATTCAGTACACAAATTTATCAACAGTCACAAGCTCTAATGCCATTAGAAACACAGCAAAAGCCGTTACTTCTAAATAAGTATGTATTAAAACTATAGATAAAAATAATTTACATACATTTAAAAAATAAAAAATTACTGTATTATAGTGCTCATGAAGATCCAAATCAGTTGAACCCCGAAGTGATTGATCTAGATCATATTGATTCACCTCCACAGACAAATAAACGAGAATCAAGAAGAGATGGCTATTTATTAAGTTTATCTCGTAAAAGATCTCCAAGGAAAAGTAGCCGTGAACGTCAAAAAGAACGAGAAAGAGATCGTGAAAGAGATAGAGAAAGGAGAAAGAAATATCTGCCTCCATTTAAAAAAAATCATTTAGCTGGTAAAAATTGAGACAAAATTTAATATTTATTTATATACCGGTTTTTATTTTTATAATACTATTTATAGTTGTCAGTACTACTCTTTGGGTTGGTCATTTGTCCAAGCTTATACATCAAGATGATTTATATGGACTATTTCAACCGATTGGTGATATAATATCATTAAATTTAATATCCCCAAGAGGATGTGCATTTTTATGTATGAATCGAAGGCAAGATGCTGCTCGAATAATGAATAAATATCAAGGAGAAAGATTACAAGGAAAACCTATGACGGTAATTACTAAAACCTAATATAATTATAAAAAAATAACGTCAAAATGAATATTGTTAGTAATCAGGTTACTTTTAAAATTATATTGGAATTAATCAAATCGAGTTCCTGTTTTCTTTTTTGAATTGATGGTATTATACTTTTTCTTGTGTTATAACTACAAACCAATTTTTAGTTTTTTCAATGGTTATATACTAAGTTTATTTACCACAAAGTACAGACACAACTTGAGTAAAATTCAATATAAAATCAAGATTTCTGGAAGAAAATATAATTCATAAAAATTTAAAATAATGAAACTGTTAATTAAATTAAATTTTACTTCTTTCTGATTTTTCAAAATTATTATAAAAATTGTCAAGAAAATCAAAAAAAAAAAAAATAGTAAAACCAATACATTCTCTATTTGTTAAGGTTTTAAAATGTGTAATATTTATGCATTGCCGGTTCATAATTAATTTTATAACAATTTAAATAAAATAATTTACTTTTTACTTATATTTTCACCTTGGAAGTATCATCAAAAGTCAATTTTAGATTTTTTTTATTTTTTAAACAATTTTAAACTAACAAATAATGAATTTTGATGAAACATTTTTTTGATTGATCCATTACATTGATTACATTCATCAAATATAGCAGTCCACCTATTTTAATTAATAAGCGCGCTTTAATTAATTTATGTAGCCTTTTATACAACTCTGAAAAAAAAATCTATTTGCATATAAGCAAAGAATTCATTAAGTTTCAGATTTTGAGTGCAACAAGAAATGTTTTGGTTCTACTAGAATATATGTGCATTTTTATTTTTGTCTGTCAACTTTTCTTACATAAACCCCTGATCACAAAAAGATAAGAGAGTTTTTTTTTTTAGTATTCTGGTTCTGGTAAGCGTATTAAGTTTTATTAAGTTCAATTTAATATTTCGAATAGCAATCTTGCTTTGAATTTCAAAAGTAGATATGTACTGAAAATAAATTTTGTTTAGTTGATAGGTAAGAAAGTTGATATATATTTTACTTATTAATCGAGAAAAAATGTAGAAAAATAAGGAAGAAAGTTTATAGCATTAAAATTTTCATTTTTTTTTTTTTTTTTTGTGATTCAATTAAAACAATCTTAGAAACCTTAAAATATACTAATACAAATAATGGCAAAATAATAGATAAAATCGTTATAACATTTTAGCGATTGAGAATATCAAATGCTTATAACTATTATAAACATTTTTATAAATGATATTTTCAAGTGTTATTTGATTTTATGTGGATAAAATTTGTTTTAGTGAAGTAGAAATGTTTGAAATTTTTACTCTAGGTTCATAATAAGTTCTGCTGAATGATTAAAAATAATGTTCATACATAATATTGTAGGTTTTTTTTATAGTTATTTATAGTTCAAATTTTTCCAAAAATAGTAACAATTACAGCATTTCAAAACATATTTAACTTAATTTAACTCAGAGTCATTTTGCAATAATTTATTATTACATACATAAATTAATCAAGTAACTTATTTTAAAAGTATTTACCTTTTCAATTTGTTACCTAAAACAGTGGTACACAATACACATGTTAGCAGTATTTACTCTTTTTTTAGATTCAGAACATAGTGAGTGATGTATTGGTTTTCTTTTACTATAATTTGTGTTTTTTTTTGTACTCCAAAGTATCAAGTGTAGCAACTTTTCTGAAAAAGAAATTTCTCTAGTTGGTGTATTTAAGAGGTTTTTTTTTTTGATTTTCTAATGGGTTTTCAAAATAATTGGGACAAATCCAAAAAAAAATTATAAGTAAACGGTAATTATGGTGCCCTGTGGCATTACTGATATTAGTATTTTAAATTTGTATACAAATTGAAAAAAATATTGCTTTAGTTGAAAAATGACATAGATCAATTTTGTTCTTTTTAATATACAGCCACTGATAGAGAAATTCGTTTTCTATGTCCAAAGTAGTTTTCATAATAATTAGGAAAAAATTTAAATTAATTAATATTTACAGAAACATGGCGTCTTGGTTTAATTATTTTAATTTTTGCAAACGTTTTACTATCAGTAATATTGCTACAATTAAAAAATGATAAGAGATCGATTTTGATTTTGTTTTTATTAATGCATAGCCACTGATAGAGAACGTACATTTTTTTTATACCTTAAGTACTTTTTATAATAATTAAGAAAAACCAAAAGATAAAAAAAAATTTAATTTTTTTTTCAAATTTTGGCGCAACAATTTTATTATTTAAATTTTACGGGTTATGTTTTCTACCATAAATATCGCTCCTATAAAAAAATGACAAAAGACTTTTGTTGCATTTTTAATCTAGTTGGTGAGTAAGAGAGTAGTTTTTTGATTTCATCTATAGTTTTATAAATAATTAGGAAACACTGGAAAATTCGTCAAAAGAACGAGAACTTTCGTTTTTTGATGTATTTCAGTTAAAAATCTTTGAAGAGACTTGAAATGTTGAATGAAAATTTATATTTTCTTTTCTAAGCGTGTTAAAAATTTCAAACCATTTTTGAGCTATTTATAGACGTTTTAATTTTGGTAGATACTCTATGGTTAAAATTGTTAAACTGATCAGAAATACTTGAACATTTGACAAGAGTTTCATTGGAAGTTGTAATTTGTATTAAAAAAAATTTAGTTTAATGTAGTACCTATTTTTTGTAATCAAATTTTTAGTATAAAATTTTGATGGAAATCGTAAATATTTTGGCTTTTCAAAGTATATTATGTAACCAAACTTCACGCAGAATCATTTTTCGTTAGTAATGGCTTATTGTTGGTAACAGATATAAATTAACTAACATTATATGTATACCACCTTCCCAACTACTCACCTACAACAATGGACACACTTTACCCAGTATTAGTTCTTTTTTAAAATTTTTTGTATGTAATTTTCTTTATTAAGCCATGATCAATCGCATGTTTTATTTTATGCCATTGCTCGCGTGTTAGATTTTTTCTAATAATATATTACTTATACAATTTCAACAAAATATCAATTCCAAAGTAAGTTTTATATAATTTAATCTTATCAATAATAATGGTATTGTATGTTTCATATTAATGAAGATAAAGTATTGGTTATTAATTATCGTTCAATCAATAATAGTCATAATTAAAATAAGTTATATGTTAGATTTTTTTTAATGGTGCGAGATATCACGGGTTAATTTAAGATAACTATAATTCAAATAATTAATTAATTTAGACAAATGTTTTTTTAATTTTATTTCTTAAGATTGCCTGGGCCCCGGGTCAAGCAATGAAAGATAAAGAATGGAAAGATTATTGGGAAATTGATGATGGAGTTTCATACATACCTTGGGAAAAATTAAACAAGGATATAGACTTTGATGAATTGGAAGTTGGAGGAATGTTGGATGAAGATACAATGCCTGAATGGTTAAAAAGTAAGATATTTAAAATTTCAATTTACTACATTGACATCTCAGAAATCAATTACTTATTTATGTATTTGTAATTTGGTTAATTTTTGAATATAATTACAGTAATAACATTACTAATAAGAACTTAGGAAAGCTTTCCTTTCTAACCCAGTATTATGTTATTTTTCATTCCTCAGATGAACGATTATTAATGTCTCCGTTTTTTCCCTATATATAGCTTTTTTAAGCTCCCTTGATGTACTAATTCCAGTATCTTCTATTAATTTCTTTTAAGTTTAATTTAAGTTCTTTCATTTAGTTCCATCTTGGCCTTGCTCTTCCTGGTTAAGCATCTTTTTTTCCCCCTATATTGCGGCTATTCAGGGGCTATTTTTTATTAAGTGTCCGATTCATGTGTTCTTTCTCTATTTCAGTGAATTCCATATTGTTAGTTCATCTTTTTACTAACCCTCATTGTTCCTTACTATTTTTGCTGAAAGAAATTCATAATTCTCTTTTCTAATATCATACTTCAAAAGATTTTACTTTGGCTTTCCTGGACTGTTGTATAGTCCAAATTCCTCTTCCGTATAAAACTTCACTTCACATATATTCTATACATATGCTTATTTGTAGAATATTAAATAATTTATTTAATGAATTAATATCTTTAGTTAACAAATTGACAGGACAATTTAAAAAATGTTCAAAAAAATTTTATTTTGGTAGATACCTATTTTAGATTTTGAGCAAGCGAGAAATGTATTGGTTTTACTATGATTTATGTTTTTAGTTTTATTATTGTAATTATTTTTGTCTGAATAACTTTTCTCCCAGAAATCTTGCTCCAACAAAAATTGATAAGACACTGTTTCATATATTTCATTTTGGATCTAATTGGTGCATTAGGTACGTCATTTTTTTTGATTTTCTTATCAGTTTTCATAATAATTAGGAAAAATCAAAAAAACCATATAGGAAAAATAGTAAAATATTTATGATAGTCTGCGTCATTATTTACAATTTTGTTCTTTTTTTTGTAATTTAGTAAAAATATTTGTAAAGTAATACCTTTACTTGGATTAAATAGTTTGACCAAACAGAAATGCTTGCAAATTTAACATGCAGTTCATTAAAAATTTTACTTCGGTTTTCTCCAATTATTATCAAAATTGAAAAATGACCTGGAATTATACTCCGGTGAGAGAATGAACCGGTTTGGCGCATGCAACTGATGGCGTTGAATGTCAAAAAACAATTAATATTACTTAATGTGGTTGTCACAGCAAGTACCCTGTTTAATAAATAAATTGCTGGATAACAATAGTTCACTATGATATATAAATAAATTGTTGGATAACAACAGTTCACTATGAATAAATAAAACGTTTGCGTTTTTTTTTTTTTTTTTGTTCTGTACTGTATATAAACAAAGCTGTGTGGAATATTCAGTATATTGTTATTATAAAACTTTGAAATTAAATTATTTAAGAATTAGGGTTTTCATTAAATATTTCTGGATTTTAGACACAATTAAAAAGATATTTCACATTAGTTATCAAATAGTTACCTATTAAAAATGTAATTGAATTTACTGTTTAATGTTATTTTTAAGCTTGTGTCATTGATTATTAGTTTTACTTGTGCATATATATATATATAAATTATTATATTGCAATATAATAATAATAATATTTTATTTCTCCAACAACAATATAATAATCAATTTTTTATTATTCCCCTATATATCCTTTTTCTATTGTATGTTTTTTTATCCTTTTTACTTTTATTCTCATTTGCTTTACCTGTATCAGTATATTTAATGGGGAAAATAGATCAAAAATAGGTAGTCCGCGGATTAAAATTGTTCTAGTGTGCCATACATTTTTTCATTTGTCTTAACATAGATAATTGTATAACACATAGATTAAACTATGTATCCACTATAATAACCCCAAAATTATGAGGATATAATAGTAATGTAGTATTGTTACTGTACCAGAAAATATAGAGATTCAGAAATGACATTTACGTGTTCTCACTTTTTACTTTTCACTTACCCATACAGTGCATAGTTTTTTGTTTAGTTTTTTTCATTTATGTTATCAAGAAAACTCATCTTCTTTCAAGCCAATAATACTTGCAGAGTGTTTAATATGCTTTATTTTAAGTTGTTATTGTAGTTATTTCTGTTTATTATTATTTGTTTTAAATTATTTCATTTTATCCGTGTTACTAAGGTAATTCATAATTCAATAAAATAATCAAATTTTTGTACCAAAAATACCTGAAAACCTTTCATCCTTTTCAGGTTTTAATTTTGCAACGAAAAGTAACCTATGTTTTTTTCTAATGTCCCATCTATCTCTATATCAGAATTCATAAAAATTGCTTTAGCGATTTAGGTGTGAAAACGTAACAGAGTTACTTTCATAGTTATAATATTAGTTAGGATTATCATTTATCATTTAAAATACCATAATATAATATAAATCATATATCATTATTATTTTAATAATGAGAACACAATTTAATAAATTGAAAGATTTCATTGTACACAGATTTCTCCATTTCATTATTTTAATTTAATCATTGTATGTTTTATTTATTTTAAACAATTAAATATAAATATGTATATTTTAATGTCTTTATCTTTAGCTCATTTAAAGAATTTGCGTACAACAAAGAAAATTGAGAAAAAAGAAGAAGAAAAGTTAGTTGAAGGAAGTCAGCAGCCGCCGTTATCTGCCTCTAATTTTTTTGAAACACAAGGTTTACAATCGCCCAGTGTTCAAATGCAAATGTCTCCTGCACAAAATACTCAGCCCACTAATCAGATGAATTTTAATATCCCTCCGACTATGAACATGCCTGGTCCGTTTGGAATTAATCCTAGTATGTTAAAATTTTGAGGTTTTGATCTAGAGTTAGGGTAATATTTGTATGTTTATTATTTTTAGGGCTGATTAATCCAATGATGAATCCAATGATTCCTGGCACCATGACTCCAATGGCGATGCCACATCACCCTTCTATGATGATGATGAATAGAATGCCATCACCATTTGGACCTCCACGTTAGTTATATTAAAATAAATATATACTTAAAATAATAATTGATTTATTATTAAGTCATCATAATATTTTAGCAAACATGGCAATGATGGGTAATCCACAACAAATGCCAATGAGTAATGATCCACAAAAATCACTAGGTGTACCTCCAGACATGATGATGACTTTTCCTTTTGGTATGAATCTGCCTTCCCAAGGTATACAAATTAATCAACCGGTTTATGTATTTACATAAATAATATGTCAATTTTGTTAAATTGAACATAAAATGGGTGGTTATTATTATTAAAACATTTAAATTGAAAGTTATATACATATAATATATTTTATAAATGATTATATATTTTTTATTTTTTTTTTTTAAATTAGCTGCTACTATTTCTTCTGCCCAGACAATAATGGGAATAAATCCACCTACTGTCACATCTGGTACCAGTACTGCACCTACAATTTCTCAAAACACATCTCAGAATGATAGTTTAAGCACACCAAATCCTTCAAATCATTTGGACCCACCAAATATTATGCAATTTAATTTACCACCTCCCCCGACTCTTCCAATTCTATCTGATTTTACACAGAATGCTATTAATACTAAAATGGAAGAAAAATATGATCCTAATATATTAGGTAACTCTGATCAGGATGATTCCAATGATGTAGATGCAGTTAATGAAATAGATGATAGGAATCATGGACGGAACATCAGGAATCGTAGCCATGATAGTAGAGAAAGAAACGACAGATTTAATGAAAGAGAAAATAAGAATGATCGTGGTCGTAGAGATGATTTGTCTCAAAGACAGGACCCAAGGAATCGTATGAAAGGACCAGAACAAAGAGAAAGAAAGTCATCGCGCTGGGGAGATAAAATCAATGATGGAGATAATCGTAACAATATTGAACGATTATCAGTTAAAGAAGGGTTAGTTATGCCACATGCTCCAAATTTAGCACAAATTGATAATTCATTGCATCAAATACTTGAAAATGCAATTCAAGACAATATAGGTAATCCTCCGTTCCAGTCTGGTATGTTTGGGCCAAATGGCCCACTCCCAAATCAAATATTTAGTATGCCACCACAGGGATTAGGACAAGGTAATTACATAATCATTTAAATTTATATACTACAATTTTTTATCAGAATTAATTTAAATTATTTTTAGATGGGCCAAGACCTCATATGGGCCAAGACCTTCTTATGGACAATGGTAATATGCGAGGACGGGGAGGATGGAATCGCGGTGGAAGTCGAGGTGGATTTAGAGGACGTGTTGGATTTAATAATGGACCAATCTGGGATAATAACAGTGGGCCTAACTGGGACAATAATGGTGTACCAAATTGGGGAGATAATAGTGGACCTCCTCCAGTTTGGCAAAATCAAAGTATGAATAGAGGTGGTATGATGGGAAGAGGTAATTTACGGCCACCATTAATGCAAAATATAATGGGGCGAGGCCGAGGTACTAAATTAAAAATTAATATTTGAATGTAAGTTATTTAATTAATATTTTAACATTATGTATTTTTTATGTTTCAGATAATTGGATGGAAAATAATTTAGCTGTAGGTAGAGGTGGCCGTGATCCAGATAATTGGGGTGGCCGAGGTGGTGGACGCGATATGGATTCATGGGGTGGACGAGGTGGTGGTCGTGATTCTGATGGATGGGGTGGCCGTGGTAATAGACTATCACCATGGAGAGGTAATGGCAATCGTAGAAGGAATGACGATTGGGAAGCGCCTAATAAAAAGCGTTGGCGACGAGATGATAATTCTGAATGGGATGAACAGCAAAAACCATGGAAACGTGGACCTATGATTGATGAAGAAGAAGAAAAATGGAAAACTAAGGTACAAGGACCACAATGGGGCGTTAAAAAAGAAGAAGGTAATTTTTCAAAATTCAGAAATCGCGATGAAGAACGTTCTAGAAAACAAAGTAAATGGGTTGATAAAGAGTCTGAAAATAAGGTTAAAATAGATCCATGGAACATAAAGTCTGTTGAATATGGTTTGTCAAATGATGAATCCAACACAGAAGAAGGTCCACATCGAACAAGTGCTCCAATGGATTTAGATAATTATGAAGGTGAAACATTAGGCAAAATTGAACAGCTACATGAAGTCGAGGAAAATGATACTTCAAATTCAAACATAGATATAAGACGACACAAATTTAAAAATGAGTACCATCAAGATAAGATAAAAAAAACACACGACTTAAGCAATTTTAATAATGCAAAATCATATGACCAAAGCAAAGAGAAGAATGTTGAACAACATAACAATGAACATCATCATTTTGAAGATCGCCAAAATGATTTCAGTAATAGTCCACAATTATTGAAACCTAGCAATATTGAAGAAATACGGACAAATTTAGAAATTCAACATCAAGACAATAGTTATGAGCAGCAAAATATCGAAGAAAAGCATAATGATTCAGATTATCAAACAGATTTCCATAAAAATTTAAATTCTGAATTTGAATCAAGTCAAAATAAAAGTGAATTTGAACAAAATCATTTTGAACCCAGTTATAATAGCGTGAATCATGAAACTCAAAAACCAAATGATGATCAATCTTATGAGTGCGCGTTATTACTGAGTTCTACTAGCCAGGATCAACATTCAGTAAACAATTTTGTGGCCCAGGTAAATGAGGCTAATAAAGAAAAGTATAGGAATGAAAATCCTGAAGAGTCTCAAGGAAACTTATATTTTGCCTTAGACAGTGGATCATCTATTAACAAATCTGTTACTGAACAACAAAGCAATAGAGATCTACAGATTGAAGGGAAAGAATTGGCTCCACCAGACAATAATCATGTGAACACAGAGGAATCAAATCAAAACTAAAACTTCATTTTAAACCTTTGAACAATATAATTATTGCACAGTGTGTCATATTATAATTCTATTCCATTTGATGTGCTAGTTGTCTAAATTTCTTGAAATTTTAATGTTGTTTTCATTTCACATTCAATGTCTTAACAATTTTCATTATTTGTATGAAATTTATTTTTAATTATATATATACATATATATATTTTATAAAATTTAACCAATTATGCAATATTATTAGATAAAGAAATATTTGTGTAATACTATTTTAAATGAGATATATTTCAGTTACCATGTCTCATGTACATATTATTTTTTAATTCCATTTTTATGTTTAACAGTAATATGATGTATACTACTATGTCTTATTATGACAATTATGAATAGTTTTATTAAGAACATTTTTGTTTCATTAAACTATCCACTTCAGTTATGCTTTTTTTTTCTTTGTAAATTTAAATTTATAATTATTTTTCAGACTATAGTGGATCATTTATTGAGTTGAGTATAATATTAGAGCCACAAACGATTGTATTTTTATTTTATATATTTAATAATGATAGTATGTATGATAATAGTATAATATTGGTATGTAAGAATAATTTATTTCATTATTATATTAAATATATGTTTTTTTAAATGAAGATCCATGTAGATATGTAGAAATATTTATATATTCTACACTTGTGTAAGGACATAAAATGGGACTTGTGTTATTAATAGTATAATATTGTATTTAATATTATTATATAACAATAAATTAAAAAGCAAAAATATTTTGTATACATATTGTTTGTCTAAATTTGACTTATGTCAACATACAAATAACATTGGTCGTAAATATACTGTTGTATATACTTCAAATTAATAACTATAGTTGTATACATAGTATGTTTGTCTGTATGTGATATGAGGGGTTTTTACTCCCCTGTAGCCTTTCTTATTAAATAAGAATAATTCTCTACAAATTCCACTGCCAATATTTTTGTCCAAACATAACAATCGTAGGTATTTTTTCTTTCTCTAATCATTGCAAAAAAGACCACTTAATTTGTTTTAATTTTACTAATGCAATACGGGTTATTAAATAAAGGTTTTATTATACATTATATAAAAATGCATTTTTGTCTGTAAATTATGGGCTCTTCAACTGTTAAACTGATCTTGATATATATAATTAGTAATCGTTCTACAAAGACGAATAATATGGCCTAACAAATTTGCAAAAAATGGAAACATTTTTTGGGATATTATCATCAGTGTGCGCAACATGTAATATTATATAATCTTCCAGCTTTGACAGTCCATTTAGGACCTTCGCTGCTGCAACCACTCTTCTCCACCAATTTTTGTCTCCACTGTCTTCAAAATATTGTTTCTTCCGAGATTTCTATTAGATCTGCCTTAACCCGTTCCACCCATCTTTGTTTCGGTCGACCCCTGGACCTTTTTTCTAGTCTTCTAGTAAAAATGTCTTTTGATATGCCTTCAGACCTCCTAATATGATTCTCCATTCTAATCTTTTACTTTTTAGATACAAACTGATAATGGGTTTATGAAATATTTGGTTAATTTCTCGGTTAATTCTTCTACATTCTCCATTCACAATTAAAGGACCATACATTTTTTATGAAAATACTTTTCATTCAAAATACGTCTTATATTCGGAAAACCATCGAATAGTTATTATTAGAATTAGGTACTAAAACAAGAATATCATATTATATAAATTTCTATTGTGTGAGCCGTTTTAAAGGTCTATAAATTTGATGAAATTGAACATCTATAAATTGAACCAGTGTAATAACTGGTAGCTGGAATCTTTACATAAACCGTAAAATTATGTTCATAATTATAAATTATACATATCTACAGGTTCAATTTTGCTGTTATTGTGATTAATATTTATATTAAGGGGAATTGGAAGCGACGAGTTTCTGTATTTATCTTAAACACGTGAGAAATAGGGATCGACGTACCGATTTATCTAGTGATGCAATAAGAATTCTGAAAGTAGATTTGAATTTGTCGTGAAGTCTACTTGAGATCGACTTTCTTACTTTTTAAATTTATCTTCTTAAATTCTAAAAAATGCCATATTAATAAAAGAGTAATTAAAAAATGGAATATTTTAATTTTTTGAGAAATTAAAATTAAAATCAAAAAAGTGTGAAAGTCAATCTTAAGTAGATTTTACGAAAAATTAAAATTTGCTTCCAGAATTCGCTTCGCTTCACTAGATCAATCGATAAATTGGAAATAAAATATTAAATCCCTATATCTTACGCGTGTAAGACAGACAGAAACCCGTCGCTTCCAATCCCCTTAAATCTAAAAATGAATATTACATTTAATCCATTTTTTGGCAACGACACGTGACACAGTCGGCGCTTCGTTTTCGTCGTTATAGGAATGTAATACACCAATATTGTACTGTCATCAGAATACAATTAAAATTGTACAATATAATTATAGCAATTAACAATTAGCATAACAATCCATTATCATCATTGACGTATGAGGTTATTGCAATTTATTTTCTCTATAGTTATAATAATAATTAGCAAAAACCGGGAAAAATGTAATTTGACGTTACGAACGATAATATCGATGTTAAGATTTTATTATTTTAAATTTTTACGCTTTCCGCTTTTACCGAGAGCTCTAATATACAAACAACAAGTAATCTTTATTGTTGAATTTTCATTCTAGTTGGTGACCGAGAAAGTCGTTTTATGATTTTCTATGTTGGTTTTTCAATAATTGAGCAAAATCGAAAAATATATAAAAAGTACGGGAAAATGTACGAAAATAATTCTGTTATTATTTTAAATTTTGTTTTAGATTCTGAGTGGAGCGAGGAATGTATTGATTTTATATATCTAGATGTTTTTTTTTCCGGTGGACAATTTTTCTACCAACAATTTTACTCTGATTTATAATGATAGTACTTTTTTTAAAAGGAAATCTGACTATGGAGGTACTTTTGGGAGGTCATTTTTTGATTTTTCCAATAAATGAGAAAAACATAGGAAAACGTAGTAAAACGGGAAAATGTAGGAAATGCATTATTTTTAAATCGTAAATATTATGGCCTTTTAAAACATGTACAACTGAATTTCACTCCGAATTGTTTTTTGTTAGCAATGGTTTATCGTTGATTACAGATATAAATTAAATTACTTTATATATTCTACCTTCCTGATTTCTCACCTAACACTGTGGTGCATCCGTATTCAATATCAGCTTTTTTTTTTTCAAAGATTTCGTCATAGCTCAACATGTAGGTACCTACTTACTGTATATAGACGTATAGTATGTTTTTTATTTGTGAACAGATCTTGAATTATGTAACTCAATTATATGGCTTAAAGACAACTTTTGATAGGCAGTAGTGAATTTTAAACATTTTTCTGGGATGGGTCCTGAAAAATAATATGAACTTAAAATGTATCTTTATTAATAGATGCCTCTTTTTTGGACGACATTTCATTGAAATTATATCAGTGTCTGGGGGGATCCAGACCCCCAGCTCCCCTTGTGACTGTTGTTAGGTACTTAAAGTCACAGATTAATAATATTTCATCTCATATTATAATATTGCTATAGTATATTGATACATTGTAGTTTGTGGCCTAATGTATTGATAGTTGTCGATAAGCTAATTTATTGGGTCACAGAATTCGCCTACAGGACGGATAGACTTTTTTCAGCACATCCTTGGATACAAACAAAATTTAGAAGTAAAAACACAATTAATTTAATCTTGTTATCATTTATTAGGCTATATTAGTGAATTAATTGTAAATTCCTACAGTGGCACCTCGGTGTTTCATAATATGTACAGAACGGTGTAAAATTAACACCCACCTACACACCCACATCAAAACACACCAATACAAAATTGGACTAGTTAATAAATATTATTTAGAGTTTATTCATTATAGGTATGGTGTAATTTTGTATTACTATAAATATTATACCCACAATATATTAGTTTAAATTTTCAATTATTAATTTGCCGTCGAATTTTTTGGATTTTAAAGGTTAATACTAAAGGTAGTAACTTAAGAGTTTTGTTTTGAAAAACGGATTTTGTTTTGTCCAATATTTAATCTACCTATTTAATTAAGTGCCTTCTTATGAGCAACGTTTACATTGAACAGTACTGATTATATGAAATTCGACTACACAGAATTTAAAATTGAAATTATCTTAGTATCAATAGAATGGCAAAATATACCGGATGTCCTGGATATTTTTGAATTCCATGATTAGGTTTCGCGTGTCCAAGCCCTGCAAATAAACCGCATTTAAGCACGCAGCAATCATTATTATGTCAAGTATAAACACGATTACTATACCTATGCATGGGCATCCACCTGAAAAAAAGGTTGTCTTTTTATAATCTTAATTGTAAAATTTACTATTATTGTTAAGATTTACTTATATATATATATACAATTTTGTAGACGAATCATCGATAAAAAAGATTGGATAAATATTCTCAAGTACCTAACAAAAAACCATTAGCGCAGTAGGAACCGAACAAAAATATTATTATTTATATATAATTGGGATAAATATACTTACCGGTAAATCATAATATAATTTTTTTTTTCACTACTAATATTTGTAGATTAACTTTTGGCAAAATTTCAAAAAAAAAAAAAAAAAATCTAACTTACAAACGCGAAATTACATGTATTTTTCCCTTATTACATTTAAAAATATACTATATTTACTTAGTTAATAAAACATGAAAATAAACCGCATACATTATAACAAAGTAACATACACATGAAACACGATTATAACAAAAATTTAAAAATAAATTACTGTCAATGGAGAGGGCCACTGCCTAGTACAATCTTTAGACTATATTATACAACTCGTATTAAAGTCATAGGAGATTAATTTTAATTAATAGTAATTTATATTGTAGAATTACCTTTGACCCCTTCGCCCACCCTGGAAAATTGTCTGTGGGACGTGTACAACACGAATAATCGGATCTTAGCAATTCGCGATTCGCAACAAACGAACTGACTTACGTGAGCCGATTCCGTCGACGGTTTTCGTTTTCGCCTACGAAAGCACGTACACAAATCGACCGTATCTGATGTGACTCGGCTGGGAAGAAGCTCGACTGCCACCTGCCAAGGAGTATTATAGTGAGGGGTAGTAAGACGATCGTATACTCCTCAACCGCGAGAAAATTCATTGAGAAAATACCACGGTTGTTGCTTTGTAATCTAATAATTTAATAAAAATAGAAGTGTGGGTATTTCATGTATGTATGGTGTTAATAGCGTGTGCAGGGTGAAGGAAATGAGGGAATATACCCCTCTTTTTCCAACACATTGGCTTTTTAATATATTATAACATCTATGAGTATTTATGAGTAAATACTTAATAATTTAATCTTGAAATGTATTAATTTCAGTCAAGTTACAAGGAAAATGTTGGGTAAAGAAGAAGATTTACCATCCTATTTATGGTTAATTATTTGCTACATCTCTTCACGTTGAAAATGCCCGGGCTCGTCACTGTATGGTGTGATATATAGTCAGCTTACTCGTATAACACGTGTAATAGCGGACAAACGGTTGTATAAAATATTTATCGGTCTAAAAAATAAACAAATAATAATAATATAAAATCTATGTGTGTATCATATTATATTATTATAGGGAGAACTGTAACCAAAACACTGCTAGTGATTCGCCGAAAAATAAAGTTACCTACA